TGAAATAGCCGCCGGGGTCTAGTGGACATTCGTTGAGTTCTGTTAAGTCACGATCTGTCATTTCCGCGAGAAGACAGTATGCTGAACGCAACATGATGGGTATATCGCCGATATGTACCTTTTCATACTTTTTCTCTTCGGGTGGTGAATTATCTTTATAAACAGTTTTATTTAGATCGACATATAAGGGTGCTGCATAGGTTAAGTTTCTTAAGCGAGCTTCATTAGGCCAAAGATGGGCTACTCCGTCATTGGCTTGGTGAACTGGTTTGGACAAATAGACTTGTCCGAATTTAAGGGTACACTTTAGTGCTGCTTTATGAGCTGTATGAGTATATTGTGCTTGTGCTTGCAGTTCAATCGGTAGAGAATCTTCTACAATGCGTTGTACAGACATCTGAATGAACTCATCGAATGAGTCAAGTTGCTGACGAACAAGACCTTTCTCGTCGAAATAGGATGATATGACTGTCCAGCAAGCTTCTTGCCAAAGTTCAGGTGTAATATCTCGATCATCATCGTTTTCGATTTGCGCTTGGTCATTGCTCGAATACATGTTATTACTAAGTTGTTCTGCAATGAAATAATGAAAAATCCCAAATGACGGTGCTTATATGCGCCTGAGAAGCAAAAAGATGGCCAATCCGATAAATTGTACCAAACTAGATGTTTTCAAATGTTCTCGAAACTTTCACGGTTGAGTTTTCTGAGAAGCTGTAGGTGTTTTTCTAGTTTCGATTAAAGATGGCTCTGTAGTCTAATGAAAAGTAATCATTGGTGCGCATCTCACCAATCGAAATCATCGAGTTTACAGACAAAATCAGAATGCATGTTTTCCGTTTTTGAAAACAGTACAGCACGCGGAAAGGAGAAAAGATGTTTTCTCGGTCGAATCTGGTTCTTCAACAATTACTGATAAAGAATGCATCCCGGAATAGTTCGCTGGAACAAGTTCAATATGTGAAGCCAATACTTACTCGTAATCTTGCTTGGTTCCGCGGTCAAGCAGTGAAGGAAGCTTTTGGTATGTGAATAAAACAATATTTTGCTATGACTTGAGCTTATCTGTCGAATGTGACTAGGGACAAGGCTGAAGCGGCGCTTAAGAAATCTTCTCGTCGTAACGATTGTGGGTGGTGGTTTTTATTACGGTTATCGTAGTTATAAGAACTATAAGTGGTATCAAGAAATAACGGAGTCGGATGAAGTTATTGGTTCAAAGCCTCGGATCGTTGTATTGGGATCAGGTAAGTGATTGATTAATTATCGATTGAATGGAAATCAAGGTTTGTTTAGGATGGGGTGCTGTGCCATTATTAAAACATCTGGATAGCAAAAAATATGAAGTTGTTTGTGTCTCTCCGCGGAATTACTTTTTAATGACGCCTTTATTACCATCTGTTAGCGTTGGAACGGTGGAAACTCGAACAGTAATAGAATCGATCCGTTCATTAGTTGGACCACGTGTGAAATATGTGGAAGCAGATTGCGTTGATATTGATCCGAAATCAAAAACTATTACATGTAATAGCGATGGTGCGAATCCAGTGTCTCGTGGTGATGATGTCAAAGCTATAGTTAAATCATCGAAACGCGAAGGGGGTGCATCATCACGAATAATCAAAGATTCAGGTACAGGAGGCTTAATATGAACTAACTTTGAGCCAGTCGTTCGTTTGAATTTAGCGCGTAGTAGACCACAATTTCAGATGAAATATGATGCACTGGTTGTCGCAATTGGTTCTGAGAATAACACATTTAATACTCCTGGCGTTGAAGAGCATGCTCATTTTTTGAAGGAAGTCCTCGACGCTCGACGTATACGGTCAGCGATCAGTGATGCATTCGAATCAGCTAACACGCCGTCTCAAACTGATGAAGAAAGAAAGCGGCTTCTTCATTTCGTTGTTGTTGGTGGTGGACCAACAGGCGTCGAATTCGCCGCCGAGGTAAGAATAATACGTAACCGATCGCGAAAAATCTGCCCTTTGTTTTCTGTATGTAGCTTGCTGATTTAGTTCGTGAAGATCTTCATCATTATTTTCCACGACTTGTTGCCAATGATGTGAAAATAACATTGATTGAAGCACTTGATCATGTCCTATCTATGATGGTTTGACATCATTCTTTTGCTAAGAATCTAAACATCTCTTTTCATTTATTTACGTGTAGGACAAACAAATTAGTGACTATACAGAAAAACATTTTCGTCGTGAAAATATCGAAGTTCTCATGAATACATTTGTGAAAGAAGTGAAACAACGTGAAGTTGTTATTCAATTCAAAGGTTCCAATCAATTAACATCTATTCCATGTTCGGTTGTCGTTTGGGCAACAGGAATCAAGGCACGACCGTTAACAAATCGTATCCGAGAGATCATTGGCCTAAAAGTTCAAAGCAACCGCATGGGAATTCTGACTGATCGGTATTTACGTGTCAAAGGTGTCGAAGATGGTTCGATCTTTGCTATTGGAGACTGTGCTACCATTGAACAACCTAAACTAGTCGATCAAATTCAAACATTATTCGAAGAAGCAGATACACAACATCGTGGAGCACTTGATCTTCAGCAATTTAAGTTATTGGTCGAACGAAAAGTGGCTGAGTTTCCACAGGTAATGTTCCTGTACGTATCACCTTTCAATATTATTGGCTGGTTTTTCTTCTAGCTTGACATCTTCTCGAAAACAATCGAAAAAACGTTTCAAGAAGCTGATAAAGATAAATCAGGTTTTCTGACTCTCGCTGCACTTCATTTGGCACTCGAAAAAGCTGATCGCAAAATTCGCGCCCTACCTGCAACCGCTCAAGTCGCCTCTCAGGAAGGCCGATACGTTGCTGATCTACTTAACCAAATACCAAATTTATCAGCCAACGATTATCAACAACATGATCTCAAACCGTTTCGCTACAAACATATGGGCTCATTGGCTTATGTTGGTAGCGATTCTGCTGTGTTAGATTTTACTGGTACAAGACCTATTCTTGATCTCTTCAACCTACAGCCGCTATCCGGCCGTAGTGCTGCTTATCTCTGGAAGTCATTTTATTTTACCGAAATGTTTACAGGACGCACGAAGACATTACTGGCATTTGATTGGATCCGTACGCACTTGTACGGACGAGATATAAGTCGCTACTGAATACTCAGTCTTTATCATATATTTTTCCCTAGAGAATGTAGAACTCCTCTTTTATCTCATAATTTAATCTCATTTTTTATGCTTTATCATATATTTATACACAAACTTTCCTCTGACGAAATGAATTACCTGGTCATTTAAAAAAATAAAAAGTCAATTTCGTTTTAGATGGATTTAAGTATCGTAAACGATGATTATTACCTATCCGGTATGGCTGCTTTAGTTGGTGATATTGATAGTGAGTGATTGTTTCACAGACTTGCTACATATGGAACATATTTGCTTAGAACAGTTGATGATTATGTTACGTGATGGTCGAACGTTGATTGCTCACCTACGCAGTCTTGATCAGTTTGGTTGGAAACTTCATGAAGAATTCTCTGCTCTATTGTGAGTTTTATTATGTTTAGGTAATCTTGTGCTTCATCAAGCATTCGAACGTATCTGTGTCGGTCGACACTATGCAGATATTCCTCGTGGTTTATTCGTTATCCGTGGCGAGAATGTTCTGTTCATTGGCGAATTAGACTTCTATCAACCTTTACGCGTTCCGTTGGTGGAAGTAACCATAGAAGAAATACTCAAATTGCAGAAAGAAGACATCGAAAAGAAGGAACAGATCGAAAAAGTTCGACGGAAAGCGATGGTTGAACATGGCCTAGTCGATGAAGGAAATCCGATTGAAGAGCAATATTAACTTGTTTGAAGCAAACGTCTAATAAACTATTGTTATTCTTGTTGTTTTTGCCTTGTGATGATTGTAAATGTCATCACTCTCTTTTTTTTCATAGTCAGATTACCCGATGTACTTTTCCGTTCATCTTGTTTATCAATCGCATTTTGATAGAAGAAAATTTCAGATATGGATGGCTCTGGTGATACCCCATATGCATTGGATTATTCAGAATCCATGGCATTTTTTAATAGTGCATACAATCAAACAAGTGCACAGTCGATAACAGCGACGGAATTCGATAGTACTCAAGAGTTACTCTGGGCGGGAAGTAATGAGGTAAGGATTGATGATGTTCTCGGGAAATTATCTTTTGAAGTCCCATTAGGGACGTGTGGCATCATTTTATGGTTGTGAACTCCGAAAACATACCGGCTTTCGTGTTTCAACAACTTCCGACATTCGAAGTATATTATCGATTGCACAAGGACCACTCATACTCGCTTCCGATTCACTTTCATTGTATACAAGACAAGGTTTAAATATCTTCACTCATAGGTAAATATTTGAGATATACCACTCGTTGGATTGGTGTGTCTTTTAGAGCTCCTTATCTTGACAATATGCAGTGTATGTTAATACCACAATCTCATAAACAAAAGAAAATCTATGTCGGCGGTTATAACGGACAATTATGTGAAATGGATTTTGATAAACGAACGTTGCTTCGTCAGGTAATCATGTGAATTAATACGAAAATTACGCTTACCTTTTGAACGATGTTTCGTAGGTGACCGTCGATGAGGGTGATTGTATCATATTGAAATATTGTACGCGAAATTTCATTGCAACTGGCTCGACCAACGGTGTCGTGAATCTACGCGACCCAAATTCACTTCAAGTTATTCAACGTTTTACACCTCATCATGGAAGTTTGTCTGATTTAGATATCAATAATATGTATTTAGTTACGTGTGGTTTTACACGAAAGTAAATCTTACACATTGAAAATACCTATGTGTTCTAGAAATCTTCGTGTTTGCTCTAGAATGGATCATATGAATCTCGATCGATTCCTTGTTGTTTACGATCTACGAAACATGCAACAATTAGCGCCGGTACCGGTTTATATCGATCCATGTTTTCTTCATTATCATACAATGACAAGTACATCGGTTATGGTTGCCTCTCAAGTAACGATAGTTTCTAGCGAGATTTCATCCAAAAACTCCGCTTTCTAGTATGGACATCATACACAAGTTGATTTAACAGGTGGTTTAACTCATACCTACTCACCGATCATTAATCTAACAACTAATCCTGCTGGTATTATAACAACATTTAGTGTTTCAACCAGTATGCATTGTACAGCATTTGGCCATTCAACAGGTAAATGACATATTGAAATTCTCAATAGTTTGGCAAGTTTGATCTTAGGTACCATACATCTATTATATAAAAATGATCCACAGTGTTGTTTTAACTATCAATCGGTTGAAACACAATTTGCCAATCCAGTACGTAGTTTTTCATTTCGCATTAGATCTCGATGTGTATTACATTCGTATATATCTCTGTTTCAGCCAGTTGATCCAAAAGTAGGAGATCTTAACGATCCAATGAGCTCTCTGTCGAGCGTACCTATTCCAATAACATCACATAAACTCTTGTCAGATATGCCTAAACAATGGACCAAATCGATCGCCAGGTAGGAAAAACAAATCAACAAAGAATGAAGTCAACAGGGGTATCTTGTTTTAGGCCAACACCGAAGATTCCAAAGGAGTTTCTTGATAATGTTCGTGTGTTTCAAGGTCTTGCTTGTGTTAAAAATCCATCAACACGTCGTGCTAATCAATGGCCCTATCCACCCGATGCAGACACGTTGGCACCACGTGAACAAATAAAATTTTTACCTGACGAAGATGAAAATACGAATCCGAACGAGAAAAGTAATCCAGACGGAACAGCAAATGAAACTGAAGCCAACAATCTTAATTTCGATGCTCTATCACTTGATCAACAACCTCAAGATAAAGCACCAACACCTCCAACAACAGCGAACACATGAAATGTTATTAGTGAAACTTTCTTTCCCTTTTATACATACTTTTGTCTTCATTTATTCCATATTTTGTTGTTGGTTATTCTTATTGCGTATACATATATAGAATAAAAAAATATTTTCTTTTCGTTTCTCGTATACAGTGCATCTCTGTACGGATCATCAACACATTTTCCAATGTATCAATTGGTGCGAGGTACATACATATGCATGGCAAGAACAAGCTCCATCTATGCTCAAAAGAGGACGCGAGTTGTTTCTGGCAACTATATATTGGTTGAGTTTTGTACAGAAGAAAAGAGTGAATCTATAATATTGTCGTCGTTTCATTTCATTTCGTTTACCTAATAACAATCATGGTTTGTGATGCATGTAAGTTTGCCTTCGACTTATTTGTCTGAAATAAAGACGAAATGTTGATTTAGGTCAAAAGAAAGTTGGTCGTATCGCCACTCAAGATGTTTGGAAAAGTATGTTGAAGAAATGTTATAACTATTAATTATTGATGGTTTTCATATTTTAGGTGGTTCACGCAATACCGTCGGTATGATGACTTTCCCCTCAATTCATTCTGCATTCGTTTTCTCGTTTTAATAGAAAGTGGCGGTAAAAAACTGAATGAAAACAAATTGCTATCAGGCAAATCTTCTCGGTATATTGGATTTCGAACAATAACTTCATTCTTATCATCTCTTACTCTTATAGGTACAGCCCATATACGACAAAGTTTAACAAGTGTAAACTCTGCAAATCAACAATTCATCAGCCCGGAAGTGCTTATTGCCAAGGTTGTGCGTACAAATTAGGCATATGTGGCATGTGTGGAGTGAAAATTTTAGAAACAAAAAATTATCGTCAGTCTGCTGTTTAAATCGATCCCTTTTGCGTTATGATTGTAATTACATACGAGTAATAAAGATCTCCTCTAATTTGTTTTTCAGATAAATATGTCGGATGAGATAGCCAAAGCTCAAACGGCACAGCCCACCGAAGATACAATCTTCGGTAAAATTGCTCGAAAGGAGATCAAAGTTGATTTAATTCATGACGATGATCAGTGTGTTGCATTTCATGATATCAGTAAACAAGCGCCCACACACTTTTTAGTTATTCCAAAAGATCCAATCGTACAATTGTCGAAGGTTACACCAGCACATGAACAGGTATGCATGGTTGACGTTGACTCGACAACGATGCTAGATTGACTCTTCGTTTAGTTACTCGGTCATTTATTAGTTGTTGCCGCTCAGGTTGCTAAAAAGCAAGGCTTAGACGAAGATGGATACCGTGTAGTTATTAATAATGGAAAGAACGGCGGCCAAAGTGTTTATCATCTTCATGTACATGTACTCGGTGGACGACAACTCGGATGGCCACCCGGCTAGTAGTTTTGTGGTGGAGATGCTCTTTTTTCAAAAAGACAGTTTAGTTTAGTGGTGCAGGCCTTTCTCGCAAGAATTTAATAAAAGATATTGCAAAAATCATTTTGAAAATCTCGCAATGATTTATTTAATTATATGAAAATATGAGGAGAAAAAGTTGACAATGATCTTATTTCGGCATCCATCCGACTGGATAACCTTTAGCTGCATTTTCAGTTTTCAACCATTTGTATAGCGGTTTAAAGAAGTCCAGGACTGCATTGGACTCAAGTTTTCTTTCACCGGTTAACTGTTCTAAAATGTCCGACCAGGACTTTGATGAACCCATCGCTAGCATTTCTTTGAATCTTCGTCCAACTTCTTTGTTGCCATAAATATTACACATGTACAAATCCTCTGTTTGCCCTTTGATTCGACAAAGTGCTCGATAGAATTGAAACTGAAGAATATGTGCTATGAAGTATCTTGCGTAGGGCACATTGGATGGAATATGATATTTCGCTCCAGCATCGAAATGAACCGCATCATTTCGATGTACAGCTGCCATGATACCGCCATGTTCGACACGTAATGCCCACCACATTGAATTTAATTCATAATTACGATTGATTTGATTACGGAAAAGTGCAAAACGGTATTTGTCCATGGCGTAAGCAAACGGAAGAAAGGCAACTTTTTGCAATGCTAGACGTAGAAGATAGTTGATTTTAAATTGTTCATTGACAGCATTTTCATCGAGAAAGCCCAGCTTGATTAAATTGGCCGGAGAAACTTGAGTTTGCATAGAAAACGACAAAGTTTGATGTGCAATTAATAGCGAAACTTACTTGCAAACATGCCGATTGTATCGCCGATAGCTTCGTGAAAACCGGAATTTGCTCCAGAACGGTACACAAATGGTTGTGCTTTGTCGTATGACATATAATATTCAATATGACCCATTTCATGATGAATGGTATAAAAGTAATCATCGTCGATTTGTGTACAAATTTTCGTGCGATAGTCATCATGGTAGCCCAGATCAAAGGCCGAGGCATGACAAACAACATCACGATCTTTCGGCTTTTTGAACATGCTGCGTGCCCAAAATTTCGGTGTCATAGGATAAAGGTCGATAGATGTGAAGAACTGTTCAGCTGTTTTATACATTTGATGAATGGAAAACTTTTGATCACGTAACACTTGAGTAATATTTGGAACTGGAGCATTTGGATAAGGTATAAAATCATCAAAACGCGATTCCCAACTCTGAGCCCACATGTTACCTAAAAAGGGCTTTACAATACAAGATATTCTTAGTAAGAAGAATCTACCGAGCAGATGAGCAGGAATAGGTCCATTACAACTGAATTTATTTGGATACATCGCACACAGACGACCGCGAACATATGCATGAATTTGCTCATACAACGGTGCGATATCTTTGAGAATTTGATCCAATATACCTTCAAATTCGGTAGCATTTCCCATCTCATAGTCCTCGATCCATTCTTCCTAAAAGAAAGAAGATCAGTGTTGCTGTATTCGTATAAGGGATTTACCTACAGACAAATCACTATAACCGTTTGCTTTGCAGTTCTTATTCAATAAATCGATGTATGTCAGATAAACAGGTCGAACTTTCATTCCGCATGCATCATACCATCCTTCCCATGCCCATGTTAAACGGTCGTAATCTTTCTCTTTTTTCATCAATTCCGTTAAATAAGGCTCAATCGTGTGACACTGTTTAGTATTATTCAATTCGCAAACAGTTGTCGTTCCGAAGATCGATTCTAACTGTGAGCTCAACTTCGAGGCTACTTCAACTTCGTTATCGTCGTAACTTATTGTACCTCTTGCACATCGATTCATAACACGTTTCAGGTCTTCGTTTGTCGAATTTTTCAATTGTGCATTGAACTTCTTTGCAATCGGTAGCGTCAGTCGTGCAAACGGAGATACCAGCAGGTTCTGATTACTCATTAGTTTCGCATTTTCAGATGTAATGTTCGTTTCATAATTCCATTCAAGTAAACTACTAACCTAAGGCAAACTTCGATATATCAACATTCAATTCTTAATCTTACTTGAGAGTAACGTTGTGAAATTCGAGTGTGCCATTCTAACCATCGTGCTGCAGTCGCTTCGTCAGCATAGCTTTTAATTTGTGGCATCTTTTTGATCTCATCGCTGTTCAACTGGTTCCATAAGTTAATGTCGACGTGATCGTTCGGATCGACTTGATCTCGAAACTTTTCTAATGTGTCCAGATCATCGATGTTAGGCTTTTCCCCGTATACCTTCCATAAGATTTCTTCCGTAAACTCAACGCCGTACTCTTCATGAAGAAAAACAACAAATGCTTTTAATTCACGTTGAGAAAACTGTGTCCGTTTCTTTAGCGAAGAAGCGAAATGAATCGCACTGATCAACAAAAGAACACAAATTGTATTCTTCATTTGCCGCTGCATCTACGAACTAAAAAAAGCATACAATCATCTCGTTTTGCTATCTGAATGTATGTTTTCCGCCTTCACTCAGTAAAAGAGTAGGCAACAAAATAACGAACGCGACCAATATGCTGTTGATTTGTTACACCGAAAGGTAATCAAGCGTGATACTCTTTCTTTTTCTTACCTGAAAATCGAATATTTTTTCATTATGTTTCAATCGTCCTGAGCGTAGCGTTTATGTGACAGAAAAATAACACAATCAGTTCTTTGCTACGTTAACGCGATTACTGATATCTACATTGAAAGGCACATGTTAGCATGAAAGAAAAGATTCCCTGTGATATTCTTTCATACATGGACAGAACGAAAATATGATTCACATTTTTTATTTCTATGTGCTTATTACGATTGTGCGCTGGATTTATTTCTTTTTTTTTAAATACACACGATGACATGTAATGAAAAGAAAAATATTGTCTATTGGAAGAATCGACTTGGTCATAGATATTCATTGGATTATGGCTAAAAATAAACAAAATAATGAAATTCCAATTTACGGAGAATTAAAAGAACAGTGAGAAAATTGTGAAAGGGAAACATGCGAAGGTGGAGTGTGCAGACGAGACTTACTCAGCAAAATGGATTACGCTAGAGGAGACTATTTTAGGAACGAGATTTCGTTTGGTATGTGATGACTAACCTGCTTTTCTATTTGCATTTGCTGTATGGTTTTGGGTGCTGCTGAAGGGAAAAATGATTCTTTGGTAGTTTTAGCTGTTGCCCCGGGATTGAAGCCTCCTAAAATATCAAGGCCAGCAAATGGACTTGTGACCGGCGGTGGAGGGGTCGGTGAGATAGGCGAAGGAGTCATCGAACTCAATTGGGATTGTTGAGGTTGAAGAAGTATTGATGTAGGTGTGATTGGACGTTGTTGCTGCGTTTGTGGTTGAAGATAATTCGGCATCGTGTTTATTGGATTTGTTTGAATAGGTGTAGCAAAGGAATTGCCGTATAGATTAGGTAATTGTGTTTGCGGTGTTGTGATGGGAGTAGAAAATGCATCCAGTAATGAGTTTGTAGTAGTAGTTGTTGTTGTTGATGGCGCCGATGTTGTTGTAAAAGAAAGATCGCCAAAAACGCTGTCCAAAGACTAAAGATAAACACATGCATAAAAATACTTTTGTCAAAGATCTCTTTGCTTTCACATTGAATATGTGATAAGATAAGAAATATTGCGAGGAAAAGAATTTTTCGAAGTCTTGAATGGTTTTATTCTAGTTTTCTAAATCCTACCTCTTCAGCTTTTGGTGCCGGATTCTGTGCAACAGCTGGTGTAGAGTCGTTTGTACCCCATAAGTCTAGACCACTGCTAGCAGCAGCAACAACAACAACAGGTTGAGTAGGTGGCGTCGTTGGGCTCGGAGTTGTATCCCAGATTGAATTATCATCCAGAAGTGATCCCTTCAAGCATATGGGCATTAGAAAAATTGAACTAGTCGGACAAGGATAATTACCGCTGATGGTGAAATGATCGAACCTGCATTAGCTTGTGGTGGCAATACTGGCGATGTAGCACCATTTGGTGTTGTTTCCTAAACAAAAATTAATTAAGATGATAAATACGGTAGGTAATCCACTCACTGCAGGTTTGCTTTCGCTTTCTTTTAGTTTGACGTCATTCGTATATTTCTCAAAAGCTAACTCGAAAAGTTCTTTCAACGCCAGTACTGTTGCTGCGGCAGCTCGTTCCGTTTTAATAGCCCAAAATTGATGACGATCGTCCGATGTGTTATAAATATATCCGAATGCTCGAGTGTCACGTGGATCAATTACGACAAACGATATACGTTCAATTTCATGGCAAGCAATTTGTGCCTAAAAAATGTACATTAGCACGAGAAAAAGATCTGATTTCTTTTCTTTTTCAACAACGTACTTTAGTAGTCTCATCGGTGATTTTTACTGTCGTCATCGTTAAGTTCAATTGAATTCGTTGTTTGTGTTCACCACGGGCACGCACAACAGCTTTCAATTTAAACATCGAATCAAGACAAATTTTTTCATCTCGATCCACAGTTAAATCTTCCATTCCGATTAATTTGGCTCGAAATGGAAGTCCATCGCCTTCGAACTTCTTCGTGTTAGCCGCAGCTGTTGTCGCGGCTTTCTTCACTTCATCGTCTTTCGGCGTTGGACTTGCTGGCGGAGTAGTTACTGCCGGTTCAGACATCTTCGTATAACTTGTGATAGATGCTAAATGAATCAAACGAAAGACAAATGCAACACCGCTGCAGCCGTGTAGATAGATGATAAGAAGATATTCTTTGATATACTCAGGTCGTTTTCTTATTCGTTTGAATACCTTAAGTTAAATATCAGCTAGAAGTGTTGGCCCGTAGGTGTAAAATGCAGCAAGAAAAAAAAAGATAACTCAATACAACAGATAAGCAGATAAACTCTCGCGTCTTTTGGTTCTCATACAAGGAAGCTTTTGTAATTCGTTGAATACCGTAGTTATCACGAAATTTTCTTACTTACAAAGCGTATGTGTAGAAAAGCGCATCCGTTCGTCCTCCACTTCGATCATCAATTGTATTGCTCATGTAGTATCAATGATCGCTACTGATTAGATAAAACTTCTTATTTCGCGTTTCGAATTTCTTTATTCGAACAATGAATCAATAACGACATACAATACAAAGAGAAAGGAAGGAGGAACTAGGGAGTTGTTATAGTTGTGGCTGTTTCCACCGGTATCCGATTGTAAAACTACCTGTCGTACGTATTGATGATGCTGTCGGCTGACGGATAAGCTGAAATTGTTCATAGTTCAATGAATTAGTCGGATTTATCGACGTATCATTATCATAAACATTAATCGTCTCAAAATAATGCGACATTTTAATTTGACATTTAATTAGAAATCGTCTTAATTCTCGTCGAAATTTTGAGCCGAAAAAAATGTAAATATAAAAGTTCATTGCAAATGAAATGTGATAAATCAAATGAAAATAATGTTCTAATTGTTTAAAGAATTTCGTTTGAAATCTTTCATCATTAGACAGTAAACGCCATGTATGAATACACGCATATGGTGCGCAAACAATTAGATACGATGTCGAAACAGTTAACAACAACTTGGTCATTGAACGCGACGCTTTGCATCGTGTTAAAACATGAAAGTTCTTCAATTGAGAGTTGTTCGTTTGAAATAACAGTTGATGCTGGCTATTCCTCATTCGTCGTAGTGATATCAAGATGATTGCATTCATGGTTATAATCATCATATACGGAATGAGAAAAACGATCAAACAGTCGATAATATCCATGATCGCATTTAGTTTGCGAAATTTTTCGTAGGAATAACAATATCCACCGACAATACCGACAATGAATGGAATGTACGAATAGATCAAACAGGCAATAAGAACGATACATAAAGCCAAACAACGTGATCGATACCATGAGAGAACATAAGAAACACGAATAGGCTGTGTAACAGCAAATAAACGTTGAGCCGTGAATGCAACTGTATAATACGCATTGATAAAATTACAAACGTACGTTAGGTATAAACTTGATTGACAAATGATTGGATGATGTAAAATATTGATATAATTTGTCAACCATAAACAAAACAATACCGATAAATACATCGTATCTGATATAGCCATGTAGAATAGAAATGGATATACGGACATCGTTGTTCCAACGGTTGTTCGTAAGGCTCGTTGACCAAAAATGATAATAACAAAACCATTGCCGATACATCCGATAATGACTAATAACAGCAAATAGATGTGTGTAAAGAAGAAATTGACAGGATTGAATTCAGTTGATAGTAGAGTGGTGTAATTAGAAGGCATTGATGTCAGATTCGCCATCGGAATACACTTTGATGAACTAAAAAAGTCGAGATAATCGTTGATAACTACGAGAGTCAGTTACGAAATGTTTGCAACTACGCAAATTGCTCTGCAAGGAGGTGAAACATGCTCTTGTGAATAATAATAAGGGGGAGAAAAATAATGCTTTGCACTCGTTATAACCTGGGATATCTTTGATAACCCCTTTGACATTGAAGCGGTTAATTGATGGAGAAAAAAATCTAACAGAATCAAAGGTAATCTAGATTATGTGATTTTCTAGCTGATAAAACTGTCTTTACTACAATGTTATTTCTCTTCAATCTACGTACTCAGAAAAAAAGGATTCGTGCTCGATATGCAAGAGAATAGGTAACAAACTTTTGACTCGACCGATAATTAACGGAATGACGAGATAAGTACTTGTTGTCATGCATCATCAATTATGTTAGAAGAAAAACATCTGCGTTTTGAACTGTTGGGACAGAGTAGAGCTATTTTAGTGAGCACTATCGAGCGGAATGCTTTTTCTAAATAAGATACACCGGAGACACACACGAGAGAGCAATCAAAACGAGATAAAAGAAAACAGAAAAACAAAACTGTCATTCTCCCGACGCACATCGGTTTTTTTCTCTGGAAATCTTGACCAGACTTAAGAATTCTGCCTCTGTGCATTATCAAAAGCACCTTTAAAAAAATGTCATTCATTTCCTCAGAGGACAAAATTGAGATTTTATGTCATTATATTTTATAAAATAAGGACAACGCTTCTCAATGAAGCAACATAAAATAGAAACAGTTTTTCGAACCGTATTAGATATTTATAAGACTAACTAATAAGAATTCATTCATTTTGCATGTCTTCAATCAGCACACGCGATCTGGGTACGCTGAACAATCAATCTTATGTTTCATTTCTCTCTCGAGGAGAATATAATTCCCGCCTACATTGTATACATGTCGCAATAATGATAATAACCGAGAAATTTCGTAAGTAGCAAGTTCAACAGTATGGCGGAGTACACCTTCTTTTAATTAAAAAAGCTTATTAACGTCGAACTTATCTCGCATTTGTCTATCCTTCACGAGTACAGGTTACTGGATGCTCGTAACTTTTCCTTAGATAGATTTATTATGAATATCTTCAGGATATTTCCATTTTCGTTATGTTGTATGCCACAGACAGAACATAATCAATAAATCTACATGATTTTATTAGATGTGATAACTAAACAATTACAAAGCAATCCCAGAAATGACCTACAATCATCAAATCTTCTAAAATTTATGTCAAATTTGAATTAAGTTTTCAGTTCGTAACTTTCTTTGAAAAGTTCGCATCAATTTTTAAAGTTATTTTATGCCAGGAATTATTCATCACACCGCGAATATTCCATATACCTAATGGAGAGTCAGGTTGCGAATTCGAATGGACGTCCATTGCGCGACAAACGACGTCGAAAGGCTCCGAAGGGAGATCTTTCAATGGAATGTGAGTAGACCAAAGAGTCCATGCCCATGCACGCATATACGGTTGAGCAAGTTGTTCCAAATCAGCTTGCAACCAAGTTTTCCTGTAGAAAGAAAATAAGAACTTTATCTTGACACATATATGATTAAAAATTCTTTTCAAAAACAAGTTCTTGTCTCGTGAACTTCCTATACAATAAGTATAAATAACAGCTACTTATATATTCAAAGGCGCAAATCTCGATAATATCAAACACGAATAGATACTGTTCTTCATTAGAACCAGACACTCGGTATTATTTGGTTAATGCGCCATATAGAGTAGAAAAGAAAACGGACGTTATTCTCCGCTTCTGCTGCCCACGTTGTGTTCGCTTGTTTCTTTTACATTTATGTCTCGAGGTCATTCTAAACTGGTGATTAGCTTACCCATGATCGAGACTGATCTGCACGTTTTGAACTTGCCTTCCGCCTCCACCGACTGCGTAACCTTTGATTGTTAATGTTTGATTTTTAGCATCCTCACCAGTCGGTTTAACCGAAAGAATTTTCACTTTATTCCCATCTTCAGTCGATGCAGGATAACAAATCGCTGATTGAACATTTGATTCTTGTATTGCTGGTACACGATCATAATCGGCTTGTTGTGGCTGTTTGATGGACTGTGGCAGAACTTTATAATCAGCCTTTTGCCAATGGCTATCCGATTCCTCGTTGGAAACAATAATTCGATTGACCCACTTGACACTTCGCGCGCCGACTGTGCCCGGGACAATAATACGTAGAGGATATCCATGATCACTAGTTAGAGTTTCATCATTCATTTCATATGCAATGAGAACATCATCACTGAGTGCTTTCTCCATTGGAATCGATGCACCATAACATCTAAAAAGTAAAATAAACATACGTTGCATTTTTCTGGGTCAATCAAGCTTTTTTAACCTTTGTGATGTATCACAATCAAGTCCCACAAACTGCACATGTTTGCCCTCTTTGAGTAAGCCAAACGATTCTAAGACGTCGCGTAATTTCACACCTGTCCACCGAGCATTGCCAATAGCGCCAACATACCATGGTGTGCCTTGTACAGAACCTTGTGCATCGTTATTCATAGCTGCACGACGATTTCCTGCACATTGTAAAGCAGATGTAACTGTATGCGATTGGTATTTATCTTTTAAATCATCGTAGGAAAGAGTATGTGCTGAAGTTCCATCGCCAATCTCCAGTTTGAACTCGTTAATGTTGACGAAGGGTACGTGCATATGATTTCGAACATAGAATTTTTCGATTGGTGTCAGAAAAGATGAAACGAGAACTGTAGGCTTTGTTTCGGCATTGAATGGCTTTTCCGAGCGAATGAAAAAGTTTTCAGTCGCATTGATTCGCTCAGGATCGTATTGAAATAAATCAACGACTTCCTCTTGAGCTTTCGCATTTGCTTCGCGTTCACCTACAAAATTCGACGCTGAAAACAGAAACAGATATTCCTGCTCGTACGATACCTGGTGGAAGATTTCCTATGCGATATTGTTCTAAGGTCTCGTACACATGATCAATTTGATGGATAGTAAAGATTTTCCAACATGCTTCTAAAGCTTTACCGGCAGTTTTTAAAATTTGTTTTCCTCCGGGATGATTTTCAACGAATGCGCTTATATCATAGACTCCATCTTTATAAGCGAGCCAATAGCCTTAAGAAAAATTCCATTGAAATTTTTTCCGAGAAGATGAATTTTCAAATTTCTATTTGTTTCTGGTTTTTAGAGAAATCAATACCATTTTCTTTCGTTGTATGCTTTGCTACTTCAGTCATGCTATACGTCGGTAAAGATGATTTATGTTCACCAATAACGAACGGAGTTTTTGTTGTGTCAGCATAAACTACTGGTCTGTATTTGTTGAAAAGATAACCTTTAAAAGAAATGGGACAGTATTACATTTCATGGTCATGTGTACAGATAAAATGATTCTACCTGCAGCTAAACTACTAGTGAAACCAATAGTAAGAATAGATGCTTTGGATTTTTGGCGAAAAATAGTTGTTATTCGTGATCGCATTTTGTTGAGGTCAATTAGAATCTAAATTTGAGTCATTTATCATTCTTAACACCATCTTTGACATTTTACACGATTGATCAATTGTTTCAACCAATAAGACGCTGTCCTATTTGTCTTCCGCAGTCAATCGTACGATTTGTTCTTTTACCGTCCACATTTGACTCATTAATACTAATGAAAATTTTCTGAAATTCAACCATGAGTTTAACAGGAGTTGTGTCGGAAACACCCAATGTTTTACTGTCGCCCGAAAGACTTCTTATGGAAGTACCACAAGGTCTACATAACTCCATGGCAATTGCATCGTTAATTATTTGGTACGTTTCATCTGCTGCAACACTATTCTCAAATAAATATATCCTAAGTACTTACAATGGCGATGCATTTTCACTAGGTATTCTACGCAAATTTCGTTCATTTGGATCAATTTTATTTGTTTCGTTCAATTCGTTTAGGAATGAATCAACTTCTTCTATCCGTGATAACAGGCTATGTTCAAATGCAAATCATGAATAGAATCTCGACGCAAATCCATAAGAATCCATCGACTGCCAAGGCAGTCTTTCAAGATATGTTTTTTATCGGTGCATTTCGTTGTGTTACAGTTATCCTCGGCTTAATCGCACTTAAACACATTGCTGTTTCATTTGTGGCAACTATCAAATCGTCTTCGCCTTTGTTCACTGTGATTATTAGTCGGATAATTTTAGGAGAAAAAACGGGCATTTGGACAAAATTCTCAATGGTGCCAATCACAGTTGGTCTTGGCCTGTGTAGTTCATTTGAATTGAGTTTCAATATATTTGGCTTTCTGTGCGCCTTGGGAACAAATATTTTCGAATGGTAAAACGAAAAGAGAGATTTCCGATAAGGAAAAAATATTTCTTCTCCTTTTAGCTTACAAAACGTCTACTCAAAAGTGCTCATAAGTGGCGAACGCTATCGTTATACAGCTGTTGAATTACAGTTTTGGGCAAGTTTGGTCGCATCTGTTTTTCAGATACCTCTACTGTTTTACAATGTTCCTGTTTTGTCAGCGATACGTTCGACTTCTCTGACACTTTTTCTTTTATACATCTTTAATGGGATTTCATATCATATTCAATCAGTTGCTGCTTATTCTGTCATGGCCTATATCTCGCCCATAACACATAGGTAACGTGTTAAGGTCTAGAGTTTGGTGTTGATTCATATCATTCCCTTTTAGCGTGGCTAATACGGTTAAGCGAGCATTGTTAATTTGGTTATCAGTATTGATTTTTCACAATCCAGTTACATTTCTTAGCGGTTTTGGTACATTAACAGTTATCTTTGGGGTGATATTGTACAACGAAGCACGAGACATCGAGAAGAAGGCGGGAAATTCGTCTACTTCAGCTAATAATAACGGTCCAGTCATAGCATGGAGAGATATTTGAAGCAATCCGCAAAGTTCAGTCTCAGTATTTGTGATATTTATCCTGACGCAGATTTAATTTTATTTAAACGAACATAAAAACTAGACAAATCTTTCAGCAGATACAATCATGTCCTTAGCATTTTCTTTTTATTTATCTATAAGACGTTGTTCTTTGCTTTTGTTTAAAGAAAAAATATTTGTTATTGATTTCATCCAATATAAGAGTATTCGTACAGTGAAAAATTCCTAATCTTTACTCTTTTCAACTATCATCATCACAATTTCAAATTAACATACGATCAATCTATATCTACAGATGTCACAGAAAAAATGTAGAGTAAAGCCTGGATGGTGAATATCTATGAAAAATAAATTTTACCTCAGACTGGGTAAACAAAAGCAAACGAAGTCGTGTTAATCATAACTGCAGAGAGAAATATTTCTGACGAAATGACTTTTGCAATTGCAGAAAACTGACACGTAATGTCTTTTCACAACAGTAATAGGCTGATATGCAACATAATTTTTCACAATCTCGTTGTAATATTGTATAAAATTTCGGCCCCATATTTTTCCTGTTCTTCTCTCATTCACTCTCCGACAGCCCTTTTACTTTTCCTGTCCTTATTTACGACGTGAATCAACCTTATTCAACGGTTATTGTCGACAAGTATTGCAAAGCTCGGTGGCAACTACCACTGATGTCATTTCGCAATCGAGTGAAAACTAGATGTTTTTCTTCTTTGAATTAACCCTTCTATGTCTTATTTTTTGTCTAAACGGACAATCGCATACATAAAAGGAGTTATTTTTCTTGCAGATTCCTGTCGTTTTTCTGTTGCAAAGCGAAAGAAGCATACTATGGCCGATTCAAAAGTTAGCGGTGGTAAGACCAGTCATCGGATGTATACAATACGAAACTCTAAATGTGTTCTTTGCTACTTTAGTCTATCGAATTCCTCCTTTCTACTATTTACATGTACTTGATCAAAATACCAACGTCACTCGACTTGAAGTTGGTCCAAAAACCTTCGTCAAGCAAGATCATGAGAAGGTCATCCTCGGACCTGAACGCATGTTAATCATTCCGTATGTTCGCATTCAATGTGATCGAAAGTAGTCATCTTATTTCTTTCGTATTTTCCTCTTTAGACCACGTCACTATTGTGTAGTGGAGAATCCAGCCATTCGAGACAAAGATGGCAAAGTTGTTACAGATTCGAATGGTCAAGTGAAATTGCTTCACTCAGATGTTGATATTCGTTTCGCCCAAGAGCCATTTCCCCTCTATCCAGGAGAAGTTCTCAAACAAGCAGTCACACCATTAAAAGTCATTGAGCCTAACTGTGCATTACGTCTTCGTGCCGTCTTGGATTTTGTTGATGAAAACGATAAACAAATTCGAGCTGGAGACGAATTTCTCTTTCAAGGACCTGGTATGCTTTGAAAAAAAAACCATCTCGTGTCAGTCATTCTTTCCCTTTCTTTTAGGTACCTATCTTCCTCGTAAGGAGGTTAGTGTTGAAGAACAAATCAAAGCAGTCATCTTGAAACCAGGCGAAGCCGTTCGTTTACGTGCTAAAAAAGAAATGACAGATCGCGATGGTATTGAACGCGAAACAGGCGAAGAATGGCTGAACCGAACAGTCGGATCCTACTTACCCTTAGCCTATGAAGAAGTTGTCTCAACAGTCAAAGCCTATGTGCTTACTGATAAAGTGTGTATTTACCGCTACGATCTAATTCAAAATACACGACGAATGTTTGGGTTTGTTTTGTAGAAAGCACTTCATGTCCGTGCACTGCGCACATTTACGGATGCATTCAAACACAAACGTCTTCATGGTGAAGAATGGTTAATCTATGCCAGCGATGCCGAAACCTACATTCCCGACGTATATGAAGAGGTAGATTGGACAGCACTGTTTTGGAAAATAATATGAATTTGAATTTGATAGGTTGTTGGCGTTGTATCTGTAACCGTGTTGAACTCTCGTCAATATTGCGTCATTCTTGATCCAGTTGGTTCTGACGGTAAACCACAGCTTGGAAAGAAAAAACTCGTTAAAGTATGATGCGCTCCAACTTGTATAAAGCAGAAAATATATCTAAATATCTTTTATAGGGCGAAAAATCCTTCTTCCTTCAGCCCGGTGAAAAATTAGCTAAAGGCATTCAAGATGTCTACGTTCTTGAAGAAGATGAAGGTCTTATCCTACGTTGCACAGAATCATTCAAAGAAGATGGGGTAAGTTTGTGACCATCGATCAATACATAATAAACTGTTTTGACGTTTTATAGAAAGTCGTTAGAAATCCTGGTGATCGCTGGATGGTTCGCGGGCCTAAAGATTATATTCCAGCTGTTGAAGCTGAAGTTGTTCTTCGTCGTAAAGCAACCCCATTGGATGTCAATGAAGGAATTTACGTTCGTGATGTTAAAACCGGTAAAATTCGATCGGTCATCGGCAGTACATATTTATTGACTGAAAATGAAGAACTTTGGGAAAAAGATTTACCAGCACAAGTTGAGCAATTGATCACTTTAGATCCACGATACTTTGAAGATAAAGCAGGACTTCCTACTACTATTCCACCACGTGATAAATCTAAAGTTGTTGTCTACCGTGTGCCACACAATGCATGTGTACAAATCTACGATTATAAATCAAAGAAGGCGCGTATTGTTTTTGGTCCTGAACTCGTTATGCTTGGTCCCGATGAGCAATTCACCGTTTTGAATCTTTCCGGTGAAAAACCCAAAGTACCCAACAAAATCCGTGCTATCTGTCTTCTCTTGGGCCCGGAGTTTTCCAGTGATATTGTTACCATTGAATCAAGTGACCATGCTCGTCTATCTCTTCGACTTTCTTACAACTGGCACTTCGAAGTACGAAGAATAGATTTCAGCAAACTAGATTTCATTGACGGTTTTGTTTACTTGTAGGTTACTGATCGTAATGACCCGAAAGAAGTTGCTAAACTCTTTTCAGTCCCTGACTTCATCGGAGATTTCTGCAAAGCTGTTGCTGCCAAGATCCGTGGTGCCGTTGCTGCTATCCCTTTCGATGATTTTCATAAGAACTCAGCTAAAATCATTCGTACATCAGTATTTGGCCTTGATGAAAATAAACGAGTCAACAACCGATTACTATTTCCACAAAATAACTTGGTTTTAACTTCAATTGATATTCAAAGTGTCGAACCTGTTGATCAACGAACACGTGATGCACTTCAGAAGAGTGTCCAATTGGCTATCGAAGTATGTTGCGAAAGACAAGATTGAATTGTAGATAGAAAATAATGATGATGATGATATCATTTAGATCACAACCAATTCACAAGAGGCTCAAGCTAAACATATGGCCTCTCGAACTGAACAAGAAGCCAAAGGTCATTTGGAACGACAGAAGATTACCGATGAAGCTGAAGGTAAGATTGAACCTGGCGAAAAATAGGACCGGGAAAACATCTATTGTTTATTTTTTTCAGCTGAAAAGGCTCGACGAAAACTATTGCAACTTCAAGCACTATCAGCTGCTGTTGAATCAACCGGTCAATCGCGTGCTGAAGCACAATCACGAGCTGAAGCTGCTAAAATCGAGGGTGAAGCAGCAGTTGAACAAGGTAATATGATAACATTCTTTTGTTGAATAATTTTTAAACAACATAATTTCATTTTTTTTAGCCACACTTCGTGCCCAAGCAGCTAAGATCGAAGCTGACATCGAACTTTACCGATTAACTCAAGCTCGTGAATTGGAATTGAGCTATTCGAAATTAGTTTCTGATCTTGAAATTGAAAAAGCCAAACGATTAGCTGATATCGAAACTGAAGAATTCAAACAACATGTTTCTGCTATTGGACCTAAGACCATACAAGCAATCGCAACAAGCGGACCTGATAATCAAGTACGACTTTGCTTTTTGGAGTTCAAATTGATCTTTTTTATGAAAACCTTTGTTTTTAGGTCAAACTTCTTCAAGCACTTGGTATCAAATCAACTTTGATCACTGATGGACGTAGTCCAATCAATCTTTTCAACACAGCTGTTGATTTAGTTGGAACACCAGCTGTGCAACAATAATCAGCACTCATGCAAACAACTAAAACCCATATGAGTGCCGTCAGATTTTTCAAAAACAAAATCCAACACTTCATTGTGACAGTTCTTACCTTTTTGTGTAACCTATAGAAAATTTTGTTTTCAAGCATCATTTAAGAAATAAATACTATACATATACATACGTTAAAGTTCATATTTTTACTCAAATGTTCAGAACGACAATAGAAGATCGATCTGAAGTCGGTTGATTATTCGTGAGATTTGGTGACTGATGTGTAAAGAAAAAATATTTATATCCGAAGGCTTATATGTTGATAAAACGCAAAAGGTAGTGACGTCAAGTGTTTGCGTTTATTGTCCCTATATCCCTGCCGCGCATAGCAAGGAACAACAGTATTGGGTTATGTCTTTCTATAGAAAAAAAAAACTACGAAAACCAATTTCTTTGTCGAAGTTTAGTGAATTCACATTTCTCACTATGATTCATTCTCAACTTCGAACCCTCGACAAATGACCTCATTTTCACCTTTATAAAGTCCACGATGTGAGAATAGAGGGATGAGGTGTGCGAGCTCCTCCTACTTCTTCTTCTTCGTAGCACCTGGGAAATTTTCTCTATTCTGTATCTGCAAAAATGATTGAACAATGTTGGTCAAGCCATCCTCATTTTTAGCGACAATCGAGAAGCAATACGTTGGCAAAAGAACGTGTTTAGTTTTGTTGTCAGATTTATTATTCATACATAAACTTGAAAGGAGAACATAATCAAGCTAAAAGTTTTATTATAAAATAACATGAAGACAAGTGCACGAAGTTCTCAATATCGCATCGGGTTTATTCGTTTTCGACGACTTGATATCCGTTTGAAGTGTTTCGGGATGCTCCAGCATTTCGGTTGGTGTTTGTGGTTAAACCACCAAGAAGGCCTTGGCCAAATCCCATAAGATTGATCGGTGTATGACCATCGGTGACAAGCATTGATTGAAGACCGAGTGCTTGAAGAAGTTTGACTTGAGTATCTGGACCAGAGGTAGCGATGGCTTGAATGGTGGACGATCCAATGGATTCGACTTGTAATTTGAATTTTTCTGTTTCAATGTGTGACATTTCGGCTTTTTTACTAATTTCTAATTCATTTTGATCATGAAGAAATTTGATCTCAGCTTCACGAGCTAATTTCAAGCGTGATAATTCAGCCTCGGCTTCGATACGAGTAGCTTCAGCTTTGAGACGAGCTATTCAAAAGAAGAAATTAGCAATGTGAAGAGGTCGAAAAAACTTTCTCTACCTTGTTCGACGGCAGCTTCTCCTTCGATTTTGGCAGATTCTGCTCGACTTTGAGCTTCAGCTTTAGCTTGGCCAGTTGATTCGACAGCAGCTGATTGTGCTTGTAATTCGAGAAGTTGTTTACGAACTTCCTCAGCTTCAGCTTCATCTTTAATACGTTGTCGTTCTAATAAACCTTTGGCTTCTTGTTCACGCCGTGAAGCCTCATGTTTAGCGGCAGCTTCTTGTGAATTGGTTGTGATCTAAATGATATCATCATCATCATTATTTTCTATCTACAATTCAATCTTTTCTTTCGCAACATACTTCGATAGCCAATTGAACACTCTTCTGAAGTGCATCACGTGTTCGTTGATCAACAGGTTCGACACTTTGAATATCGATGGATGTGATAACGAGATTATTTTGAGGGAAAACAAATTGATCGCGAACGCGTTTATCAGCATCAAGACCGAAAACTGCGGCACGGATGATTTCTGCTNAATAATATCTGTCATGATTTAATTTCAAGAAAATCAAATCTGAAGGTAAAAAATATATAGATTTCGTCTGTGCACAATCGTGACCTACGAAACACAATGAACGATATGAACAAAGACCGACCGATACGATCATGACGAATAGATTAGAAGCAGACGAAAAGAAGAACGAAAAAGAAAAACATTCTCTACACTGCGCACGCTTCGCGTATATTGAAGGTTAATATACAACAGGAAAGGAAGAAGAAGAAGAAGACATAAAACGATCATTTAGTATCTGAAGTGCAGTTAAAACAATACGTTCAATTGAAGAGAAATATTTGGACCAAATTCGTGTACATTCTTTTTGCATTGCATGTCGTTGATTGGAATGAATCATTCTCAAATAAACTGGTAATAAACTGTACGACGCATTGAAATAGATAATCACCGATTTAGACCAATCAATAATTTCACTAAAGGGAAGAATGAGAGATTCGTCGTCATTGCTTGTTATAACTGGTATACAACCATATTGTAAAACTTCAAGAAATCGATACGAATATAAACGTCGTCCGCTGGGCACGAGACAAAAATGTGATTGCTCTAACAGTTTGATATATTCGGTTTTGTTATCGGAGTTCGTGTCATTATCGGTGAACTTGATGATAATGTCGTTATTGTTATTTAAATGATGGAAAAAAGTGCGATGATGTTGAACATCTTCATAACTTTTTCCTTTGAAGGACAGAAGGGTCGTGCGAGAAGTGGACGATGAAGGAAAATGATAAAACGGATAATCAGAGTGAAATAGTGGAAATGTCAACTGTGACGAACAGTTATAATTCGAACGAGTCAAACTAGTTGAAGCAAGGATATAATGAGATGGTAGAGTAAAATCGAGTGTGCGACGATACGAAGGCCAAGTGCCTAGAAGATGAAGAAGAGTGCGAAGTGAGAAAATCGATAAAGGTAGACGTTGCGCAATTTTAGTCTTAGAAGATGAAAGATGGTCTTACCTGTGTAGTGATTAAATATGAGATGAATTGCGTTGGTGTCAGACCATTGAGGGAAGAATTTCAGCCGTTGTTCGATAAAATATAAATAATTACCATTTTTCGATCGACGATCTCGGTCAATTGTGTCAACTGGTGCTATATGCACACATGCACTAGTTGAATCATTGGTGTAATATGACGATTTCAGAATTGTTTCTAGTATTTTGGCGAAAACTGCGGATCGTACATAGGTCACATTCGGATGTTGTGCATTCTGATCGATATGAATAGAAAAACGCGTACTATTATTTCTACAAACGAGTTTACGTTCACAACTCAATAGTGTCGGAGCAGGTGAAGAAAACTGAGATGCGTTAGTCGAAGAAAAAAGCTGTGAAATAAGCGCGAGCTGTACAAGACATATAAGAATACAAATGATTGCGAGAAAGGCAACACGATGAGGTATATTAAAAAAGGCAAGGAGAGATTTTATCATCGTTCATTCAATCAATATATAGACNCCGATGCTTGAGTGGTAGTGCCTTGCTGTTGAGATTTATCTGATCCTTGATTACGCGTTGGAACATTGCGCTCAGCTAATGGGTCACGTGATAATAAGTCTTCGACTTGTTTTGGTAATTCCTTTTGCCAAAGTTCTTCATCTTGTGTGAGCATGTAAGTTTCGCCGACAACAGCTCGTACACGGCCAGTTTTGATATCACGAACATAGATACCTTCGTTTTCATCTAATGGAAGTGCCTTGCGGCGGGTGAGTACTTCGACTTGTGTGGGAGGAATATATTCACTAGAATAACGAAAAATTAAGGTAAATTTCTATATTTTGGATAGAGAAATCTCTTACGTTGGACCACGAATCATCCATCTGTCACCAGGATTTCGTGTTGTACCAGCTTGTTGATCTTCGAATGTTTCAATACATTTGAGAATGACACCTTCGTCTTCGCCTAAGATGTAAACATCTTGAATGCCATTTTCGAGTTTTTCGCCGGGTTGAAGAAAGAAGGATTTTTCACCGACAACAAGTTTCTAAAAGGAAAATAATACATTTCATCATCCCTGTCTCAGATTTGGTATAGCGCGCATACCTTTCTTCCCAATTGTGGTTTGCCATCGGCAACGGGATCGAGAATGACGCAGTATTGACGTGAATTCAGAGTGATAACATCAACGACAGCAACTAATTGCTCATAGACGCTGAGAATATGTGTTTCTGTATCTGCATGTGTAACAAGCCATTCTTCACCATTCATGCGTTCTTTACCGAAATCATCAGTAAAAGTTTTCAATGCACGAATATGTAGAGCTTTCTTGTCAGTTAAAACATAGGCATTCTCGACTGAAACTACGGTTTCCTGAAAGCATTTAAAACGACACGTAGATTTCATGAGAGGTAGCACTCTGAGATAAACTTACATATGCTAGTGGCAGGTAAGCACCGGTCTTTTTTACTAACCATTCTTCACCGGTAACACGTCGTTGACCATTTCGATCGGTGATTTCTTTTTTAGCACAGAGTCGAATGGCTTGGTTGGAACCGATGACAGTGGCGCGAATTTGTTCTTCCACACTAACTTCTTTTCGTGGGATATAAGTGGCTGGTCCTTCGAATAACCATTCGTCACCAGCTTTACGTTGTTCTTTGGTTGTTTCATCATCGAAATCAAGAACAGCTTTCAAACGTAATGCTGAATTGGCTGGAACTACTTTCAAAGGAGTTACCGGCTACAGAATAGATTTTAAAAAAAGGCATAGTCATGTGTTTTTTGACAGCGGTATTAATTCTTTTCTATACCTGACGGAGGACTTCTCCTGGGTAGAGTGGAAAGGGTGCTTGATCTGCACTTGCAAGACGAATGTCCAAATCAGCATGAATCAATTTCGCTTGACCATTTTTATCGAATTCAACTTCACCGGCCTCGTTACGTACTACTGGTGATTCGACAACGCAGTAATGACGTGGTCTAAACAAGAAATTTCGAATATGAACTTTTTCTGTCGTTTATTATCGAGAAAACAAAGATTCACGTACGGCACGGTAATCATCTTTTCTGGTCCAACGGTAACGGTTTCATTGTCTTGTTTGATAAATGTTTTGGGACCAATTTCAAGACGTGTCACATTAGTATTTTGATCGAGCACATGAATATAATGATACGGCGGTATACGATATACCGGACCGGTATTGCTTTTGCCAGCTGTAGTTGTAGTAGAAGGATTCATGATGTATTATCAACAACGATCTAGACAGAATTTGTGTGAAATGAATGCCTACTTATAAAAAGTGAAGAAAGGCGAGTGGTGAACGAGATATTGCATGAGGGATGGTAAATACTTTGTTTCAAAGGATTGTGCAAGTTTGCCCCACTGAAAAAACCAGAGAAAAAATCTATATTTCTCTCTCCGTGTCTATTTGCAGTGGCGTTGTGCAATGACGTCGCATTGCCTCGTATCGACGCCGATGGTGAAAGAAAGAAACGGCGACATATTATCAATGATGATTCATACTTAAAAAACAACTCACATTTATTCATATTTCAACTAAACTGTGCAGTACAAGTATTTAACCTATTTTCACGAATGTGCCTAAACTGGGGTCATATTGTTCTGCTCGCCATATAAGTGGTGATTTTTACTTTTGTTATTTGCAGAAATGTCTAGATTTTTATTTTCGACAATGTTACCTAGCGAAAAAGGAAAGAATCACACCGACAATTACACAAAAAGAACAAGCAGAAGAAGCGAGATTGAACCAAATGAATACACACACACAGACGTACATATAAACAAAAAAAGTGGGAGGAAAGAAGAATGTCTAAATTGATATTTCATAAAGATCTTTATAATATACTTTCTAAAGACACAATCTAGGCGAGTTTAGAAACAAACAAAAGAAGACAAAAAGAACTCTTCTCAAGACACGCTATTCAATATGAATGACCGTGACAATGGTCCGAGTCGAATGTTTAAGATCATTTTTAGGAAATGACGAGAAAAACAATAATGCAATTTAGGCAGCAGGTGGTGCTGATGGTTGTATCGATTGTAAATCCCCATGAACACGAAACCGGTATAGACAGGTATAATTAGGGTTACCCCAATTCGATGTAATTCGGACTTCGAGAAATTCCACAACTGGAACATTGACAAGCTGAAAGAAGCATATCGTGAGTGAAGATCACATGAATGACTCGACACTTACTTGAGGTTTAAATCGTTGAAGTGATGGGCCATTTTCAGCATCGTAAAAATATCGACCGAGAACTATACCTTCTTTATCATTTTTGTCTTTCAATGCCTAGAAAATGCAATTTCATAATGTCGAATCCTTCTCGTTGAACATGAACTTACATAAACAGTAAAGTTATTTGGTGCACTATTGATATGTCCAACGATAGAAATACTTTTTGTTAAATGTTCAAGGACGAATTCTTTTGGTTTCACGGGCACTGCTAACTTGATTACTACACTGCCATGATCACCCTTGAAGGGAAAACACTGACCAGGCATACGACCCGACTAAACAAAAGACACCTCGTAGAGAATTCAACAACTCCTTCGAGAGGAAAGCACAAACTTTGATCAAAATATTTGGCTGCTTTGACATATGTATAATTGGAATACCGAGGAATTTCACAACATTTTGACGCGGTTCTTCCGTATACTCAGTACATCTTGTATCGACAATTTTTCCTCCTAGATAAATCAACTGCGTGTGATATCTTATCGATCTCAATCACTCACCGTTTGCTTCGAGTGCGTAATCAGCTTGACCAGTTTCATCGGCTGCATATTCGTCGAGCAACAATCGAATTAACTAAAGAGACACTTTCTCAAACGCTCCTTCTGCAATGATTTCAACTTACAGCTTCTAATTCTCTTTCTTGAGCAGGTTTCAAAGCGTGGCTGGAACCAAGATATTTTTCTTTTTCGCGTTTGAATTCTTCGATTAAGTTGTTCACTTTCTGTAAACCAGCCTCACAATATTGCTTAGCGCTGTCTGTGGTTGTTTCAACTGCTCCACCAACACTCTCTTTGACATTGTCAACTTTTCGATGAAAAAATTTCCTGACACCATAATACACATCGTCGAATTTGTTCAGAACTGTATTTTTGGCATTCTTCGTCGTCGTCAAAATCGTTTGTAACACACGACCGCCACGGTTGTACGTTTGATCCTCGACAAAGTGAACTGACTGACGGGTGACATTATCGGCGTATTCTTGAAATCTTCGACAACCTTGGTAAAGTTTTGATTCCGGATAATGTTCAAATGGCTTGCAAGCCAGATGAGGAACTAGAAAGAATTGAAGTAAGCAAAACGAATCGAAATCAAAGAAATTATTGACTTACAAGCATAAAAACCAAGAAAGAGTAGAAGTGGAAGAAGTATCCACCATGGTAAACCGAAGAATTTATGCCAGACAAAACTCAGAATATCAAATGGTAAACGAATAATTCTTTTGATTAAACGAACAACAATATTATCTTGATCTTCTTGTTCCTTCACTTCTTTTTCGTGTTTTCCACCATAATCTTCATTAATTTCCTCGTAATCATGCTGGCTATCTTGACTTTTTCTTTCTTTTCGTTGTTTACTCGTTATTTTGCGTTCTTCACTATCGATATCACGAGGTGTTGAGTGAACAGGAGTGCCACGTCGGCGAAGATTATAGTTTCCCGATTGGGCATTCGTTGATGATTGCGACGATGAACGCGTATATCGTGAACCACCAAAGGACGATGGAGAATTCAAGATTGGTGCTGCTTGATCCTGATTGCTATGATGTGTTAACCGATCGCGGATAGCAGAGTAACTATTCACTAATTGAGATCGTACATTTGAAATAAATCTTCCCGGCGACGAAAGTGCTGACGATGCTGAAGAAAAACTTCGCGATCCATAGGCAGGATAATCACCATGTAAATCACGACGAGCCATAACGGGAACATCATATGAGCCATTTTGCGTCACGGGCATATAAGATACACTAAACGAGCGAAAAAATTCGACGTTACATCAAAATTTCATATTACTCTCAGTACATTTGTTCACCCTCATTGATGTTATCACCTGTTTATTATGAAATCAATTAGGACGATGGGCGCAGAGTGTATTGTCTATCAAGACCGATCTGCCTCAAACTGAACTGTCAATACTCTATCAGATTCGGCTCACAAAGAAATCATCAATCATATCGAAATCGAGTTCATCACACAAACTAGAGATTAATGCTCAACAATAATCTATACGTATATCTCCGAAACATAATGATCACTGACACAGAAGAAAGACGAACGATGCATTATTATCAACGTATTAATTAAAACTGAATACAAACCTGTGAGCGTAGGTATAAGTTGTTGGTGGCAAACCACTAGAAAAACGAGAAAATGTCCTTTGTTTATTGTTCGATTTTCGCGCAAAGAGCTTACTCAGTTGGTGATTTGGTATTCTGAAGTATATCATGTACACTTCTGTTTGCCGTTGTTGAACCTACTCGTCGCTTAGTAATTGTATCTGTTCGCACTTCAGTTTCAATAAACATTGGTCGACGAGCTGATGTAATTGATCTGTTTGTTTCGATAATGTCATCATCAATAATAATATCTGTCATGATTTAATTTCAAGAAAATCAAATCTGAAGGTAAAAAATATATAGATTTCGTCTGTGCACAATCGTGACCTACGAAACACAATGAACGATATGAACAAAGACCGACCGATACGATCATGACGAATAGATTAGAAGCAGACGAAAAGAAGAACGAAAAAGAAAAACATTTTCTACACTGCGCACGCTTCGCGTATATTGAAGGTTAATATACAACAGGAAAGGAAGAAGAAGAAGAAGACGACGACAGAAAACGATCATTTAGTATCTGAAGCGCAGTTAAAACAATACGTTCAATTGAAGAGAAATATTTGGACCAAATTTGTGTACATTCTTTTCGCATTGCATGTCGTTGATTGGAATGAATCATTCTCAAATAAGCTGGTAATAAACTGTACGATGCATTGAAATAGATAATCACTGATTTGGACCAATCAATAATTTCACTGAAAGGAAGAATGAGAGATTCGTCGTCGTTGCTTGTTATAACTGGTATACAACCATATTGTAAAACTTCAAGAAATCGGTACGAATATAGACGTCGCCCACTGGGCACGAGACAAAAATGTGATTGTTCTAACAGTTTGATATATTCGGTTTTGTTATCGGAGTTCGTGTCATTATCAGTAAACTTGATGATAATGTCGTTATTGTTATTTAAATGATGGAAAAAAGTGCGATGATGTTGAACATCTTCATAACTTTTTCCTTTGAAAGACAGAAGGATCGTGCGAGAAGTGGACGATGAAGGAAAATGATAAAATGGATAATCGGAGTGAAATAGTGGAAATGTCAACTGTGACGAACAGTTATAATTCGAACGAGTCAAACTAGTCGAGGCAAGGATATAATGAGATGGTAGAGTAAAATCGAGTGTGCGACGGTACGAAGGCCAAGTGCCTAGAAGATGAAGAAGAAGAAGAGTGCGAAGTGAGAAAATCGATATAACTTCATCGAGAATTATGTGATCAATGAGCAGGGATGAGAGAAAACAATGCCTAAGGGATGTCATGTAGTGTGGGATAATTAGCGATCGACAGCAATGGGAATAGGATGAAAAATGGTTTAGTTACGATTATGTACAGGCGTGGTTATGGTTTTGTCTTAGTGTAATTAGTGAATGCATAGATAGTATCGTCAAGTCAACTCTATTTATCGTCAATGTTCATAAATAAATTCAAGTATATACACGTGTTAATTGTCTCGTAGAATTCATTGCAAAGAAGTGCACGCTGTTCAGTAGAATCTGTTTTTTGTATGAAAGGTTTCTTATCAGATGGCACATTGATGAAGGTGATATGATCATTAATCACTCGGGAGGGTAAAGCATGTACATTCTTTTTAGTGAGTAAAAGTCGTATGTGTGTGAGTAGAAAGTTTAGTAAGAAAATTGAATGCTGTCTGAATATTCTTTTCAAGATTTCTGTTGTTCAACTGTTTAATGTATCAATGTTACAAAGCAAAGATGCCGCTTCTCAAGTGTTTTGTGTACTTTAATATACACTTCAGTGTTTAATTGTCGAACGTTGCAGATATGAGAGAGAGCTGCTCGATTTTCATTGATTTCAATTATTCTGTTTATCATGATCACATAATTTGCGTTTGTTTCCAGAAGGTAAATGTTGCGCAATTTTATTCTCAGAAAATGAAAGATGGTCTTACCTGTGTAATGATTAAATATGAGATGAATTGCGTTAGTGTCAGACCATTGAGGGAAGAATTTCAGCCGTTGTTCGATAAAATACAAATAATTACCATTTTTCGATCGACGATCTCGATCAATTGTGTCAACTGGTGCTATATGCACACACGCACTAGTTGAATCATTGGTGTAATATGACGAATTCCGAATTATTTCTAGTATTTTGGCGAAAACTGCGGATCGTACATAGCTCACATTCGGATGTTGTGCATTCTGATCGATATGAATAGAAAAACGTGTACTATTATTTCTACAAACGAGTTTACGTTCACAACTCAATAGTGTCGGAGCAGGTGAAGAAAACTGAGATGCGTTAGTCGAAGAAAAAAGCTGTGAAATAAGCGCGAGCTGTACAAGACATATAAGAATACAAATGATTGCGAGAAAGGCAACACGATGAGGTATATTAAAAAAGGCAAGGAGAGATTTTATCATCGTTCATTCAATCAATATATAGACACATTGTGATTAATTAAACCACAGGAAGAAGTTGACAGACAATATATACCACCAACCAATTCATGTCTTGGTCTTTGTCCTCGAAGATTAGCAATACGTTTATGCAGTTGGTTTATGTATATACATCAGCGACATCTACTTACTACCAAAAGATGAGATCTAAACTGCTTGAACACCTAAATATGTTTCCTCGTCAGTGAAACTTACACAAAAAGAATGAACGGCACTTAGCAGTCAAAGAATAGAAAATTACTATTTTGCAGTACAAGTACATAAAATATGGTACCCATTAACCAGAAAAAGATTTTTATTAGGAAAATTGAATGTATGCACGATAAATTTTGCCTTTTGAAATTTTAAAGTTACTCTAATACATGAGAGTTTGTGTATTAGTTGCAATCGTTACGCTGTGGACAGTTGATGTTTGTTCAAAATTCAAAGTTGCCAAACCATGGATAATTCCGACTGAAATAAGCTTTCAAAATCTCAGATATACTCATTAAAATGCTGTAATTGGGATACTTTGATGTTCATTACTACATCCGAAAATACGTCAAAATTCGATGTGCATCGATACGAAAGCTGAGAAGGCATTGTGTACTTTAGTGCATCGTTGTTTCTTAGTTCGAGATAGAGATCCTTTTTTAATTCATCTATAGTGTGCGAAGCGGTTCGAAGATGGTGTTGCAGACTGTAACTAGGTATTCCTGATGAATGTGCACGCAACAAAAGCATAAGACACCAAGCCAAGGCAATTGGTAAATAGTTTACATTATTTTGATTACATTTTGGCAATGGAGAAAAATATTTTAGCTTATTGTTAATATTCATAGTGCTAGCGCATTTGTTTTCCTCTACATTAAGGGTGGAAAGGACACTTTTTGTATTTTAGTCAGTATCAGCAACAGGAAAGTAAATTAAACCACTAGGAATATATCCGACAGATATAGATTCAATTAACTATACTATTTTCATTCATTAAAGAAATGTTGAAAGAGATTTAAGTTAAACTCTAAGTATTCACTTATAAAAATCGGACATCCAGAAGTAGCATAAACACATAAATATCTTTTATATGTGTAGATGTTCTCGTTGAACTTGTCTTTCTCTTAAAAATTTCATCGTTTATAAGTTAATAGAGTGTCTGATCTCACTTAATTCTCTACCTTTTCAATAGATAGATGGCAATATTCAATTGGCTCACTTGCTCATTATTTTTATCAATCATCGTTCCCGGAACAGGTGAGATTGGTGTTCACAATCATCACATGTCGTTTAACAGATAAATATGCACTCTATAATTGATTTCTTTTAGCCATATCTTACAATCTACCAAAGTTCTGTGCAAATGCTACATGGAATGCTTCGGCCGTCACATTTGCCACTGCCACCATAGTTGGCGGAACTCCTTACGGGATATTTGTCAGTAGCAACAATACAGTCTATGTGGCAAATCGAGAGTCTAGTCGTGTTCATGTCTGGCTAGAAGGAAGTACAACACCCATCAGTAACATTTCGAATGGCTTGAGCAATCCATATAGTGTGTTTGTCACTGATAATGGCAATATCTATGTTGATAATGGTGCATCCAACAAGCGAGTCGATCAATGGCAACTCAATTCCAATGGTAGTGTTCCAGTCTTGTTTACCTGCGACATATGTTATGATCTTTTCGTTGACTCCAATAACTACATATATTGTTCAATGACCAATTATCACGAAGTTATCGGCAAAACTTTGGATATAGCTACCAAACAGAATGTTTGGAGTATTGTAGCAGGCACCGGCAGTGCTGGATCGACCACAACGACACTCAGTAGTCCTCGTGGAATCTTTGTCGATGTCAACTTTAATTTATATGTTGCTGATTCAGGCAATGCTCGAGTGCAGCAATTTTCGTATCGTCAGCAAACAGGAACAACTATTGCAGGTGCTGCGGCTGCTGGAACGATTTCGCTAAGTACTCCCACAGATGTTGCGCTCGATGCTGATGGTTATCTTTTCATTGTCGACAGTGAAAATCAACGTATTGTTGGTTCGGGGCCTTACGGCTTTCGTTGCATAGCTGGATGTACACAAAGTGCTGGTTCAGCATCCAGTCAAATGGACAGTCCATCAACGTTCGGTTTTGATAGTTATGGCAATATCTATATCACCGATCGAGATAACAACCGAGTTCAAAAGTTTCTCTTATCAACAAATGTCTGTAGTAAGTATCATTCATACAAAATAGATAAATGCAATACAATCCGCTTCTCTTCTAGATGGATCGACAACTTCATTAACTTCTACTAGTATGTATATTGCCATGCTTTCCCTTATTTTCTGTTCACAAAATGTACATCTCATTTTAGCAACAGCGCCATCCACCGCTACCACAACAACCACATCATCAACACTCAACTCCTTTTCGAATAGTAAATATATTCTTCACTACCCTTTTTCATAAGATGTCTTGTAACTGAACAGCGATATGCACTCGAGAATCAAGTAGGATTCATTTCATTCTATTGCGACTGACAAAATGTCGTTGGGCATCAGCAAAGACCCAACAGAAGAAGATTATGTTGACAGATTCCAGTTAGCTCACTGATATGTTTTCAACAACCTTCATTTGTAGAGCATGAAATCGATGTTTGTTTTAGTTATTTCTTACAATCAACCAAAATTGAGTCCATATGCCATCTGGGTCGGAACTGGAATCACCTTTGCGGCGAGTACTACAGTTGGTGCTGATGTTTACGGTATTTTTGTCGACAAAAACAACACTGTTTATGTCGCTAGTAAAGCAAATAACAGAATTCTCATTTGGTTAGAAGGAAGCATATCTCCTCGTAACATCACCGTTAGTGTGGGTGCTCCATATAGTATCTTCGTAACAGCATCAGGTGACATTTATGTCGATAATGGAAGTTCCAAAAAGCGTGTTGACAAATATTTAGCAAATGATACTAACCCGACTTCAGTCATGTCTGTTACAGGTGCCTGCTATGACATGTTCATTGACATCAGCAACAATCTTTATTGTTCATTGTACGATTATCATCAAGTTGCAGTGACATCATTAAACGATAATTCCACCATGTGGAATGTAGCTGCCGGGGTATGTTCTTGTGGTTCGACGCAAAACAAGCTTTGCAATCCTCGAGGTATCTTCGTTGATACGTCTTTGAACTTGTATGTCGCTGACTGTACGAACAACCGTGTACAACTTTTTCAGTCAGGACAGATAAATGCAATAACTGTAGTGAGTGCGTCAGTTTCTGGAACCATCTCACTTGCCTGTCCAAGTGACGTGGCTTTCGATGCAGATGGCTACATGTTTATTGTGGATAGCAACAATGACCGCATTGTTGGATCAGGGCCGAATGGTTTTCGTTGTCTAGTTGGATGTACAGGTACTGCTGGTTCAACATCCAGTGATTTATACAATCCATCAACAATGAGTTTTGACTCCTATGGAAATATATATGTCACTGATCGAAGCAACAGTCGAGTACAAAAGTTTATTTTGCAACCAAACACGACATATCGTAAGTATATCAAGACAGACTGATTACAAAAATCACGGGAAGACTTGAGGAGGAGAAAAATATCATTTATACTGAGCCGAGTAAGTATTCTGTTTTGATCATGAATGGCATAAGAGTGTTTATAATTCATGGAAGCATTGCAACATCGATCAAGTTAATCTTGTTCATTTCTTTCTAGCATTTTCTTTCAATCAACCGAATTTTTGTCCATACACCACTTGGAACACTGAAGCTGTTACTTTCGTCGACGTTAACTTACTTCTTTCATATGTTTATGGAGTGTTTGTTGATATCAACAACACGATCTATGTGGCAAACTGGTGGCGTGATCAAGTCAATATCTGGGCAGCAGGAAGCACGACTATAACTAGAAATCTCACCTATGTATTGGATGGTCCCCTTAGCCTTTTTGCCACATGTTCAGGGGATCTTTATGTTGACAATGGCTTATCTTATGCTCGAGTAGATAAATGGGGCCCAAATGATACTATCAGCACTGTATCTATATCAAATACTGTGCAGTGTTACGATCTTTTCGTTGATATCTCTAACAATCTTTACTGTTCACTCACTGCCTCGCATAAAGTTGCCAAGAAATGGTTGGGCACCAATGACACAACGAAGACCATAGTAGCTGGCACGGGTGGTTACTCGGCGGCTGCAACTGATCTCTACTATCCTTGTGGAATCTATGTTGACTATCAGTTTAATTTATATATTGGAGACTGCGGCAATGATCGAATACAAAAGTTTGCCTTGGGACAAACGAGTGCAACTACTATAGCTGGTAATGGTGCACCTGGTACAATTACCCTTGACTGCCCGAATGATATTGCATTCGATTCGAATGGGTATTTGTTTATCACCGATAATTATAATCACCGTTTGATTGGATCGGGACCGTTTGGATTCCGATGTTTGCTCGGTTGTACAAAAGTTGCAGGTTCATTAGCAAGTCAACTCTACTACCCACGAACATTTGGTTTTGACACATACGGAAATATCTATATTGCTGATCAGGCTAATCTTCGAGTTCAAAAACTTTTGTTGGCAACCAACTCATGTAGTAAGTAACTCTGTCACTCAATTTTGGAACTAACCATTTGTTTCTTCTAGCCATATCATATAATCAACCCGTGCTCTGCGTAAATTCAATATGGAATCCGAATGCAACAACATTTACTTCAGTGTCCACCATTGGAGCATCACCTTATGGTATTTTCATCGATGGCATCAATTCAGTCTATATTCCTAGTCGAACAAACAACACTATTTTCGTCTGGTCACAATACGACACCACACCAACACGAAACAATTCTGGAAATCTAAATCGTCCACATGGCATCTTTGTTTCGTTGACTGGTGATATCTATATCGACAACGGATATTCGAATGGTCGAGTTGACAAGTTTTCATTCAATTCATCAACTGTAGCCACAGTCATGAGTGTTAATGGCACTTGCTTTGGTTTATTCATAGATATCAATAACTATTTGTATTGTTCACTTCATGATTTTCATCAAGTTGTAAAGGTCCTGCTCAACAGTAGTACTATAACACCAACGGTGGTGATTGGAAATTCGACTGCTGGATCTGATCCAACTATGTTAGATTCACCGTACGGTATCTATGTGGATAGTAACTTGAACTTGTACATTGCAGATTGTGGCAATGATCGAATTCAAAGTGTATCATCAGGATCAACAGGAGGAATAACACTTGTTGGAAACAGTTCATCATTGCCGACGATCACTCTGGATTGTCCTACAGGAGTGGTACTTGACAATAATGGCTACCTGTTCATTGTCGATAGTTATAACAATCGTATTGTTGGATCAGGACTGTATGGGTATCGATGTATCGTTGGATGTAGTAGTATGAGTGGCACAAGTGCTAGTCAGTTATCACTTCCACAAACAATGGCATTCGACAGCTATGGAAATATCTATGTGACTGATCAAAATAACAGTAGAGTTCAAGTGTATAGTTTTCAGAAGAGCATTTGTAGTAAGTGATGATGTTTGATAATGAAAAATATCAAAACTTTATGTATCACTACAGATTACATACAAACAACAACTTCAACTACTACGACTACTACGACTACCACAACTACCTCGACTAGTACTACCACTAGTACCTCGACCAGCACTAGCACTAGTACATCAACCAGCACTACCACCAGCACGTCAACTAGCTCTAGTACTTCGACTAGTACTACCACTAGCACGTCGACTAGTACTAGCACCAGTACCTCGACCAGCACTAGCACCAGTACGTCAACTACTACGACTACCACAACTACCTCGACTAGTACTACCACTAGTACCTCGACCAGCACTAGCACTAGTACATCAACCAGCACTACCACCAGCACGTCAACTAGCTCTAGTACTTCGACTAGTACTACCACTAGTACCTCGACCAGCACTAGCACCAGTACGTCAACTACTACGACTACCACAACTACCTCGACTAGTACTACCACTAGTACCTCGACCAGCACTAGCACCAGTACGTCAACTACTACGACTACCACAACTACCTCGACTAGTACTAGCACTAGTACCTCGACCAGCACTAGCACCAGCACGTCAACTACTACGACTACCACAACTACCTCGACTAGTACTACCACTAGTACCTCGACCAGCACTAGCACTAGTACATCAACCAGCACTACCACCAGCACGTCAACTAGCTCTAGCACTTCGACTAGTACTACAACTAGCACGTCGACTAGTACTACCACTAGCACCTCAACCAGCACGAGCACCAGTACGTCGTCTAGTAGGACCACAACTACCTTCACTACGACTAGCTCTACCTCCTCGACTAGCACGACCAGCACTACAACCCAAACCACTTCTACAACAGCTCCTGCAGAAACAAGTCAGCAACCGTCAACGAGTAGGCTATTTCCTATCATCCTCACTCTTAGTCTAAATCTCGACTTTTCTTTCAGATCAATTGATTTCAACTGAAGAACCTCAGTCCACGACGAATCTACCAACAACACAACAATCCATCATACTAAGTATTACTATCTCATTTTACACCAATATATCGACACTTTAAAAACTTATTTTCAGCTTGTTACCCACCAGCAATCACACTCATTCCCAGTGGATCATCTCTCACATCGCCGTTACAGTTCCGAAAAAATCAAGATTTCTCTATCGATTCAATGATTCAGTTCCGTTGCAATGGCTCTCTCTCTACAATCAAGCAATGGACAGTCAGCAACTGCACTTCTACCTCATGTCAATACCGAATTCACTTGAGTCAAAAGATTCAAACAACCTTCAGCGAATTCTATGTTCCAGCAAAAACTCTCGATTATGGATTATATCAACTAGTCTTAACTGTCATCATGGCAACGTTTCCAAGTGCCAAGTCATCTGCAATAGTCTATATCATGGTCACACCCTCTGGCATCACAGCTAATCCTGTTGCACTAGGCACATCAATGATCACACGTGGTTACGATCAAGATCTCGAACTCAATCCAGGCTTATATTCAGTCGATCCCGACGAAGATTCTTTTGACGCTAGTGTATGTGAATCACACCATTCTTGTGATTCATCTCATGACTGAATGTCCATTGTGTTCTAGAAATGGAAATATGCATACTATTGTCGATGGTATGGCTCATACAATTTTCCAAACATGCAAGGTCAATTGTTAACAATCGAAAATTCAAAAATTGATCCCTTGAATCCATCATGTTTGTCCAATCGATCAGGTAAACTTCATTCATTCCTCCAGATATTTCACTTCCATACTCTTCAACTAAAGACAACGATACAGGTCTCATCTTTGGCAATCTGATTTCATCACCAAAATCATCATTAACAATTCTCTCTGGTACTCTCCGATCTAATCAAATGTATCAGTTCATGGTCTACATGGAAAATAAAAAGAATGCTTCTATTCAAGCAACAGGCTATGTCATTGTCACAGTCGAAGATACTCGTCCACAATTAGTTGTCATTGGGTACATTACTTTCATTCTTTCATTCGTATGACATTCTTCCTTGCTGTCTCCTTTCAGTTGTGTCATATCAACTCTATGTTCACCGAATCTGGAATTCCAAGTAGTAAATCCAACCACTCAAGTTGCTCTGTATGCACTTTGTGTTGGATTTTGTCAAAACATTGTCAGTATCCATTGGAACATATATCAAGGTGATGACAATTCATCTGCCAATTCAACTCATTGGAATCTTTTTCAACAAATGACAATATATGATGATATTTGGTTCTTCGGTAAGATTTCATTACTTTACTTTTGTGAACAGGCGACAATGGGTCAGTTTAGGAAGACAAATGAGTAATTTCACAGCAACAGATCAACTATTTCTCAATAATCCTGCAATTCAACTTTGGCGTTTTGAAGTCGTCTATACATTCACGAATGAGACAAGCACAAGTGCATTGAACTTTGTTATCAATCAATCTCCTTCGAATGGTTCATGTGTCATCACTCCTCACAATGGAACAACGTCGACTTCATTCACTGTCACATGTCCCAATTGGTATGATGAAGATGGAATCAAAGGTTATTCGTTGTATGGTATGTTGATGAGTAGTGAAATACATAGAATGCATTTGTATGTTGATTGTAGCTTGGCAAAATGATGTGTCAGAAATGGTCATGATTGCATTCTCATCTGTTACTCAGTTTCAACTTCAATTACCAGCTGGAAATGAACAAACGGCAATGTTAAATCTTGTTGTCTATGTTCGAGATCTACTGGATTGTGTTACTGAAGTGAACATGTCAGCTGTTCATGTTATTGCCGACACTGTTGCGATAAATCAACTCATGGAAAGTATTCAAATAAGTTCATCTTCAACAACATTATCAGACAATCCAACAGTTCAATTACTTTCAAGTGGAAATCAAAATATAGTTGGGCAAGTGTTGACATCATTTTCACAACAACTCAATCTCATGGAGAATACCAGTGTTGCAAAAGCAACCTCAAGTAAATAATCTAACATTGAATACACAGCTCTGTTGATGATGTTTTGTACTTCTAGGTGGAATATCTGCTGCTACCGTGTCAGTTGCATCATTAACAAGTCAGAATTCAGTAGCAGTATGTACATCCATAGATCAAACTGCATCTCATCTAACTATCTCTTCTTGTTTCAATAGTCGCAAACGACAGTCAATGAATCTGCATTAGTTGATTACAACAAAGAACTCAATTCTCAAGCAAGTCTAAGAGATTATCTCGTCACATTCATATCCAATCTGGCCATTACCACATCAAACAGTATCACACTTCAATCATCTTCATTAGCTCAGCTGACTCAGTCCACTAATCAACTCACAAGAGCAACTCTCGTAAGTTAATATGAACTACTAAACGTAGAAAACGAAGCTTTTCTCCATGTAAGACACTAGCATCGGAAAGATGTTATGAACTAGCTGTGACACTGAATTCTAAAGCGAGCAGGATTCCTTTCGAAGATGTACAAGCTGCTGCCAATCAACTCACTCAATGTGCTTCAAATGTTTTAACAGTGAGTATTTCATTCTCTGCTAGATCAACAACGTGGTGAGTTTGCTGATTCACAATTCTTTGATTGATCTAGGGCGTCAATGGTCCGTTACAAGGACGTACAATCTCACTTGATCTGGATACGTTTCGAGCAAATGATGTCTCGTCCAATGATTATGACACAGATATCGAATCAGAATGGTCAAGTATCAGTAAGACTTCTTCATCATCGTTTTTCACTTCCTCTCTTTCTCTCTCAAGACTCACAGTTAACTGATGATGCTGATAGCAGTACTTCAATTGAACAACAACGCAATCTCTACTATCAGCAGAAACTGGCCAGTCAAATTCAAATACAATCAACGCAAATCATCTCTCTAGTCACAGCTGCATTGAATGTTCACTTGAATCTTGGTCAAACTTCACTTGTCAACACATCACAAACTTTCATGTCATTAGAAACAACTTCAATCGAATCATTAGCAAACAAAACCATCAAACAACTTTCATCTGCTGCATTTTATCTTCCATCGAATTTCACTCTCAACACAACAAGCACTTCTTCCATTTCACTTCGAGTAATCAGCTCTTTGTTATCTCATAAACACGATGAACTCAACAATATTTGTCTCTTTTCATCTATCTAGTCCAAAATGGACACTCTTGCTGCATATGGAAACTTCTCGAATACGAATCTCTCGAGATCAGTCTCTTTGACGTTTGTGGATAATAATGGCAATGACATTCCATTTTTAACTGATTCAAGTTCACCAATCAAAATCATCATACCTCGTGATCCCAATGTTGTCATTCCATCGATGTACCTTCAAAATGTCACAACAACAACAACAACATCCATAAACTCATCAACAAATTCATCATCTTCTCATTTGTTATTTCGTTTACATTATATCAACATTACCAGTTCACTTGCCATTTCAGTTCATTTCGAAATTCAATCACTTAATCTCACTTTAGCTCATTTGTTCATCTATAAATTTGATCAAACACCACAACTTAATAGTTCAATCAAATCCATCGATGGATGGACGATCTTCTGTCCTTCCAGTAACTATTTATCTCACATATCAACTCTTCACGCTCACCTCATCATTCGTCTTCTTTTGTAGTGTTAGACAGTGACAACATTTACAAATATTATCTTGACAATCAAAAAACCTCAGGTCATCAATCGTTGATCTTTGGAATTCGAGAATTGAGTGAAATGGAACTGCATGACTATTGTTCAGCTACAAATACATCATTTAATAATAATACTCTACCAATCACAGACACACCCTGCACCTTCACAGCCGATTATGCATTGCGTATTTACACATCGGGTTGTTATTATTTGGATGAAAATAACAATTGGAAATCAGATGGATTGATTGTAAGTAAAAGGTTTTCCTGATTGATTTCATTTGTTTCTTTTGTTCAATTACACAAGGTTGGACCATCAACAAATCACTATGAAACAGAATGTTTCTCTAGTCATTTAACAACATTTGCTGGTGGTTTCATTGTTTTGCCTGCACCAATCAATTGGAGTTATGTTTTTGCCAATGCTGATTTCTCCAAAAACAAAACCATCTATTTGACAATGATCTGCACATCAATACTCTACGTCATTCTTCTGCTCTACAGTCGGTTCAAAGATAGAAAAGATATCGAAAAAGTAAATGATCGAAATTGTTCTTACAAATCAACATCTTTTGTTGTTTGTCAATAGTTGGGAGTGACACCGATGATCGACAATCATAAACAAGATCAATATTTCTATCAAATTCTTATTTTTACTGGTCAACGATCAAATGCTGGTACAAAGTCCAAAGTACAACATTTCTCAAACATTTTTGATCACGATGAAACTCTCTCTCTTCCTCTCTTTGTTTGTCATAGGTTTATTTTGTGCTGTCAGGTGATGAAGATCAAACAGATATTCGTGCATTAGCTGATCCACAACGAAAAGTTCTGCAACGTGGTGGGATTGATGCTTTTGTCATGGCAGTACCCAAGTCAGTTGAATTCTGAGCACATTGAAATCATCTCTTCCATGTGTTGATCTAGATCATTGGGATTGTTGAATTACGTTCGAATTTGGCATGATAATTCAGGTGAGGGCCAGTCGGCATCATGGTATCTCAAATATATCATTGTTCGTGATTTACAAACAATGGATAAATTCTACTTCATTGCTCAACGATGGTTCGCCGTTGAAAAAGATGATGGACGAGTAAGGTGAACACAAGACTGTGAAGCAGAAAAAAATGATTTCATTTCGACTAGATTGAACGAACTCTGCCTGTAGCAGGTGAACTGGAAAAACAAGCCTTTTCCTATGTCTTATCGAAGAAAGCATATCACAGTGCATCTGATGGTCATCTCTGGTTTTCGATCTTCTCTCGACCACCATCCAACCGATTTACACGTGTCCAACGATGTACTTGTTGTTTTGTTCTCTTCTTCATTTCCATGTTACTCAATATCATGTATTATGATCTATCAAATGAAGCCAAATCAACCAATACAACACAGATCAATGGTTTAGCCATTGGCCCACTTTACATCACACCACAACAGGTAACATTGTCACTTTCGTCTTTAGAATATGTTCACATATCTTTCGAGTGATTCACTAGATTGCAATCGGTGTCATGGTTGAACTTTTGACATTAGTTCCAAGTCTTTTCATTGTTCAATTCTTTCGTCGAATTCGATCTCGACAACAGATCTCACCATTACAACAAACCTTGTACAAAATCAAAACATCTGGACAAACGTTTGTGCATCTTTCTATCACATCAAACTCCCATCTTCTCATTCTATTTTAGACTTACAAATCTCGAACAAATAACAAAACAAAAGAAGAGACCAACGTCGGGTACATTTCCTTGGTGGTGTATATTCATTGCCTACACTCTCTCATTTATGATCATTGTTGTTTCGATTTTCTTCATTATCGTACGAGGCATTGAATTTGGTGATGTGAAAACACAAAAGTGGTTAACATCTGTTCTCACTGGTTTCTTCTCATCGATTCTTGTCTCTCAGCCCATCAAAGTAGATCGTTTCACTTTCTTCACTTCATTTCATCACATGAATCTCGTTTTAGATCTTAGTTTTGGCAGTGATTTTTGCNGCACAAATGTTATTTGAAGTGACATTGATGAAATTTGATGCATCTGAACTGATCGCAGCTGGTGCATTTCTTGGTCCATTCTGTTTTACTTTGTTCATATTTATAGTTGTGTTCGTTTGTTTAAGCATGTTTCTTTCCATTATCAATGATAGTTTTCGACAAGCGAAAGAAACGAAAATCGCGGATCAAGAGATTCTTTCGTACATGAAAGAGAAGTTCTTGAGATGGACAGGTAAAGAGAGGTCAATCGAAGAAAAACAAATGTAAGGATTGCTGTTCTAGGTTTGAAAAAAGCAAGTCAAACAGAAATTTATGCTAATCGTGATCGTCGAATGCGATCGTTATTTTTCGATCCAATCGAAAGATTTCCTGAAAGAATTGATCGATTATTAGTAGCGATCGACAAAGTATGTGGATTTTCTTGTTTGTTTGACGAGAAGTAATGTATGATTGTATTTGTGTTGCTTTTAGATCTACACTGATCAGAAAAAGGAATGTGATCGACTGAATAGTGCTGGTGTATAGATATCACTAATCAGTGATTGTCAGAGAATAGTTAGAACTTTGTCAAAATGCGACATATAAGGCTTTTGCATCAAATATATGTTGTGTAACTATATCTATAAACTCAATTATTGAAAAGCTAATACAAAAAACTCTGAATAACTTAAGAAGTACTGTTGAATAATCTCTGCAAAACGTACAATATACGATGTAAACAACTGAAGTTTGTGTGACATTTGATATTCTCAGTTCTACTTATTTCCATTGGTTATACTGTCGCACATGCATTACCCTCAAGTTTCGTTCAGATATTGTCATAATAGGGATAAATATAAGTTAGAATCATTTTGATTTATTTGGTGAAATCCGTTTAAGAAAAGCAATCTCTAAATCTAATACGTCGGAAAATGATTTACGAAGAGTAACATTGGATAGATCGATCTTATGACCGCATCGTCTTTCGACAAGATTCGCTGGTACTGTGTCACTTTGACAACAATGACCCCAGCAATCTGCCAGAGGATCAACTACTGTATGAAAGGGCGTTAGTCGACGGGTAAGATCGATAATATTGATCATTGTCGGGACGGCTGTTTCCTGATGCAGGCCAGCTGTGTAGGAAATCTTAGTCAAATCAATGAAATCATTAAAAAAACGTCGAGGTATATAATAGATATCTGCCCAACTATAGAAAAAAGAACAAGTATGGATGCTTCTGCAGCAACAAAATACATGAATTCATCTTACGATCGGCAGAATATACTGTCATCCATCACGAATCGATTAGGATATGTTTTTGCTGTTTCATTTTTGACTTGCTTGGCGGAATGAAGAAGTCCTAGATCCCATTGTGGCACTGTTGTGACTGGTATGCAAATAAAAGGTATTTTTGTGGTAACAGGAAACCAGATTCTCTCAGGATTCATATCATCAAATCTGAAAGGTCGTATCCATGCCTAAACCAAAAACTATCTCTCACAAATCTGTTTCGATAAACAACACTAACCTCGAAATTAAAATAGAATAAGCCATCAATAGCTGGATACTGCCGCAAAATGATTTTCATTACTTCACTCACTGCATAGTACGGTGTTTTTTCAGAGACGACTCCATCTGCAGTATAGTTAATTTCAGCAGTATAATTCGGCATAGAATAATGCAATTCAGCAAAGAACGGCCGATATTTTTCCATCAGCGAGATATCCTCACGTTGAAGTTTATTGCACCGGATGAAACCAAGAGTTCGATGAAGGGGAGATGCTGTTTTGTCTCGTTGAACTTCGATAACATCGATAAAATATCCTCGACTTGCTGCAATAGGAACGAATGAATAACCTAGGTAGATAGCTGCTACACCGAACAGTACTAGGGAAATAGTTTTCCCAGATGAACAACAACAATGCGTTGTTCCATGTACCACATGGTTCGTTGGAGGCGATAGCATCGTCTGGTAGACACAACAGTTTGTTGCAATTGAGAAAGGTGAGAAAATTTTACAAACGACGCACTACTTCGCCGCCGGATTCTTTTGCTTGTCGGAAAGTCTAAGAGAAAACTTCAAGGAACAATATATTCTCCTGTGTCTCTACCATATCATAAGTTAAAAAAAACTTTTTCACCGTCATGAAACCATCCAATAACAAACATTCATTTCCTGTATTGTATATATGTTTATTGTGATCAAGAGCATTAGATAATTAGAAAACGGAACAACAAAAAAAGTTGGCATTCTTGTTGGTGGAATACTCCAAAAGCATACGACAGGATCGTGATATAAGCAAACCGTGAGCATTCTTTAAATATAGTTTTTTGTATTTTACAACTAAAATAGAAAAAGGAAAACATTTATGAAGGCCTTTTTCAAATTATAAAGAGATGCTTTACAGAATGTTCGAGAATCACGTGAATTTCTCCTTTCGAACGAACACCAGGTATTGCTGGCAGTTTAATCCATGCATCGTAGCCAGTTCTACCAAAAACATGTTTTTTCAGATCAATGCTTGCAGAGCCGATGGGGTCTTTATCACCAACATCTTCATCATAGATGTGCAAATATAAATTATCTTCACCCTTTTTCAAATAACTTCAAAAATTCAAATGAATTAGCTTGAAAATTAGTTTCAATGCACTTACAATATAAATTTCTGATTCCATATCGGATTTTTCGAGCTCTGAATAGTCGTGGTACGTTGTTTATAATCTTCATTGACACAGAGTTCGACATACGCATCATTCTTATCGACAATATCTTCGTCTTTAAGATTTCGACCATCAACAATCGTTACTAATAAAGTTCCATTTGCATAGCTCATGTTGAAAAATAACAAAAAAGTGTTGAGGAAGTGCAAGTCAGGCGCGTCTGAATCTCCCTTGTTCTGACAACTGAAGAAAACAATGCACTAGCATTTAACTTCATGTTGTATTCTTGAACGTTTTTCAATTATCCTAATTTCATCAGGTTGAAAAGGAAACATGAGAAATGAGCAACAAGTGATGAAGTGCAAATCGTATAAATGAATTCTTGTCTGTAGTATTCGACTAAAAGTTTCGTGTGGTTTTGTCATGGCCGTCAAGAAAAATCACGTATCAAATTTGCCAGTTCTGCAATTATGTTACGTGCGAAAGAAAAGAAAAAGAAAAAAGGAAAACTATTGAACCATGACTGATTTAACACGATCAACGTGTTGCATGTGTGCTTGAATATCGATGAAGACAGTTTTTGGTTAAGCACTTACCACTAGAATTCGTTCAGTACATGGAGCATCGATCGTTTTCGAGAAGGAGAATTCGATCCGGAGGGATAGAGTTCGTTCTCCAAAGTTCGAATATCGATGCGTTTGACCTTGCGAACTTCTTTTTCGATGTTTCTTGGAGAGTTCTGTTTAATTTGTTTCTTTCGATGTTTAGCGCTGCAAACAAGTGATCTGTCTTCCATACAATCATTTTCATCTCGTGTCATGTATTCAATTCAAGGTCGAAGGGAAAAACTGATGACAGCTGGCTTATTCGCTTTGATTGTCATAGCCTTTCCATTATTGTATTATACTGATTTAGTTGAAAGTTTGAAATCGATTCCATTCCAGGTTTACATCGAGGGTGCTGGATCGAGAGCGGAATCAGTAGCAGAATCTCCGCCAACTACAACCACAGAGGAAACGACGACGACACCAACAACAACGACCACGGCAACGTCAACAACGACTCCCTTCGAGGTCGTTGTTGATATGAATGAACAAACACCAGCTTACAAATTAGCTACACGCAATGGTACGAAACCGTTCACTGATGATGCGCGAGTAACAATTTTCGAAGTTCTGAATCTCTACGATAAGTGTCGACAAGATTCTTCGACCATTGTGGTTGATGTTGGCGCAAATTTAGGTAGAATTATCTGATGAATTATCTGACTTTACACTCCATTCTCTTCGAATTTTAGGAGATTTTGGTCTTTATACTGCTGCATGTGGTTGTACGGTTTATATGTTCGAAGTTGAACCGATTTTCGTTGCGCTTATCCGAATTTCCGTTCAGATAAATGCCTTTTCTCCATCATTGATTCATCTGTATCATAACATAGTTAGCGACGAACCGTCGAAAAGTACAGTTGAGTTAAAATCAGCAGTCGACGTGACAGCAAACGCAGAAATCCCCATCGAAGTTGCATCAATTCAGCTAGACGATATTTCATGGCCATCATCGATCTTTTTACTAAAAATCGACTTCGATGATGGCGAAATAGATGCACTTCAATCAGCCCAACAACTCTTTCATGACAAACATATTCAAAATCTAATACTTTACTACAATTCAGTCATCAATGATCAAACGACGAAACAAAATATAGTGAAACATGTTAAAAATGACCTGAAGCCAAGATTTGTCTATATATTTCATTCGAATGGCAAACAATTGTATGGTCCATTGAATCATGTACATTTAGAAGAGTTACCAGCATTAGAAGATAAGGAACAGCCTGTCATCGGTCTCTTTGCTGTTTTTGATCGACAGATAAGAAGAAAATCGATTAAAGCAGAACGATACGATTCAAAACTCTTTTTTGCTTAAGTTTCTTCTCTTCCGAATAAAGATCATGAACCTGACACCTAACTAGGCTTGATTCGACAAACCATAAAATAATTCAAATGATATCGGTTTTTGAAAACCATTCAGAGGGTACAATCCAATGTCGCTATTTTTCTGTTAAAACCATCAGTTATCAGCGTTTACTTGAAAAGCGATTTGTCATTGTGCATCTTTATTCCTACTGATTCTCATTCAGTTTTGTTAGAAACATTCATAAAGATACGAATTTATGTCGAAAAACCTATACTTTCAATATGGTAGAACATTTCTTACGAAAGTCTTCAAAATTCATCGTCATAGATTTGAATATAACTAATGAAACGATATGGTTAGTGCCAGTAGTCCCAAGACGCTGGTCGACATAGGTTTCACTGAAATTTGACCATCTCCTATAAGACTGGTATAATACACAGGAAACGAACTGCAACTAACTACGGTTTTCGAACGGCTTAAGGCAAATGGCAACAGTGGTAAACAGCATGATTGTCAGCTTTAGCGTGTTCCTCTATATTTATTGTGAAAAAAGAATCTTTTATTTTATATAAATCATGATTAATTGATTGGATGAAAAGCATACAATGAAAGCACGTGTTTCTTGACTATTGTTAGAAAGTAATTCTTGTTTGGGATGTTTTTTTATTTCTTTGGATTTCTGACAAATTTTTTAATGTGTATCTGTAGGTAAAGATCTGCTAGCTTGAGCTGTTGGCCAATAGTTATTCATAGTTATATTATTGTACACATTCACACAATTGCTCTCACCGCCAACGCCACCATTTATAGACGATTGTACTATAAAATAACACACTATGTATGTAAATATCGATATAACTTCACTTACTAGAGGATGTTGGCAGTTTGGGCTCAATATTCATATATTTACTGTTTGATTTGTATGTATTGTATGCTACAATGGATTACTGCTAGTTTATTTGTTACCGAAAAAAATATTATTGCTATACTCACATTTATATACCGCATAAACAGTAAGACTAGCACCAACTGCCAGTCCTATAAGTATAGATTTACAACTGAACTTCGATAGGAGCATGTTTCACAGAACTATTCACACTAGTTTATCTAAATGTGTAGAAGAAAATACGTTTTTAAAAGATCAGGTCATGAACATAGGGTGTAGGTGAAGGTGAGAGTTACAACGTAAAAACTAAGGTGCATGTCTACCATATTTTCTAGTGGAGAAAAATTCCTAACATTCGCCACCTCCAGGCTCCAACACGAAATCGATAAAAAAATTTCATTTCTGAACACTCGTACACATTGCCGGACGTTCGGAATAGGTAAAATGAAATGTAGTTCATCTGTCGAGAGAATCTTGTCTGTCGTCCTGGCTTTCGAAATATTCTCTGTAAAGTAGATTGTGTTGTTTATTATGAAGAATATCGATGTCTAATTTGGATTCCCCCTAATAACGCCGAAAGAAAAAATGTCGAAAATCAAAATATCGAAAACAAGAATTATAGATGTATTGATGATTACAAACGTTCAGAATGAAAGCTGGGAACACGAGAATTCTTCCACACCCTCCCCTTCACCCTCATCTAGCATCCCACACCTTCATTTTGCGCTTTCGACTTTTGTCTTTTCGACATTTTTAACTTTCGACATACTTATTTTCGACCAAATTAGGGTTAACCCTAATTTGATGTGAGTAGTATATTGACCAATCACATAAAAAATGTATTCGTTTCGTAAATTTGTTTATTGCGTATTTCTGAACGCAGCTAATGAAAATTTATGCCTTTTTTTCTCGCATAATTTCAACGACTTAAAAGTGTCGCTGTCTCTGACAGAAACGAAACATTCGTTTTCTTTGTGATACGGAAATAACACTTTGTTCTGAGAAAATTGAGTATTGTCAACGTAATACAAGTATTATATACCATCAACCATGGTGAAGGAACGGAATTTATTCAGTTATTCTGTAAGAACATTTGTCAGATCCGCCGATTTTCTCTTCAAATCACACAAAGATGTAGGAAAAACGTGAACCATGGGCATAATATTACCAATAGTATGAAGGTGAGCTTAATCAAAGAACAAATTGTAGTTGATTAGGTAGATACGTGCAAGCCCATGTTCATTAATAATACAAATGAAATTTGTTTTAAATTAGAATCTTAAACTGGCAGAACGGTGAGATTTATACTCTGAAGCAACACGCCATTTCACAAGAAAACAAATTTATATTACTGAGTTGTTTGTGAAAATTTGCCAACGTAATAGAAGTACTTCGACAGACATCCCCACGAATGGCGCATGATTCGAATAAACAATGGAATTGAAGTGATTTTCTTCTGATAATTCATATATTAAATATGAGAACGATTGATTGTATATACATTTGTGATAATCGACAGTGTGAAGCTAAAGCTTCAATGGTAAAGTTCTTTTCGTCATCAAAGTGATTTGAAATCATATGTAAAATGTCTTCAATCGTTTATGTTAGCATAATCTTGATTTCATTTGTTCTCGTTTTTTGTCTTCGTGTTTTATCTGCACATAGGGTACCGTTCAGATCTTGAAATCACGTTTTTCTTCTGCATAACAAGAAAAATTCCTTTGTATCCTAATGATCAATTGATGTAGCATATGTTGCCTCACATCTTTTCTAATGGCATGTCGATCAGATCGAAAGGACAACGTGTTACAATCGTTGCTTTCAATCCGAACAACAATCTCTGATTGAGAACATGAAAATGTCGATTAATGATCTTCATAGAAGTTGAGAATAACTATTCAATAATGACAAATTTAGTAATTGTCTCTTCAATCCAATCTGAACAATAGAATGAATCGATTTCTGACAAGTATTATTAAGTCTTCTATTGATCATGATTATTTGATTATAATCAAATCACGCCGACATTGTTAGTCGATTTGAACACGAGGATTAGTTCGTCGACAAATATCACCAATTACAAACGAACATTGTCATACATTCTCTTTCGTTGGACATGAAATAAGTCCGGAGTAATCAAATGTGTTCTCTCGCGCACGAGTATCGCTTTAAAAATAACACCTTTCTCCTAATCGATTCTCATGCATGCATAAATGATTTTCTATCTGAATAAATATTCAATAGCTGAGTACGTTTTTCTTGGTCAGCATATCTTTATCTGTGCTAATGAATGAACGTTATTGTTCTTCGGTTGATTCGACTCGAAAGCTAAAGAGTAGATCTCTAATCTCCAAACATTCCATCCATTCATCATTTTCTTATTATCGATGTATTCTTTCTTAGCTGTTGTCAGAGAGTACCATCAATAATCGACGAGTTGTGAGACGATAGCGATAGTATTCAACATCCATCATCTCTTCAACGTCCCGCTTTTATCTCGTCTCTCACTCAACTCAACAAACAGAATCATTCATTCATTCAGTTAGCCGTGCCATACTTCATATTTCTATTTGTTGTTGTTGTTGTTTTGTTTTATTCTAGAAATTCCTTATTATTCTCCTCAGTTCGAAATGAATCTGTTTACGGACCTAGTTGACGACGATCTCCTCTTTGGATCTTTAATGGAACCTTCACCGTCGTTATCTAAACCGATGGTTAACATTAATAGTAATGGTAAGTCTATCGAACCTGTCGAGTGGACACACATGGTATGAATAACTGAAAATTATACATAGATGCAGTCTAACATCTGTCATGTGTAAATACGCGTGAGAGAGACAGTGGTACACTAAGAAAATTACCATAATTTTAGCGCGTATTTATTGACTGAATGATGATCATTAAAAACATCGTACTCGTTTTTCACCCGGAGAGAATGTTTATTGATATCTCGGCATGAAAAGTTACTTTTCTTTAACCTACAATCAAATCGATCCCTAAATACGTCAAGATTCGCTTGCGCAACACTCATCAATATGCATAACAAAAGAAAATTACATGAGTTTTTTCTCGATGAACTTTTCAATCAAATGTCTCGCATCGTTGTTCGTTTTTTTTCTTCTTTCGTCGATGAGAAGAAATCAATACCGAATTTTAATTATTTGACTTCAGTTAAATTGACGAATTAGTAATGAAATTGCTTTTGACATGCGATTATGATATGTTCGTTAAACTTATCTTCGACGTCGGGATATTGTCGTCGCTTCCTTATCGACTTTTTCTATCTCTGCCTCGCTTTATCTCTTTCCATGTGACAGCACCTTTATCCTCTTCGTTCTTTTTTCGTCTAGATGTGAAGAGATAATCAAGTACCGGCAGATTCTAATGCAGTGTGTATGCATAAGACATACTCGTCACCCGAGAAAACCCGTAAATGTGCTAAAAGGAAAAGAAAGAAAAAACGAGAAATAAGTATCTGGTGTTTTTAATTAGCTCATTCAGTTAGAAGTGATTGTGAATAGAGAGCTTTTTCGTCGTCTTTCTCCTCCTCGTCATTTAGTAGTTTGCTTCTTTTTTTCTTCTTTTTTTTTCGTGTCCTGTCGTACGTATGTATAAGAAGAACAGAACACACGCCATATATCCACGTTTTTTTTTGTAACACACGTACGCACACATACACAGTCAGATTCATTTCTTTTTCAAAAAAAAAAAGAACACACCGTTAAACGCTGCGACAACGAACAAAGATATCCACAGATGGTGAGAGCAAGTCGAAATACAACACGCCGTCGTGGTGTGAATTCTACAACGAGTAAGTCACTGCTCCGACTTCTTTCTTCAAAGCTTATTAATATCGATAATCAGTCAGAATTCATCGCCAGTATATGTTAAGATCCCTTTTTTTTTCTTTTCTTCATCACTAGTTCGAGATATTTTCCTCCCTGCTAATTGCTTCGACAGCCGTTTTACATTAACAAACGTCGAAAAAAACATGAGATCGTCAATTAAAAACAACACAACGAACACCTTTTCATACGCGAGAAAAGAACGAAGAAATCGTATACTTAACAAATCAATTTCGTTAATTAAAAAACATAATCAACTTTGCATAACACTCAGGCAATCCTCGCAAGTAGTTTTTTTCGATAAATAACGAGCTCGTATGTCTACCCATTGATCAAAAAGATTCTATATATAGGCACATATGCTGAGTTAATTTGAGTTGTCATTAAAAATCAAGTCGACAACAGAAAAAATTCATATTTTTCATTAGGAAAGTTTACTAGGCCGTAGGACGATTAGTCAATGTACTAATCAGCAATCAGTCTTGCATGTTATGTATAGGTAGAAATAAAAAATATTAAGTACACGAATGAAATCTGTTTTGATCAAACATTTACAGATAGATTTACTAACCTTTTTGATGAGAACTAAAAATACAATCTTTATTCATTCGATTTAAATATAAAAGCAAAGGAATTCTTTTTGCTTTGATCATCTACTTAATTAATATTTTCCTTCTTTTTTCTTCTTTTACGTCAGTGCCTTAGAAGATGACTATTCTTCTCATTTCATCTTATCACTTGTGCGAAAAAAAACAATATTGCGAAGATCATCGATGGATTGGTTAGCAGTTGTATATGACCGCAATCATTTGATTGCTTTTCTTCTCTTTCATTTCTTTTTTTTTTGTATTGCACCTGCTGTTGTGCAGACAAAGACGAATAAGTGTAATTAAAGTAATTGTCCAAGCAATTAGTCGATTCTTTTCAATTTGTGATACAGTCGATAGTGATTTAGTTACCTCGTTTGTTCGTTCATTTTGTGTAATCATTACTACTCTGATAATGATTTCTTTTTTCTTTCTTGTTCTCTAATCATCATATTTATTGGGCTTTCTCTCTTTCTCCTTCTTCTGCGCTCATATGTCAAGTAGGAAAAGAAAAAGAGAATTTTCATCTCATCTCATCTCATTCATATACATGCACAAACACCATCGATCATGATTTCATAATTGGAAAATAAATTAAAATCAAGATGTAGTAGTAATATGACTGAATGAAGAACGTGAATATGAATTATTCTCTTATCATTCATTCATTCATTCATTCTAGGCAATAACAATAGTTCAGTTGGATTAATGCAACCTAAACTTGAATCTCAATCACTCGTGTTCGATCAACAATCATCGACTATACAAACTAAAATGGTGCCCATCGTTTCTCGTTCGGATTCGAGTCAACAGAACTCGACGATTCACATATGTTCGCATTGTTCGCAGCCCATCCACGAACGGTACTTTCTTCACACACAAGATCGTCTATCGCGTGGAAACTATTGGCATATGCAATGTTTACGTTGCCAATCGTGTGATGTCGTCTTAGCTGACGTGGCTTCCACATTTTATATTAAAGACAATGTACTCTTGTGTAAATCGGACTACATCAAGTAAGGCTTTTTTTGTGCTTGCGATCTCGACGATCGATCTATGTATAAATGTTCTACTTCTAGAAGATACGGCAGTCGGCCATGTTCGTCGTGTAGTCAAGTTATCGAAACAAATGAACGGATAATGCGTGTTAATCCAAATTATGTCTATCATCTTTCTTGTTTTGCTTGCATGAAATGTCAAACACCTTTAGTTAAAGGTGATCGATACGTTCTTTTTAATGGACAACCGTTTTGTGAAAAAGATAATCCAATTAAATCGACAGGAAATAGCTCGGCTACGAAGCGCGGAAATACCACATCGAAACGTGGAGCGAAAGCCGCACGTGCAGCGGCAGCTGCTGCCACTGCTGCAGTAACCACGCACACTCAAGTCCAACAAAGTTTTTCAACCGCACCACCGCCGCCGCCACCACAGTACCATCATACCGGACATATGTCACTTTTAAATAATCTACATAATTCGAATACGATCACACATTCTTTGCTCAGTAGTAATTTAAATCATAACAATTCATCATCAATGGCTACCGTGACTGGCGATGAATTGTATTAACATTTTGTTTTGTTTTTCTCAGCTGAATGATTTGTTTGTTGTCTGTTTATTTATATCTTTTGTAATTGTTAAGATAAAACGAATTTGAAAGTCTCTATGGAAGCAAAAGTGAAGCACGTGTCTACGGTTCTAGCCAAAAGAAAATATTTTATTAAATAAGAATGAATAAAAGTGAGATAAATGTTCATGTTACACAGCTAGAAAGACAACAACCAAACAGATAAACACATGGAATAGTACTGTCGAAAGTTCAATTGTTGTGAAACGATTTTATGGAAATGTTTGTTTGAGTTCTTTGAGCAACATCGTTGCGAGCACGATTTGATCCGAATTAATCGTTAGGTTAATCGTTGACTGTCGTGGATTTAGCTGAATTGTTAGAAGTAGAAGAGATTTACTTGAGATTGTTTGTCCAGAAAAGCTAAAATAGAAAATGTACTCGTTGCTAAGACCTTTCACAGACAAAGACTTTCATATTGGAAAAGAAAGTGTAAACGAGTAGTGGATTACTGTCAGAGACATTTATCAGAAATTCGACTATGATATGAGATCGTATTCTTTCTCGTGTCTCTATCTTTACTGAGAAAAGCTCGATTTGTCTTACCGAAAAATTGACGAATCTCCAGAGCCCGACGGAACAGAGATCAAATTGGCGCATTGTAATACTTTGCTTTGAATTGTTGTGAAGTTAAATTTCGATTGCTGGGTTTCATCCACATTGATACTGCCAGTGATCTCATTCATGCCACGTAGACGAGCTAGATGTTGATTGAACTCTTGCTCGTTCAGAAAACGCTGTTCGAATAATTCCCCCACATGAGAGGATATGGTTAGTGCCGTTGGTTGAGCATTATTATCGAACAAAATCTCGAATGATGCGGGCTGGGTTTTATCGTTGAAATCAATGCCGATCGATACTACTTTCGATGCACCGCTTGGCAAAACATCGATTTCTCCAAATCCTTGGATATTTAAATTGGACTTCTAGAACAACAAGGCAAATGAATATGCGATGCCAAGCAATGAAACAAACTGATTTGAGGAATTTTATTGCTGAGATGTCTTTATTTGAGGTTGTATTAGTGAATATCAGTTCGACACGGACCATATTTGGTGACTGAGGAAATGGTGTACGAGGAAAACGATATTGTATTTGTAAACCTTGACCAGTAATACGATTCAAACAATCATATTCTTTTGCCTGAGTTGACGATGTTGTCTAAAATGAAGAGAATGCTTGTTGGAGTTCGACTAGGGAAGATAAGCATACCGTGAGCGAGTCTAAGCCGTGTAAATCATCGAACATGGCTGGTTTAGCTGGCGCTGGCTGGACAGTGGTCGATGCTGAGCCGAGAAATGCTTCCACTAGAGAAAAGATACAAGTTAATCTGAGGAATGGATTTCGAATTTCACTACTGACAATCCATGTCTAAGAGAGATTTTTCTTGTGCAGGAATTGTATAATCATTAACTGCGATAGTCGAAGCTGATTTTGCCACAGTTGATGTTTGTTTAGGAATTGGCTAGAATAAATAAGATTTTAAAAAGAAATAATATTTTGACAGAGTCTTGGAATACAAATCTTACCTCTTCCTCGTCAGACGATCCATCTTCTTCTTCATCGCTTTCTTCTTCAGATTCTTCTTCTTCCTCCTCCTCCTCCTCCTCATCTTCGTCCTCATCTTCATCTTCTTGTTCGACATTGTTTGTTGGTCGAGCGTCTAACTGTTCATATTCGTTGGAATTATTTTTAATTTCCACAGTTGTGGGCTTTTCGTTTTCGTTTTCTTCTTCCTCATCCTCTCCTTCCTCTTCCTCTTCTTCTTCTTCTTCATCGCCGTCTTCTTCCTCCTCTTCGTCTTCCTCATCTTCCTCATCATCAGGTCCTTCAGTTGACGTGTCTTCTTCTTCGTCCGAATAGAAATCGTCCGCTGTACCGCTCTTCTTCTTTCCACCAGTAGCCGTTCCTCCGCCAGCATTCGATTTTCGAAATAAATCATGTTGTGGCGTCGGCGGCGCGATAATTTCCACATTACGAACATTCGGATCTGGTGCTTCCAATGGAAATTCCGGTAGATCTTTATAACCAACGGCTTTCTGACCAATGACGAATGACAAAGTTCCCAATGTGTATTGATCATGATCTACAGTTAAAAAATAGTCGGAACGTTTGCTAAAAATGTAAAGTATCGTACCTCGAACGATGGATTCAAGAACGGGCGCTGGTTTCGGTGCTAGTAGAATCTTCTTCGCATGCTTACTCAATGCTGGACATTTGTCTGCTTGAAACAGTAATGCTCTACAAAAGCCAACAAGAAAAGCGTAATAGTATCGAAGATGAAGCAGAACTTACCGAAGCAGTCGTGCTTTGTCACGTGTGTCATAGTTTGTGTCATATTTAGCTAAATTGAATACATATTGAACTAACAGATGTGTTTGTTTCGCATTGACAACATAGAGTTTTGTCGCTAGGTTCAAAATTTGATGTTTAACAATGGTTTCCTAAAGAAAATAACCGAACATATACGTTGAAATGAATCGAAAACAAACCTCATCCGGAAATGATTTGGCCATTTTCCTTAACACATCCGGGGCTAGCTTACTGATGCGGTCGGAATATTCTCCAATGAGCCAAAGAATCGAAGCACGAGCTGTAGGAACTGTAACTTTATCAACCATTCGAACAATATGCTTGATGATTTCGCTATATTGCGATGGCTAAAAGTAAAGCAGTGAAACAAAGGAGGTTTTGTTGGTTCAATCTCTATTTACATTAATTTGTAATAGTTTTTTCACTACGACGACGCTTTCTGCAACGATAGTCTCATCTTTCTTCGACATCAGCGCAACGAGACCATTAAGACACGCTTCTGTTACGTCAGATATTGTACTGGCACATCGACCGATGGCATGAATGGTTTGAGCGCCGAACTCCTTATCCGGACTCAAGACATAAGTCTAAAGGAAGAAATTGAATTGATGAGAATCGCCAGCGATTGTCTAGTTTACTTGAAATTCTCGAAGTATAGTTGAAATATTTGACGCATTTGCCAAAGTCGTTAGAATTTCGAGTTTGTAACGTTTAACAAGACCGCTATCATTCGAATGAACATAGAATGATTTTAAATACGGCTCGAAAATATTCTTATGTTTATCTGCCATCGACGCGATTGCTTTTAAAACAATTGTCTGGATCTCACTAGACAATAGGTAGAGACATTAGATAGCAAATCTCTGATAGACAACGTTGAAGATTACCGATGATGGCGGAGCAAACGAATCAACGACTTGGCAACGATTTGTATTTCACTTTTCGGTGCGACATAGTAATATAACTGAGCCACAGCCATGACAACCTTTAACAAACAAATAATTCTAGACTAAACAGCGAAGAAATGGTACATACAGCTGAATTTCGACTTTGCAGTAGTGGTTTAGTACATCGTAGTAATAATCGATGATCACTATCCATAATATATGTTCGTTTTTCTAATTCTTCATCTTGCTCTTCGTCGTCAACCCTCTTTTCAGTTTCATCTTCATAGAAATTTTTCTGTTCATCTTCATATGTCTAGAAAAGGGAGAGCAAAATCGAAAGTTTGAATTCCACTGGAATTTTAGGTAAAAGTACTTTATTTGGATCAATGAATTGTGAACGCGCATATCTTGTCAACATGTTTAGAACAGTCACTTGTCCCCATTCGTCAATATCAACCAAAAGATTGCACAAACGTCGATAATTCTTATGAATTAAGTCAATTCGTTCTGGACAAACATGTTCAAATGCTTGAACAGCACTACCATTGACCAACTATGCGTAACGAAACCGTTCTCGAATCGCAAATCGCCTCATTTCTCTACTTACGATTGTTTTATCAGCAAGTAGTTTCGTAATAATTAAAACCAATTCGTCTTTCAGTTCCGGATCCAAACTAAATATAAAATTCGATAAGAAAAATCTTTTTCGAAGTCTCCAGATCCTACGCGTATAATTTCGCTATCGCATTGGCCGCTGTTTTTCTCACATAAGGTGACATATCACTAACTGCATCGCGTATCGCTAGCATCATAATAGTAACGATCGTAGGAACACGAATGCTTGATAAAACGCGTAAGGCACTTGCGCGGATCAATTGATTTGGATCCTAAACAAGATAAAAAGTTTCGAGGAACATTCATTCTCTAGAGTTTTTACTTTTAATCCACGTTGAAATGTTGCGATTGAAAGTAATGCTAAGTCTTGCTGCTCCTCAGCATAACGCATTAGATAAACATAGACCAATTTTTTCACTTCCATATTTTTCGAAACAACGTTCTTCACTACCGGTGGAAAGAGATCGGCAGCGTCTTTACCCTTGGCAATCATCTACAGACAACGAAAACTAAATAGAAATACTTTTTCCCTACGTCTTACTCCAATGATTCGACGCATTGCCTCTAATTTTAAATTGTCTTTATTACTGTCTAGCATTTGCTTGAGATCCTCGTGTCTAGAAAAGATAATCATAGGTGGGAAAAGCCATAGATTGATGATTTTAAATTACTTTTTATAATCAAGTGCGAAAAAGCTGAGCGTCGAAGCCGGTTCGGTCTGTTCATCTGAAGGATTCGATGCACCAGCCGATCCTTGAGAGTTCATGCTAGATAATGTTGTTAATGATCGTTCATTGATATTCATGTTTGTCAGTGCGATGTAAAGTCTATCTGTAAGAGAAATCGATCACAACATAAGACAAGGAAAACTTCCACGCATAAAAGTATCGCCTACCAATAAGCATTCAGCTGAAAATAGATGTCGTTGTTCGATATGGAACGCTGCTTTTTCTTGCTGTTGATCTATTTTATGTTTGGAACTTCTATTTCATTCTATACGTTGGATCATGTTCGTTACACAATACTCAAGACAATAAGTTCTCTTTATTTTTATTAGCATCTGTACGCTTGAAAACCTGAATGACAATGACAGAATGGACGACAGTCACGAGATTGCTATTTCAAGTAAACGAAAAATTGAATCTGTCGTTTGTTGTCGTTTTTTTGCGATCAAATCTTCTGATATTCATTTCTAATTGTTCGATACTATCTCTCAACAATGGATTTTTGTAATCGTAAGTAACGATATTCAAGCCAGGAAAATTGAATAACATCAAGTCTTTCAAATTGACTAACAGATCTGAATTGGGAGAAAATGTGCCCGATGCATTGTCAAATACAATTTCCCAATCATCGTTCACGCGACTCCAACCGAATTTAGGTCGAATATGGAATTCACCCGCATAACGAATACAATCAGAATGGTCAGCTAAGACCGTATGTTTAGTGGCTACAGTTGTGAAAAATCGATAACCAGTTTCACTGAATTGCCACACATGATCATCAATAATGTATGTGAAAATACGTGGTTTAATGTTTTGTATCGATTTATCGAAGAAGATCGATTTCCATAAATCATCAGCGCTCGTCAGTTGTCCTTGAGGTACCTGTTGTTGCACCATTTTTGTAGTGTACGATTCGTACATTGGTCTGCTTTGTGGCTTTAGCGGTGGATGCTGATTTGGAGGGAAAAAGTATGGAATACGGCGTAATTGTACCTTCCATGTGGAAGAAACACCATTAGTGGGACGTTTGGTAAAACGGTCGACAGTTAAGGACTCGTGCCGTGAGTATCGACAAGGCCCATCGAATATACAACAAGGAAGTTGAAGAGTTTCGTTGGAAGATTTTGTTGAACGAACCGTCAAATGAAAGCGTCCGTTATATTGACCGAATGTACCAGCAACGACATGGCCGTCACTAGGAGCATTGTAATTCACAAAATTGTGAATTTCAAAATTACCCAGCTGTTCATTGACAATACTATCTTCATCTGTGCAAGAAACATTAACTATAAGCTTGGCATTAGATGGTACCTTCAGAACGCTCCATTCTTCGTTATCCCATCTAACTATTGACGTGAGTGGTTGATGTGTTGACCTACAAAAATCACAGTTAGGAATCAAATGAGTTCTTCAATTTGATACTAACGTCATCGAAATGCGATCGTCAATCTTAGCAGTGAAATATACATTAGAATACAAATTGGTATTGATCTTTGGCATATCCTAAAACTCAAAGTTCAACAGTATGGAAATCTTTTGAACTTTAGAAAGTCTTCACCTCTATTGACCGGAATGTGATGGTCACATCATAACTGTTAAATGGATAGTCGTTGGTTGTTGACGTTGAAAACATAATGATTGGAGATGGTCGAAGAAACTATAAATGTGAAGGATTGAATATTTATCAGGACCTCTGTAAACTAAGGCGATAGAAGCAGATAGTGAAAGGTGTTGTTAAATATAAGAATGCTAATGAATAACAGATACGTTTCTCACTATCGCTCTTTTCTTGGGTAAAACTAGTCAGTTCTGTCATCGCAGTAGAACGTGTTTTGATGTTGCACATCATCAATATTATTATCACTCGCGATTGATATCCGAACGAAGAAAAGAAGAAAATACAAACCACTCTTCTTGTGATTATAACAAAATGTGGTCGAGTGTGGGTGTCACATATCAATAAACAATCGACGTCAAACCATATTTTGATCAGTTATTATCCAAGATGTTAAGGCTAATATAATATCATTAACAAAAAACAACTTCTATCAATGAGTTTGATATCAAAACGAAAACATTATCATCAATCGATTCGAGTTATAGATACAGATGTTTTTGGGCAGAGAGATATCCCGAGAAGCTACACTGGCAAAAACAATCTGAGATAACCATAGATGTCGTAGACTTATCAGATTATGACTTTGTTAAAATCATAAAATGGTTCTGTCTTTTTATCGGAGGATTTAATACAAAAAGCAAGCAACGATAATCTCTTGAAACGAGCTGAATTACTTGTCGAATATAGAGTAGGGAAAGAAAGTTTAAGGCACTTTAACTTTGAATTTTTTTCGACAACGATAATAGCTCGAAGAAATCCAACTAGTGAATCGGATAGCCCGTGAAATTCTCTATCGAATGCAGTATGTGTCAAGTATTCAAAAAAAACTTTTTCTAAATAAATTCAATTGAAAGAGGAGAAAATTCTGAATCGAATGACGTGCTGCTCGACTCTCAACTATGTTCCTATGTAAAGTTATAAGCATAAAAAAGGTCGAAAAAATTACGATTTTCGGTGATTTTTAGCAAAATGTGGCAAAAAAACACGTTTTTTTCGACTTTTTTTATACTTATTACTTTACATAGGAACATTGTTGAGAGTCGAACAGCACGTCATTCGATTCAGAATTTTCTCCTCTTTCAATGGAATTTATTTAGAAAAATTTCTGTCGATTTTTTTACGACCTAAAAATGGGAGGTTCGGCATCTTGAAAAAATTTTTCGAAAAAGTTTTTTTTGAATACTTGACACATACTGCATTCGATAGAGAATTTCACGGGCTATCCGATTCACTAGTTGGATTTCGTCGAGCTATTATCGTTGTCGAAAACAATTCAAAGTTAAAGTGCCTTAAACTTTCTTCCCCTACTATAGTTTAAAATACGACAAAGGCTCTCAGAACATATTCAAGCGATGGAACCCATCATTTCGATGCTTTCCGGATTTTGCAGCAAAGATTACTGATGGATATGATATATACAATCAATCAAAGAAAACGTGATTGTTTGATGTACGAATAGGAAGATAATAGAATGGCCGACTGAAACTTTTAATTCATTTTTTAACACATGAACTTATTTTCAAATGAACTCAGAATACAATATTTTCATAAGAACATCCTATTGCGAGTATAAAAAGCAATGGCATAGTATCAGTTACAGTACATTTATTTCTCTTTTCTATGCTCGTCGAGTTCTTGATTATTTGGATGATAATGAATCATTGTCATTGTTAATGATAGTTAATTTGAGGATGCATCAGTTAGACCAAGCCAATAAGCCATCACAGCGAGAGCTACGTATGAGAAGAAATGAGCCACTACCATCAGATTGAATGAATAACCCACGGAGTCTTTAAAAAACGATGTAAATGCTGCTAATAGGAAGAACGTTGCAACGAATAAGATGAGTGTTGGGACGTAACGAAGAATACCGCGAAGAATATCCAACATTTGCAAGACCAAAGCAACAACGGTAACAATTAATAGAATAAATGATATGATGGAAAGTGCAGGTGGAGCTCTATTACATCCATCCCCACTACAAAATATTCCATAACCACCTTGTGGTCCATATGCCCACCCTTTTGTAGCTAAGCCAATGACGCAAAATAAGGCTGAAACCGCAGTAATAGCAATACCAGCGACAAACAAAATTCGACCTGAAATAGCCATGTCTTTCTCTTAATGCTATGAATCTGGCAGATTGTGAAGAAAGGCGATCGTTAGGAGAGTGGGCACAGAAGAAGGAGAAAAAAATGAGAGAGATCAAGTTTCTTTTTTTTTCTCGTGATATGCTTCCAATGGAAGAAATTGAATAAGTCTTCTTGGTTAAATGTTAGCCAAAGAACATTTTGTATCGTTATGAGAACTATGTAAAATAGGAAAGGGAGAACGAAATGAATAAACCTTTTCATGAGTAAAATATATGATCAACCGATGTGAGAGAAGGAAAGACAAATAGCACCTTTCTTTTAATCACCCGCTATTACATATATTAACAAAGAACTGAGAGAAAACGTTTTTTCATATGTTGACATGCATATTTCGTAGTACTGATGAATCAAAATTGATTTATTCGATTCGTTTCGATAATACTTCTACGTATAGCAAATGTTATGCTTTATTATGTTGTCAGAAACATGCCAGGCATGTAGCAAAGTATGAGTCACTTTACTTAATCACTACTTCATATAAAGAAACGAGCATGTGTTCGTTTTGATTCGTCTTCATCGTGCAGAGATGTTCGATTGTTGACAAAAAGTATTGTATTAGCGATATCGGATATATTGCCAATATTTCACAATCATGTCGTCGTCTAAAATGTAAGATCACAGAGAAGAACTTTGCCGTCAGTATAATACTTTATAAAAGTGAACTTTAACTCTTTTCTCATGTATTATATTACGTACAGAACAAACGAAAATAAGTTCTTAGTAAAAGATTATAAAATTGCACATGAACAGTTATAACATGCACAACAACCGCCCATACAACCACAGCTATTCAATGGGTAGTCATTCTCATAGATTATATGACGTCCTTGAGCATCGGAATATTGACAAAAACGAAATCGATTTCCTACGAATGAAAAGAATCAGTGAATTATCGAATTATTCGAATGATTATGTCGTACCTCGAGAAAAATCTTTCTTATTTGTATATTTCGCTTCTAGCACATATTCGATCTCTTCAAAATCCAGCCGTTCTATATCACACTCTAATCGGCGCATTTGATTCGATAGTTTCATGGTTTCATTCAAATGTTTGTCTTTATAATCACGCACTATATTGCTCTTCAACGGTACAGACGAATTATCCTCATTGATTGTGCGAACGAAATCTTCTATTGCTGACTCTTTCGTCCACGGCGTTTCCGATTTCGACCACATCGAAGCTTTGTTCACATGCGCGATTTTGTCCTCAGGTAAAAACGAATCCTGATAGTACCACATCGACACTCGCGTTTCCCACCAGACACGTAACGTAGCCGAATGGAGAAACACTCCATAACCTTCACATTTCGTACATTGTAATCGACCTTTTCCACTACACGTTTTACATATGATTAATCCGTCTTTACAAAGCGAACATCGAGTTCCATCTGATTTTAATCCTTGACTACATGATAAACATTTCTCTGAGCCATTGACACAACGATGATTAGTACAAGTTAAATTTCCTTCTCCTTGACATACTTCACAATTGCTTGTATAGTCATGTTCAGATAAAGATCGTTTTTGTTCGGACTTTTTCTCCGCGGAAATCGGTAGTTGAAATTGATAATCTAGCCAAATGTCAAAGATGGGTTGAATCGAATGATTTATTCGTTTTTTCGTCGCTTTCTTTGTCCAAGAGAGCTCTCGGTTTTCGAAGAGGATTTTCATTCGACATTGATAAGCGGCTTTTTTTTCGATTTTCGTGATTTGTGCGTGATTTAAAGGACCAGAATAGTAACAACTCTTCGAATCTATGTACCTTTTCAATTCATCGAGATGTTTCGAAGGTTCTCTCGATGACAATTGACTTGGATCGATGATAATTCCCGTATGCACTTTATTCGCCATCAGACGCAGCTTTCGATCAGCCGAAATTCGTTTTTATGAGCGTTCTTACTAAAATCCTTTGCTGATACACACACCATAAAACATGTGTATATACATTCTTATCTTATCTTTTCCAGTAAATAGATTTTTCGATTTACTCGTTGCCATAACAAATCAAATCATCAGCCAGTCGTCGCGATAAATCTTCTTGTACAGAGAGAACGATTTAACAATGACGGAGGAGTGGTCTTCACAAGCATATCTCTGACATAATCATATTACTTTACTAATATCGACTGTAGTTCTGTGATGAAATTCAATCAGAACAGAGTAGACAAATCTGTAATTCAAGAGCACAGGTACATATTGATCTTATCAGACAGATGAAATCTATGTTTGATGTAACAAATTGCTTCGCCGTCGTTGTCATTTTCGACGTATTTCATCTGCGTTTACGTCTCGAGTACATAAAATACAATCCGATCATCATCATTGTCTTTTTCTCACCATCGATCGATGTACAATCAGCAAGAAAAGGACGTGCTTTAACATTTGTTCAAATAAATGCAGTTTGTATATGCGAGGGTGTTCGACGTGTTCAATCTCTGATATATAAATATCTTCAAAGTCATGCAATTCATTCATTTTTTTTAAGATTAAACTTATTCGAATATGAATTATATTCAACGTTCGTTTCATCCGACCACCGTACGAGAAAATGTTTCCTTACCATCGCAAACGGTGAAAGCATCATCATCATCATCATCTTTGCATAATGGCGTACGTTTCAATGATTTAATACCAACAACGCAGCCTTGTGATGATCGAGAAAAATATCTCACTGCGTACAGATGAATTCAAATATTAATTTTGTCTGAATGAGTTATTTCTTCTAGGAAATATCCTCAACAGCAAATGCAATTGATACGTAAGCGTTTAAAAATTGAATTCTGGCTTGATGATGAATTACGAATGCTTTACAATATCAAGGTATAATTTTGTAGTCAATCGAAAATGGTAGAGATGATTTTTATTATTCTAAGGATGATTCGGATGAAGACCATAACCACTGTCCGGGTGATTTGATCGATTCTCTTTTAGATATCGACGATGAATTTGAACGACGCGAATTTTTAGTCGTAAGTTGTCTTGCTTGCCATTAATTCACTTCCTATTCGCAATCTGTAGGAGAAACTAAGAAATGTCAAACAAACTCGTTCGCTATTAATGGTAAATATTGATCAATTAGTTGATCATTGTCACATAAACATGTTTGTTTTCGTTTAGGATTTCATTGACGAATTGTTACATCGTGTAAAAATGTTGTAATTAGACAAAACTTATTTTTTATTTGTCTATCTCGTTTGAATAGAAAAACTAATGAATGAAAAACTATTTCTACAGGTAGATGGGCACTAGCGCGACTTTGTTGGGCGAATGTATTCATGGAATTGTCGATATTTTTCACGTTGTTTTCGAAGATATTTGTCAATTTGATATGTTATTTCATCGAAATCTTTTTGAATAATCACGTTGTATTCTCGCTCGAGATCTTTGATTTGTTGTTGACTAGAACATGCAGAGAAAGAGTGTCAAAGTGAGAGAGCAAAGGATTCTTTCTACTCGACAACATTGCATGATGTGGAAAGAGCACGTGAGATTGGTTGAGGAGCATTTTTCACCGGTTTTAATTGATCGTCTCGGTACCAATCTTTACTATTCGCTGGTAGATTCTGTTCGACTTTGATTCCGACTTGTGATGGTCGCAGTGCTGGCTTAACTGCCAAGGATGTTCGTCCAGCGAAATGAGTTTGTCCCGAAGCGAAAACAGACCGAACTGAATTAATTGAATCGAATTCAATATAAACATATTCCACGCCATTGCCGGAAGAGACGCATGTACAATTTAATATGCGTCCATATCTGGTAAACGCCTGAATAACAAGGAAGACATGTTCATTTATGAATTCGTTTGACAATCCTACTTTTTTAATAACATTTCGATCAAGTCTAGGGTTTGTATGAGCAATACAAACTTTTCTATCTAACATCAAACGTGCGTCTTCGTGGAAAGCTGCATCATATGAGTGAATATCCAGACGAATCCGACATATCGTGTGGTCGATTTTATTTGTTAGGAATACATTTATATCTGTTTCAGGCGAAAAACGTATAAAACGATAATCAATTAACCATTCGTCAGCAGCACGCGTGCAATTATGAAAGAATTCTTCAATATCACCAAACCGTTGAAAATATTCCCGTAGGGTCTTGTCATCAATCGATTGGACATTTCCTACATAAATTACGTTGGAATAATTCATCTAGAAAATGATTTCAGGACATGTACTTTTATTAAGAACATTCTCCGCCAGTCAGACAAAGTCAATTTAGTAATATCGAATCGATGATGAGGCACTGTTCGTAAACAGGATATACTAAGTAAACAGATGTCTCTAATAAGCGACCCGAGGTGTATTCTGATGTGGATGACCTATGTCATGTATGTTTGCTAGCAAGATCAACGTAAAACGATGGCGTGATTGGAATGATGTATGTGTGTTTCACTTGTCTTGCCGAATTAGTATGGGCTGTTTGTATACGCTTCGCAAAAATCTCATTTCCATTGAATTAATATCGATATACATCGATCACTTCTTCAAAATTAGTGTTAAAAATATTATCTCTTACGAAGTTTTTCTGTTTTCGACAGTATGACGTTCTTCTTTTTCTTTTCTTTGTCTGCTCCAAGACAATCTCAAATTGCGACTAAATGCCTCTCATGTTCCGCAATAGCAATTCTGCTTTCATTCGCTTTTCTATTTGTAAGAAATAGTACTCTCTCTCTTCTTCTATTCCTTGGCGAGCTCTATTCGATGAACTCTGGCTATGTGTCGATTGAACTAGATGACGCAGAGTGCTCGCAGTCAGTCAGAAAAAAAAGAATCTCATATTCGTCGTGCGAGAGAAACGCAAAAGAGGGAAAGAAGAAAAACTGGAACAACTCTGCACGAGACGTTCATTCTTTCGCTATCGACGTCAAACGCGCAACAGAAAAGCGAAGAAAAAACACAAAATATTATTGTTGTTTAGTCATCGCACGGATCTTTTGTTAAGATGTCATCCGTTATTCATGCACTCACTGGACATGGTGTTCATCCAGAAAAGAATTCCAATTCGTCCGCGGTTCACACAGTTACATATGAAGATGTCAAAGTTAAATCCGTAGTTAGTAGCCATACGGAAACCAAATCCGCTCCATCAGATGCAAAAAGTAAAATGAATGAATTGATGTCTAAATTGGGTATGTTTGTCAGATTTGTTTTTCTTAATATGAATGTTATTTTTGTATTTTCTAGGTTCGACACATGCGCAAATTGATGAATATTCACGTCGTCGTACACAAGAAATATCAGAGGCTGTCAAGGGTAGTATAGATAAGATTGTTCATCTGACACAAGTGCAACAACAGCAGTTGCTCGATGACGCTGCAAAAGAAACGAACAAAATTGAAGACGAATTTAAGAATCGATTGATGGTGTAAGTTAGTCATTATGAGAAAAACCAAGTTCAGTTCTGCTTACTGTTTGTAGGGCGATCAATGAACTTGATCAAGATAAAGCAACGCAGTTAGTGGATTTAGAAAAGGATTTGAATCTTCATCAAGAACAGATTCTTGAATCAGCTCGCAAACGTATTGATGCAGTTCATGAGGAAGCAAATCGATTAAAGATGGTAAACAATGCAAGATTTCGTTTCTATTCGTCGTTTATGCTTCTATTTGTGTACATAGAATATTCTCAAAGAAGCTCAAGCGAAGACAAATTCAAAGATCGAAGAAATTACTGAAAAAGTAGCACAGGTAAGACTATTAACACACTTCTCTTATATTCAAGCATTTCTGTTCGGATTTAGCTTGGAGCCGAGGATGCAGGTCGTCGTTTATCGACGAAAACAACAACAATCATAACCACGCAAGCACAAGCTGAAAGTCATCCGACTAAACACAATTGACCCTACTGTACATATTGTCGTTTAAACTATATAGTATTTGTAGAATGTATGATCGTTGTATACTTCCTCGTGCGTACCATTCAGTATCATTATTACCAGTTCAGTACATTGTAATACAAGCTTATGCAATAATTATTTGTCAGTCTTATCTGGAAAATTTTATTTTCGAGTCATCATGCATTTGCGCTGTTGTTTGTGATTAATGACTAATCAGAAACGATGTAGAAAAAAGAATAAAAGAATATTGGTGATAAGCTATTGCGATGTCCAAATAGAATTGGTACTGGAAAAATAGAAAAATATTGCGTTGAATTGATAAGCGTCTCTATGCAAGATATGATGAAAGTTATTGACCTTGTGAAAAACTAAAAAAGTGTTTTTTGTATCGATCTAACAAAACTTAATTCAACCGATAAGTGCAAAAATGATTTATTCGTTATCGTTTGACGAGAAAATCAATCAGATGACAATGTTATTCGTTTTGTATTACGCAGATGGGTGCTATCTCAGTTATACGTAGGTGTTCTCAGAAAGAATCGAGTATAAAAGGAGTGCGTTTTTCGTTATAACTTCACCCATCATTCTCATCTTCTTATCCTCACTTACTACATTCGCACAAAACATTCAACAATGAAAGCTGCTCTTGCTCTCATCTTCTTCGCTTGTGTTGCCGGTTCCATGGCTGCTGATGCCCGTGGTGACTTTCTTAACCAACTCGTCCAACAAGGACAAGTTGTTGCTCAAGGTGTCTTGAACCAACTTCAAGGTCAAATTCTCGGTCTTGTTCAACAAGCTCTCGGTCAACTCTCAACTCTTGTTGGTTCACTTGGTGGACGATTCGACATCGACTTCAGCGCTATTCTCAACCAAATCAAACCCCTTCTTGCCGGAGCTGCCAATCAAGTTCTTGTTCAAATTCTTGGTAGCATCTCAGGTCTCATTGGTGGTATGTATCCATTTTCTCTTTGATAGCTTGCATCGCTATCGAATGTCTTCTGTAATAGGTCGTGCTAGCATTAACATTGGTGAAATCTTCAACGGTTTCCTCCAACAAATCACCACCCCACTTCTTGGTATTGGTCAACAACTCCTTAACCAAGGTTTAGCTGCCGTTCTTGGTGGAATCGCTGGATCACGTGGCTTCTCTGACATCTTCGCTTGTGAGTTTCGACACATCACCAATATCGAAAACAATACTTTCGTTATTTTCATTTTAGCACTCCAACAACAAGTCAGCGGTGTTGTGTCAGCTGCTCAAAGCGCTCTCTCAGGTGCTCTTGGTAGCCTCTCAGCTCTCGGCTCAAACATCCTCGATGCCTCAAAACCACACTGGGAACAACTTCAAGAACAACTCGTTGGTCACGGCCTCAACGTTCTTGGATCAATCTCAGAAACCATCAACAACGTCCATGGTTCAATCACCGGTGGTCGTTAAGTGGCGGATCGGAAATGATCGCTTTTTCCTCTAATCTAATTTTATTTTAATCTAATTTTAATTATATTCTCGGATGATGGGTTTGCATGAACGTCAATAAAAGGTCCCGTCATCACTGTTGACGCTCGAAATCGAAACTTTGCTATTACCTATAGAGAAAGAGAAACAAATTCCAGATAAAGTCAATACTGAATGAATATAGATTGATCATATTTCCCCCTTTTTATATTTCAAGCAAATATACAAAGACTCAAGAATTGTAATATACATATACATAATGTTCTATAGGATATCTGTCGTTTGTATTGCTCCTCTTGAACACAAATCAGTATAGTCGGTTATATCATCATCATCATCATTATCAACGTCGTCGTCATCCTTCTCATCGACATCGTCGTCGTCCTCCTGTTCCTCCTCCTCCTCCTCATCATCATCGTCGTCTTGATCAGTGTTTTCTGGTTCATCTTCGTCCCAGTTATCCAGCTCGAACTCAGGACTAAACGGTGCTTGTTGATTTCCATCTTCGCGATCATGCAATAGACGATTGATAAGAAACGATGCACACGTTGTTTGAGGAAGATGCTGTGATGTTGATGGTAAACTCGTTTGTTGTTGTTGTTGCTGCTGCTGCTGACGAGAAAACTCCGTTGATATTGCCGTTGACACCAATTCGCTTTGTACGCGAAAGAAACCATCATTCCGCATAGTATAGCTACACAAAGAAGGAAGAAACTCGCATTGACTTGAGAGATTACTCAATGACCTACCTCAATCGGGTACAGCCCATCGCTTTCCCGAGCTGATGAGCTTTCAGTAAATGCGCTGTCAGCTTTTTGCCTCGAGGAAAACGTCGTTCACATAGATGACAAGCATACTTGTATTGCCGCTAAAGAGAAAGTTTCTCACTTCTTGTTCACAAAATCTTCGCTTTTCCGTACTTCTTGTTTATCATCAGAACTTTTCATCTGTTCCTTTTCACGATTGTCTACGTCGTTGAGTTTGTCCAGCAATGGAAGTAAATGCAAACGACGCCGATGAACAGTAAGACTATTTGCACATTTAAAACTGAGGAAGAGAGAAGAGAATGTTTATGACAATGAAGCATGAAGAGCAATGCCTTACGAGAGTGAACAATCCGGACATTGAAAATATTTGATATCAGTGTGACGATAGATAATATGTCGCTTCACTCCCGATGGGGTCGCAAATACTTGTGTGCAGTAAGGACACGCATGTTTCGTAGCTAAAACGAAGCGTTAGTAGTTGAATTGATTAGAATGCGAATTACTGTGTTTGTTGAGATGCTTTTGAAGGAGAGATTTCGACTGGAACTGTTGGGCACATTTTTCACATTGAAATTTCGGTGAGACTAGAAGAGACGATGTTGATTCCTTTCAAGTTCGTCGGTGTTTAGTCGTTTACCTTCGGTGGATAGTTGACAATGCTCGATAAATTTGACTCCACACGAAAACAAGGAGCCACACTGTGGACAAGCGATTGTTTTCTCTTGTGTATGCCGTCGTATATGCTCACGAATTCGATATGCTTTATCAGGACGATGTGTGCAACCTTAACATGAACAAAAGATGGTACAAAAACAAGTATTTTCTCGTCTCACCTGTCCAACGACAGACATCTGAACCGGCATGTTGATTAACATGTTCATAGAAAAGCTGTGCATGACTGTTGGTGTACTAAAGGTAAAGACGAAGAAAGAACGTCGAGCAGTGAACGAGAAGATAAATTACTTGGCAATCTCCCCAAGAACAGCGAAACTCAACGGGTAAATCTGGAATAATATTTCGATTTTCTGTCGACTTTTGACATAGAGGAATATTTGGATGATTGTGTTCGTAGGTTTTCATCCCCAAATATTTCAATTTCGTATGAAAACCATGGAATTTCACGTGTCGAATAAAGGACGAGATGTCAAATTCTTCGACATGACCGCAATTACGCCATTGACAGGCTAAGTCTATTCATAGAGAATGGACAATTTAGGCATTTACAGTTTGAACACCATCGTTTCTTACGTGGTACTGCTTGATATTGATTGATATAGTTCGAAAGATGTTCATCTAAATGCTTATAGAATTCCTTGAGATCGTTTAATCGAACGCGACATTCAGCACCCCATTCACATTGTAAATCATATTCAAGTTCGCTAAGATTTGGTATATATCGTTTCAATCGTCGTTTCGCAGTCATTTAATCTGAAACAAGAAACTCAGTGACATGAGCATTTTCTTGGCTTAGGCAAAAAATAAGTTCATTCTATGTAGAATCTGCACTGAATAAACACATTTTTATGAACAGTCACTCATTCGGACATAGGGTTCTCTACGGCTTTGTGTTTCATGGTGCTAGCTAAATGGTACTATATTCACACTGATGTTTTATTCAGTTAATTATATAGAATCATAATGAAGAAAAGAAGCAAGCCCAAGAAAGTTCTCTGCAGCCGTAGTTGGTGACGATGAGGAAGATGAAGAAGGTGAAAGCGGTGGTGGTTCAGGAGCTGGATTTGTGTTTACAATTGGTCCGTTAATAGCAGGTGATGGTAAAACAGATGCTGGGTCAGGATTTGGACGTTTATTGACGATTGCTTGGTTATTGGCAATAATTAACGGTTCTGCATATGGACGTCTGTCTACAACTGGCTGTTCAGTTGCAGTTGTTGGTGGAATTGATGGTGGTTCTGCAAACAAGCACTTACGTACGATTGGTTGTTCGACGGTAATAGTTGGCCGAAATGGTAATTGTTCAGGAGTTGACTGTTTCTTTACTATCGCTTCTTCCGTACTAATAATCCACGGAAGCGGTCGTGGTTGTGGACTTATACGTCTATGTATCATTGATTCTTGATTCGTTGTAATAGATGCTGGCTCAGGGGACAGACGTTGACTTACAGCTCGTTGTGTAGTAGCACTAGTTGATGAAACTGGTGGAAGCATAGGAAATTGGCGATTTGTTGCCATTGGTTGCTCACTAGCAACAACGGATGGCATTACTGGAGGATCAGGCGACAGAAGTTTATGTACAACTCGCTGTTCGATGATATCACTTCGTGGATCTGGTAAGAATTCTATATATGAACGTCTATTCAGAATCGGTTGTTCAACAGTTATACCTGATGAAAGTGGTACTGGCTGAGAGTGTGAAGATCTGTTTACGACTGGATGTTCACTGATAGTAATTGATGGAATGGAACATGGTTGAGGAGGCGGACGTTTAGTCACGTTTTGTTGTCTCACAGCGGGAGCTAATGGAACTGATAGTAATTCAGGGGTTGGATGTTTTTCTATGATTTCTGGTTCAGTAGTGTGGATTGATGAAACTGCGGAGAGGGCGGTAAGTTGATGTTTTACGGCCACTGGCTGTTCTCTAATAATCACTGGTGGCATTGATAATGGTTCGGCAGCAGGACGTTTGTGCATGAGTTCCGGTTCTCTAACAGTAGCTGATAGGACTGAGGCTGATTCAGGGTCTAAGTGTTTCTTTACAGTTTGCTGCTCAGTAGTAGCAGTTGATGAGGCTGGAAGCACACCAGAAGATTCTCGTTTTGTTGGCATTGCTTGCTCTTTAGTGGTCACCACTGGTATTACGGATGGCTCTGGACATGACTGTTTATTCATTACTGGCGATTTCACGGTAGCAGCTGGTTCAATCAGTAACGATTCAGGACACAAATGTTTTTCCACAGTTTGTTGTTCAGTGGCGATAGTAGATGGAACCAGAGATGGTCCAGGAACTTGGTGTTCAGCAGCCAGTGGTTGCTCGATATATGGCGCTGAGGATGTAGGATGATATGAACGTTCTTTCAATGTTTCTTGTTCAACAGGAACGGCTGATGAAATCGATAGCGGTTTTGCACACGACTGTCCACTTATTAGTGGTAGTTCAGGACTGATAATTGTCGACGCCGGTAAAGGTTCAGTATGTAGTCGTTTTCTGGGAGTAGGCTGTTCTACAGAGGTGATTGAAGAAGTTGGGAATGATTCTTCACGTGGTCGCTTGTTGGAACTTGGTTGTCTAATAGAAGCAGTTGATGGCTCAGGAGATGAATGTTTCTTCACATCTGATTGTTCAGCAATGGTAGTTGTCAGACCTGACGTTGGCATGAGAGGCGGATGTTTCTTTGTGATCGATTGCTCAGCGATGGAAGTTGATGGCACCGGCGATTTTGGCAAACACGTATGGTCGCTTACAGTCGGTTCTTCAAAAGAAGCGCTAGATTTGACCGCCGATTTTTCTTCACATGAGCGTTTATTTACATCTGACTTTTCAATGGTGGAAATGGCCAATAAGGTTTCATTTGCCGGTGGCTGTTTGGTTGTGGTAGAAGATGAAGCGAGTGATGTCTCAGAAGACTCGCCTTTATTGGTCACTGATTGTTCCGTCGTCCTAGTCGAAGGAAGCGGTTCTGGTTTGGGAGCTGGACGTTTATCGGCAGTGGATTGATCGGTGGTAACGGCTGACGAAATAGGTGATCGTTCGGAATCTATTCGCTTGCTCGCAGGCGGCTGTTCAACAATTGTAGTCGGCCTTTTCTAAATGGTGAAGGAAACGTGACTATGAACTCATATATTCCAATTGGCGTCGAAAGTACTCAGACTATACGAATAGAATTTATCTTTATGGCTTCGCTAATCCTTTCAGTCATGTGAATTACTTTCGACTTCTGTTTCTTCGGCGTATAGATCAAGGTCAAGTTTTCCGCTTTTGGATTTTCCGGTAAATGGCTGGAGAACTAAATAAAACACGAATATAACCATACACGACAAATACAACTCAGCTTCACTTTTAGAATCGGCCGATAACGTTGAAAAGTCGACTCGACTAACTCATCCAATCGTGAATTGTGATAAAATTCAGGATAGTTTCTGATCAAATTATACAAGTGAATAGATGTTTCGAATAGAATCGGTATTGAGACACTATTTGGATCACTTTCATCCATCGAGGCAAGGATTTTCAAACCCTCACGTTCGATGTCATCCCGCGTTTTACTTGTCACCTACAATACCATCGAGAAATCGAACGAAACTCTCAACAAGAAAGCGAACCTTTTTCTTCACAGTTCGAACGAAATTTTTAATGATATGTTGACACAACATCTTCCTTTCTACTTCACGAACATATTTCCTATATAAAAACAGATCATATTTCACTACTCGAAAGTTGTTTTCATTTCGACGAATTACTTGTCTGGATCTGGCTTTGCCAGTAATTGTCGTAATACTTCCAGCAGGATACCAAAGTTCTCCTCGAAGCGGAGAAGCAGATCAACAAATAATCGAGTTGATTTGTACATCGATGCATTGAATGAACCCGTACGGTCAGCGTCCAATGGTTGAATTCGCCATATACCCTACATCGATGGTCATTGTTCATTTGCTCTAGCTCAATACTTATCAACTTACATTGAAAAGATTATGTTTCGAACGTTCTTGATACAAGCCAATAACTCTCGGATAATTCTTCAATTCGAGTACACTTCCGCCAAGAAAGAACTCCAGACTAAGTCGATCGTTTCGATAGTATTCGTTTGTATGGAAAAAATGCGCAAGACGATAAAGCGCACGATAATGACGATTGTATCGAGCGATGCAAATATAGAGACCTTCGACGCATAACCAAATGCACTTGTGGTACAAGGTCAGCCACGGGTCGGTAGCCTGATCTGGAAAATATGCAAACATGGCAATGGAATTACTATTTACAACGAGTTAAACCTTGTTGAGCAGGAAAATATTGCGCGCTGATCAGCTGATTCGAATGAGCGTCGTTCGGACTAAAATTTATGAGACACGTCCATCGTTGTCGAAAGAGAAAACGACTTACATAGTTGACTTTTCATAGTAGCTCGTAGCGAATGCTTTTGTTTGCATCTCGACCAGGAACTCATGCAATTCATTCAGTTTTTCGATGGTAAAATCAACTGTTTCTTTATTATGACGATTCAAATATTTGAGAGTCGATGCATGAATTCGGTAGAACATCTATAATGGACACGTAGTGGAACAATTTCATTACGAAAACAAAAGGACTTCATACTTCAACAGCATGGCAACCGAGTAAAGTGCCCTTAGAATTCGATGTCGATGTGTGATGACCGAGTTTACGTGGGTAGACTGCTTTATTTTCATGTAGAAGATCGAGAGCCTAAAAAAATGATGTGCTTGCCGAGAACATAAACATTCGTTTCCATCGTACCGAAGCATATTTCTTCAATGCATGGAGTAATTTACTTCGATGGAGTTTCTCTTCGATCTTCGCCATCATATACAGGTGAGTCCAATCTTCTTTGTTGTCATCGTTATCCGTGCACAAATTCGCTTTTTCGTACGCCTCTTTGCATATGTTCAATAAAAACGATCGCTCGGGGACGTATTCCGCTGCTTTTTCTCTCTGAAAGGAGAAGATTTCGAAAGCAAAGAAGAAATCAATGCATTCGTACGTATTTCGAGCAATAGGATTGCAAAATGTATGTAATTTCAGCATATTCCATCCATAGAGTATGATTATTACTTTCAACAGAGACCGCTTGTCGGAAATAGCACGACGCTGACATGTGAACATTGAAGATTCGCGCATCGAAATCATCAGCCTGAAAAAAATATTTTCATATTTCCAACTCTTTCTTCAACACTCACCGTGATTAGTTCTTCGATCTTAGCAAATTCAATCACAGTCAAACCAGCCCACGAATCAAACCGTTTTGTATTCATACAAAGATCTTTGATATAGTATTCTTGTGCTTTTCTATGTGATTGAAAAACGTGTTTGATGGAGCGAAGCTCTTGTTTAGTTACTTGTTTGATGATTCATTCGATACTGCATCTTTCGAACCCATTTTCAGATGATAATCAGCGAAGAGATAATATAGATCTTTTTCGAATAAACTAAAACCAAGAAGTAGAAGCTCGAAGGAGTGAAGAATAGTTTCGTTTACGCATTATTTGCTGTAAATGGCTTGTCGGATAGATGTAATAGTTCTTCGCTTTGTTTGCCTTGATTATTGATCGATGTGGCATCGGACACATACGATATCAGGAGCTTTCTTCGGCGTTCACGCTCGTCATCCCATTCGATCATTGATTCAAATCTTTGAAAAAGACTTTCCGTCTAAAAAGCGACGAATCATCGTTTTCCGGTGCATTCACACAAGTTTTCTCATACTTCGTTCGTTACTGTGCAAGTACGACCTTCATAACCGGGCAGTTGTCTTGGTCGCAAGGCATAAAACACAATACTCGCTTTTTCCAATGTTAGCTCAAGCTAAGCTTCCGATTCAAATGACTGATTTCGTGCAGAAATTCTTTCTTACCGATCGACAGTTGTGATCGTCCAAGTACTTCATCTTGGATTTACGTAGGACCAGACCGTATAGACAATAGATACACTGTTCAATTTCATCCATCACCTTTGAGAATCTATTCTTTTGTTCGTCGCCGTCTTCTAGTGACTTCGAGTCGATGTTTTGTTTCGAAAATAAAATCTTTCGAATGTCGGGATGTTCAATTTGAATAAGTTCGAGGAGGAAATATTCCAGCAGAATACCCTTTTCGATCAAACACACTTCATGTCTATGAATAGGCACGGAACGGTCACGGAAATGTTTATAAGAAAACCGACATACTTTCCGAATAGTTCGTGGATCGTTCGTACGAATGAGACGATGAACTGTTCGGTCTTCTTCGAATCGCGTCTAACACGAGAAACCTCAGAGAAAGAAAGAATAACACTCGCAAAACGTACTTCATTGTAACACGATACAGAAGTATCCAAGGATTCGTTGATTTGAATGGCCAAACATTCTCTCCTGAGCAATCTCGTTTCATGATTGAGTCAATTAAGTTCAATGTTAACTTTTCAACTGTTTTCAATGATACATCTCGCCATGGAGAATCTTCATTCAGTATTCTAAAAGTGAGAAACGATTGGAATTCGTTCACGCTCGAATTGCTCGTTCTTTACTTGATCATCATATCGATGACTTCGATGAGTATTTGATCGAATATCTTGCGAACATTGAGATTATCTTTGTCATTCAAGTGTTGGTTTTCGTTGAGAACACTGATCAATGTTTCGTAACATTTAGTTAACGATTTCTGTTGTAATTGGCGTTGAGTGCATAGATTGGCATAGAACAACTTGATTTTCTTTTCTAATTTCTTGATCAAAGAAACTAATTCGTCTTTCTCATCAGCGACAGCGATGCGAGAGAGAATGTAAGTTAGTTCTTGCGACGATGAAGAATTCGAAGATGTGGAACTGCTGTTCTTCAAACGAAGGCAAAGTGCTTCAATCGTACCTAAAGCAACACATGGAAATCCGTTCGATTGACAACGAACCATCTCACTTACTCTTCGAAATCGTCGCGTGATTGAAGAGATTTGGCAGGACAATGGTGAAGTCTTCGGGCAAGATACGTTGTAGTTGATAAACGCAAGCTAATGCGTCTTCTTGAACATCGGATAAGAAATAATACAACGACGAAATCCAGAGAACTAGACATGAATAAATAGAACAAAACAGAGTGTTGGAAATGAAGATATTCACTCCGATAAAACATTTCATTGATTTCAAATTGGCTTTGTTGAATCGAGCTGTTCTTGAAGAGATACAAGAAGAATTGCAAGCGTGCGAAACAATATCCGAGGAATTTATATTTGACTTTTAACCGAGCGAAACAGCTGAATCTAAAGAAAAGATTCCCGTTCGAGAACAAAACAAACTGATCGAAACGTACCGTTCGATAGAATCTTCGGATAGATCAGATTTCGCTGATCCGAGCGCATTTTCGACGTAGCACACACAAGCACGAAGGTGATTCGGTTCGATTTCAGCTACAAATCAAATGGCATACTAATGTAGATTCGACGTGAGTGCCTACTGGTCGGGTATTGAATGTGATCAAGAAGACAATCGAAGAGTTTCGTGAAAATCACGCGCATTTCAGTTGACCTACGAGAAATTTCGAGAACTTGTGTAGGAGAATGTATTCAAGAGAAAACAACCGACCATAGCGTTGACGAATGTTTTGTGAGTTCATTGACGTATTTACAGATGAAATCGAGATAGTGGAACTGATGTCCAGATTTGATTGTGTCGTCGATGAGTTGAATGAATGACTTGTATTCGATGGTGAGTGAAGGAAATGTTTCTTTTGGCACATCAGAAGGTAGCGCTAGAGCGAACTCTGTGAATGAAAATGAGCTGTGAAATTCTCTTGCGATCGGTAACTAACCTTCATCGAGATTATCAGGCGAAATCAGCGTTTCATCTGCTTCTTCATCAGAACTAGAGAACAAAACAACGACAACATGGAAATACGATCAAAATGCAATACCTATCATCCTTATTTGCAAGAAGTCGTTTTAGTTTGTCTACTGTGCTGACATTATTTTCATCGGATATCATCCGAGTGACCTAAAACGTGGATTTACAAAAAAAGCACACAAACGATTTCATTCAACTAACACTTCGTGCGGATCGCCGTTTTTCGTAGTCATCAAGGTTGAGCGGCAACTGTGAACGCTTTTTCCGCTGGTTTGGTACCGGTGGTGGTGGCGGTGGCGGCTGTTCCTCAGATACCACTGCTTCTTGTTCCATCGGTTCAGGTTGCGGTGCTTCAACTACGACTGGTTTTTTTGGTAAGAAATTCTTGATCTCAATTAGTTTACAGAGTTTCTACAACATAATCTTTTATTCTTTTCATGACGAACTTCGCTTTACCGTATTATCATTGCTTGATTCTCGTATCTTTTTCGTTAAGTATTGACCTAACTCTTGAAAACTATGCACAAACATATCGCTTTATCGAGTAATTCCCAAGATGTTCATTACTTTTCGATACTTGGGCTTTCATCAACACTTTTCCTCTCGACGATTCGATTGTTTCTATTGAATAGTTTCTCTTTAAACTTCGCAATGTTTACTTCCAACTCTTGGATTCTCTTCGGAAGATCATCGTCGTGCACAATATATTCAATTTCATTTTTGAACATCTTTTCAATCAAGACTTTCATCGACGGCTGTTTCTTCTCGAGTAGCACCAAACACAATTGACCTAAGTCGTATACCGACTGAGAGGTGGCAACACGATCATATCCGATACGAATATATTCCAGACATTCTAAAATCGAATTCAAAGCAATTCACTCGACCGAGCAGATCCTACTTGAAAAATTGCCGAGAATGTAATAGAAGTAAATGAGTTGTTCCAAACATTTCCAATGAATATGCTCGTGACTGATTTCAATTGTCTACGGAAAGACTATGGGTAACAAACAGCTCAGTCTTAATGAATTACTTTCTCTAAGCATATTTTCACTTGATAGATGTCGGATAATTCAAGATAGCACATGCCCATTTCATAGTAGATCGTCGAGACGCGATTGTTGATCGCATTCGCCTGAAAATAAACAGTCGATGTGCGAAAGAGACCAACAAAAGAACGAACGTTGTCAAAACAGCGGATCGCTTTCTGATAAGAACCTAATTTCCGATACCAAATGCCACATTCCGTGAGAACAGTCCATTTGAGATTGATCCTTGATCGTTCGTTTTCATGATTGTGATTGACGACTGTCTTCTCGATGCATTCGAGTTTAAGGATGCGTTCAAGTAGTTCGACTTTCTTTTCACCGTCGATCGTGTTTTCATTTTTGACTTGTAAATATTCGCCGTATAAGTCGAGCGCTTGTGCTACCTAAAGAACTGCTCTACAGCGAATAAATCGATTGGTTTTGACGCTATGCATACTTGGTCCTTATCGTGTTCGATAGCGTTAAATAAATCATCAAGTTGAATTTCACCTCGACTAGCATCAATAATCATCGTGCTCGAAGTAAATCGAAACAAAGAATTATCAACTGTCAATGATAAATAGATCAATGGTTGTGCTCAACAACAAATAAGAAACGGGAGAAATGTTCACAAGTAGTGTCATCTATGATTCGATATGAAAAGACAGAAATAGCACATTTTTGCAATATTTTCGAATGAAATCAATTAAGTGGGTCAACATGAATGATATAGAGTGACACGTGTTATACTTCTCAAAAGATTTCGAACTATTACACTGAAACAACGTAGGCGCCAGGCAAGTTAGAGATGAAAAAACGTATTTTCTAGTACTTAACAGTATTGGCGCGGAGGATCGACTGGCGATGTTCTCATCATGTATCAGCGATTGAAACGAGCGAAGATATAAAAGCTGTGCGAAATTGCTGAGTATCCTCATTGATACCTAATCCTTTTCGTTTGTTGGAAGAAATCAAGTACAATGAAAGCTGCTCTCGCTGTCATCTTCGTTGCTTGTCTCACTGGCTCAATGGCTTCGGATGCTCAAAGCCGATTCATTGACCAACTTGTCCAACAAGGACAGAACATTGCTCAAACCATCATGGGTCAACTTCAAACGAACATTATTGGCTTTGTTCAACAGGCTGCTAGCAATCTCGAGCCACTGAACGCTTTTATCGAAAGTCAACCGTTCTTAAACAATATTGTTGAACAAATCAAACCTCAGATCGCTGGACCCATCAACACCGTCCTTGCTCAAATCATCAGTGGACTCGGTGGTCTCATTGGTGGTACGTACTTTTGAGTATTCTTTCAACAAGATGTTATTTCGTAACATAAACTAGGCCGTGCCAGCCTCGATCTTGGTGCCATCTTCAACGACTTCCTTCAACAAATCACCACCCCACTTCTTGGTATTGGTCAACACCTTCTCAATCAAGGCTTAGGTGCCGTTCTTGGTGGAATCGCTGGATCACGTGGCTTCTCTGACATCTTCGCTTGTGAGTTTCAACACATCCACCAACATCGAACACAATACTTTCGTTATTTTCGTTCTAGCACTCCAACAACAAATCGCAGGTGCCGTCACTGTTGCTCAAAGTGCTCTCTCAGGTGCTCTTGGTAGCCTCTCAGCTCTTGGCTCAAACATCCTCGATGCCTCAAAACCACACTGGGAACAACTTCAAGAACAACTCGTTGGTCACGGCCTCAACGTTCTTGGATCAATCTCAGAAACCATCAACAACGTCCACGGTTCAATTGTCGGCCGAAAATAAATACATCTTTGGCATGTAATTTCTTGAAAATTCCATTTTAAATAAATAAAATTCAAAAAATCCTAAGGGATCAATCCTTTTTTCAGTATGTCGATCAGTTAGATTTGACAATGACACATCTAAGACGGTTTTTTCTCTAATCTCTTCGAATAAAAGTAAAATAAAAATAAGTTCGTTATCATCTATGTCATTGTTTGTCAATATTAGCTAAGAAACGAATAGGGCATATATTCTTTGTCACTCTCCACAAAATGTCGTTTTATCAACTAGCTATCTGGGTTACTTCAGTGCTTTTTGCTCAATGCGTAATCATACATACTCCAAATGGCGATATTTTCGGAACAACATCCGGTAATGTTGTTGATACTTACCTAGGTATTCGCTATGGTGAAATTTCAACACGTTGGTCACTAGCGCGTCTACCTCAGCCATGGGCTGGTATTATTAACGCTACACAATTCGGTTCTATTTGTCATCAATCAGGCCCGTTTAAGCTACCAGTACCAACACCAGAAAGTGAAGATTGTTTGTTCCTGAATATTTGGGTGCCAAAGAATGGTAGTCAGCCATTACCAGTTCGTGTTTGGCTGCACGGTGGTGGATACACAGCAGGTTCAAGTAATGATTATGACAGTGGGAATCTTGCTGTATTTTCTCAGTCAATAATCATTACTTTGAATTATCGTCTTGGAGTATTTGGTTTTTTCCCATTACCAAATGTTCGTCCTCGTAATTTGGGTTGGATTGACCAACAGCTAGCTTTGCAATGGATTCAAGAAAATATCCCGTCGTTTGGTGGTGATAAAACAAATATTATGCTCTTCGGTCAATCAGCAGGTGGAGGCTCCTCTATTGCTCATCTTCTGATGGAGTCCAGTTGGTCATTGTATTCGTCTGTTGTATTACAGTCATCTGGACCTTTCCGATTAGCCAATTGTGTGGAAAGTGAAGAGATCAATTGGAGAATTCTGAACACTACTTTTCCTGAATGTCAGTCAAACTTATCTTGTTTTCAGCAATTGAACGGATCGCGATTCTACGAAGAATTGAAAATCAATTGGGCAACGTTGTGGCCGTGTATCGGTGAAACGTCTCAGTTATCTGATCAACCATTGACATTAATTCGCAAAGGATTATTCAACAAAAAGGCAAATGTTCTCGGTGGATTCAATTCTAACGAAGGTGAAAGTGCCACATTCATATTCAATAGTAATGATATGTCCGTTTCATCGGCTAGATATCAACAGTTAGCCGAAGAGTTTCAAGTGCCGCAAGAGTTAGTTAAACGATATGATCCGTCGGCAACTGATCGGAATTATTTTAAAGCGTTCAGCTGGTTAATCGGTGATTATTTATCACACTGTGCAAATATTTATCTCTTCAATCATCTTACAAAATTGTCTCCAGCTTCTCTTTATGCTTATTTCTTCATTCATCCCACGGAAAACTGGGCCTTTTCACCATTAAATTTCAATGCCACGCACATCACCGAGATTCCCTACGTATTTCATAATCAATTCGCACTAGCTGCACTAACACCACCCGAAGCCACCTTATCCTTACAAATGATTAAATATTTTACATTATTTCATCTCTCCGAACAACCGTGGCCATCTTATAAATCCAATCAAACGGTATTTATATTCGATGTTGGAAACAATACTCGAAACACTCGGCGCGGTTTCGAACAGTCGTTTCTCGACCGATGTCAATTCGTGTTGAAATATCTCGACGATGGTGATTGTCAGGCGTACTTAACGGAACAAGATTGCTTACAACTAGATACTTGCCAATGGGTAGATAGTCATTGTGGTGTAAAGCCGACGGCTTCTGCTTCGCAACATCGTTTCCCCAGTTTTTTGTTCGTTTTTGTTTTCTTATTTTTATTATAAACGCTAGATGGAGTTGACCACCGTCACTCAGCTCAGCGAGATATATTTAGTCCAATAGCATTACAGATCATGCGTCATATATACACATACACGACACACAATACGAAGCACAAAAACGTGGCATTTCTTTTCGCTTTATTTATAACTAACTAAACTTCGTAGTGTTTAAGATAAGGAGAAGATCATGTTTAATTTAAATTTTTCGGCTAAAATTAAAGAGGCAGAAGAGCATGTCAAAGAAGGTGAAAAACATCTGAAGACATCGTTTTTGAAATGGAAACCTGATTTGGATTCTGCCATTGACGAATTCGATAAAGCCTGCACATGTTATCGCGTCGCAGAAAAGTACGAACAGTGTCGAGACCTATCGATTCGATTAGCTGAACTACAATGTCAAAAAGGTAATTTCTAATTTCTTGTTGAGTCAAAACAGAACGTCTCGATTTAGGAACTCCATTTTTTGCTGCAAAGTCGTTTGAACAAGCGGCCCAGATGACTCAACAGTTACAAGATTTACCAGCCGCTGTGAAATACTTTGACCGGGCAGGACAGTTGTATACGGAAGGAGGTCAGGATCCTACTTTAGTTACGGTTTCGCATTGATTTCGTGAGCTTTTAGGTTATCGTGATTCGGCTGCAATACTGTATGAACGCTGTGCACCGCAGTTTCAGCAACTCGATCGTGCTATTTCCATAGATTTCTATTTGAAAGCGGCACGTTTAGCAGAGCAAGAAGAAAAGACCTTCCAAGCGGCTGACTTGTACGAAAAAGCTGCTATGCAAGCTGTTCGAACTGGTAATTTCAAACAAACAGCACAATTACTGGAAACAGTGACGAATGTTCTGTCCAAAATGGATCGATTCGATCGTATTAATCGCGTTGTACTCTACAGAATATTACTGAAATTATTCGATGATGACAGTGTCGCTGCTCGGAATATTTTCGATCAAGCTTGTCAAACTTATCCATCGTTCGATCAATGGGAAGAACGTGATCATATTGAATTATTACTTGAAGCATTCGACCAAGAAGATAAAGACTTAATTAGTCAACGCTGTCAAGTAAGGCAATGGTTATTTCATGTACAGTATGATCCTTTTTCTTGTACAATAGAAACCTTATTTTATGTCGATCGAACCAGAATTCGTTCGTTTGATTAAACGATGGATACGACCGACAACTAATAACCCTGATCAACAACGTACTACTACTACGATGACTGCAGCTCCGACATCTACAAGTGCAACTAAACCAATTCAGCTGGACGATGACGAAGATGATTTACGTTAAAGTAGAAAAATATCTTCTTTTGACTATTTCATCATCTTTTATATTTGTATTTGATATGCATATATATATATATATATGAATCGTATTCTGATACATACACGTGTGAGAAACTGAATAAATTTGAATTTTAGATAAACAAGCGTTTCAATTACCAATGCCACACCAGTTAATACTCCACTGATATTGCTGAGCCACAGTCAAGAACTGCGAGCGTACACTGTAAATCCGTTTTGAGACGCATAATAGATTGCAGTATAGCCGGTTGTCATCCAGTGATTAGTAATACCGGTCATACTGCTGAAATGTAGTGCAGTCGATTTGAAACTACAAATTGTTGTGCTGATTGTCATGGTGATTCCATTACAGGAAGATAATGTCCAAAGTGTACAAGATGCAGCATTGCCACAGAGATATGGATGGGTATCAGTTGGTGACGAATTCACTTGAGCTACTGAAGTTTGCACTAAAAACGAGTTACATAGATACACATCTTCAACATTCGTATAAACTATTTCTAAGATTTGAATAAAACAAACACTCACTGATAACAGGTGATGCTGTTGTCTCGGTTGATGTGTCTAAAAAGCAAAAGAAAATTCTTGTTTTTCAGACAATAGGATCCTTACACTTTTCTCTAATGTACAGTGTTGTTACAGAAGCTAGCGCTACACCTGCCACCAATATACCGATAAGTGTCCATGTTAGACATGAACTGTACTTTGATAATCCTGTTTTCATAGCTTTACTTGATTCAAGAAACATATATTTGATAGAGGATGTCACCTATCACAAATATTTTTACTGCATTTAGAAACGTACGAGACACTTGAGAGCTTTCTTTTCATGTATGAGTCTCACAAGAGAAAAAAACATAAACACAACTGTACAGCTTTATCCCGGTATGCTCGAAAATATCCATGGAATTTTTTTAATTTACATAAATTATCCAAGAGCTCATCTGTTTGATTTCTTTCTTTATTATTGAGACTTTGTTCAGAGATAGCACATACACATGCTGATAGAGTTCAAATACAGTGCCACAACAAAATACATGTTTTAGTTGAGAAGACCAAACCAATTGACATTCCAGGTATACGTTTGGGACAACGCAAGTAGTATCGTATTGTTTGGATATTCTGCTGACTGAGCATAAATAGTGAAGCTGTTATTCTGTGCATCGTAGATTGCCGTATAGCCTGTTGCCACCCAATGGTAGCTCACCCCAGCCATGCTTGTGAAGTAGAGGGGAGTAGAATTGAAATAGCAAATCGTTGTGTCGATAGTGATTGTTATACCAGCCGTGGTAAATAATTGCCATAGCGTGTAGTTCGCCACATTTCCACAGATATATGGTTGTTTTGATGCTTGGGATGAATTGGTTTGACTTGCTGTTGGTGCAGTCGATATTGCTGAAATACAATCGGATTTCAAAGTGTGGATCGGTTTGACCGAATGTCCTTACATTTTTCTCTAATGTATAATGTTAACACCGAGGCAAGTGCAACGCCCATAATTAGAGTGCCAACAAGCACCCATGTCAAGAACGAACTATATTTCGATATTGTCTGTGTTATAGCATTCGCTTTTCCCGTTCCCATCAGTAGAATTCACTGGAGCACCGTCAGTATTACAACAATTTTGCTATTATATTGAAATAAATATGTCGGTCTGAATTTTCATCGCCTTTGAAACCATCAAAGAAAAGGAAAGCTTTTCAAAGACATTTCAATTTGCATGTTAATACAGGCGAAATCGATTGATACGTACCAAGAAAGAATACTACTGCATAATGTAATCCGCGATGGGCGTGCACTCGAGTGCATAGAAAACCGTCGTTTTGATTCATCCGAATAGTTTTCCTTCTTTTATTGATATGCATAGAAAAAATAAAGTATATTTACTTCAACAACTGTGAAATTTGCGATACTCCACAGCAATTATGATGTATTTTACAATATTCTTCGAAATCTTCACATGAACTGTTCTCCTTGTACAACTGCAGAGTCATATAACCATATGCCCAATACGAAGGTTTTGTATTCCCATGTCCATGACGATTGAATCCATCGCGATAAGTATACAGATTTCGTTTCATATGCTCTGCTTTGACCAGCGCCCATTCTTCAGCGTAACCCAACGTCACAAAGACATGTTCGAATTCGGCTAGTTGAGATGTAAACAAAGCATTGCCATTATTCCAAACTGGCTCATCATTTTTTTTATAATCTCGTCCTAATAAGATGACCTTCAGAATATCTAAACGTCGAGGAACTTGCTCGTTTAAATCTAAACATCGATTTTTCAATTCTGCATATCCTAAACTTGATGTATTGGCAATGTTGGCTCGGACTTTCCCACGTGTTAAACCCTCTCGCAATAGCATCACCATCTCATCGTGTTTTGGCGCATCAAGAATGGACTGCACCAATGTTGAAGCTAATGCCGTTCGTTCTGTTTGTCCTTTCGTTGCCAGATCGGTTGCATATTGATTTTCAAAGCGTTTACGAATGTAATCTTGGACAATCTTTCGTGCCGCTTGTTCATCAACTAAGTCGATCATTTTCATCGTTTCGTTATCACTATTCACTCGACTCGATTTACTCGTGTAAACTAATGCTTGGAAAACATTGTAGAATTTGAATGTTTCTAAATCGTAATCAATCTGTAATTCTTTGCAAATGAAACTTTCATCGATGGCTGGTATTTGTTTGATACTTTCAATATCGCCATTCACAGCAGCGGAGAGATACTTCGGTAGAAGCGTTACATAGTCAACATAATAAACTGTTTGTAATAATTCATCGAGATAGGAATTGTCGATATGAACCTGATCATGAAAGGCAATGTCAGCCAACTGTGGTTCAGGTTCGTACAATGCTTGTAGTGGTGTTCTGTGTGCATTTAAATCTAAACCAATCAGTCGCTCAAGCATCTTCTGAGCAATCAAATCGGAATCATCACGATTCTTATATTGCCGACGAACGGCTTGCCAAATTTCATAAGTGTACAGAGCACGTAAAATCTTTGGAATCTGCTGCAATTTTTTCGTGTCCTTCTCACGAAGTAATTTTATCAGTGGACTAATCATATTCGTTGTTCCGTTATTAGCGATGTAGTACGACATGGAAGTATTCTGTTCTTTGATATAAGGCATGATATGTTGGAAGTAATTTCCAACGACAACTTCATAAGTTTTAACGAGATGTTCGAATGTTTTCAATTGCAATTCCGATTTGTTCGTGTTTAAGTCTTCGACTAGTTTCCAAATACCAGCACAGATTGTGTAACCAGCTGTCATAGGGACATCTGCTACTAAACGCCGCATGCCAATAGAACAGGTATATTCCAATACCGAAGGAGCATACTTTTGTAGAAATTTAGCAATGCGTTGGTCTTCGATGATCGGAATGACATTTGCAATGTCTTTATTCGTTGCCGGAGTTCGTAATGGTTGTCCGTGGGATTGAACAAACGCCATTAAGACATCAGCTAAACTGACGTAACAACCTGGAAAGATTTCATTCACTCGCCAAGTCATTGGATCAGGAAATTCTCCGATTGGACCTGAACATGCTATACCTACGATATTTATCATTCGTAGGATATCATTCGCATCTAAATCATCTAACAAGTCATCGGCAACTAGTTGACATACAGCTCGAATTCCACCGAGGGTAGTATCTTGTGAGAAAAATGAAACTAAATGATTATCGTCATCGATATCTTTCAATTCATCGACATGTTCAGCCATTTGTCGAACTTCTTTTCGAAGGATCTCGTTGAAATCTAAACCTTGTGTAACAGCACGTCGTGCTAGACCACGCGCATTCTTCGACGAACTATCGACTACACGAAGGTATTCAGCCTGTTGTGCTGAATTCAATTGAGAGACTTTATCATCATTAGCAATTTGAGACATACGCATGACGAACGATTTCTTTCGTCGAGCAATCGAAGCTTTCAAATATTGAACGCGAGCGCGTAAACTGGAATCGTTGAGAAGAGCTTGAACATCATCTTCATTGCCTGACAGGGAACTTTCCATATTCTGAAAATAAGCCATCATTTTATTGATTTCATCGAGTGATTCTTTTGTATTGACAACTTTTAAAATCTTCATTTGATTTATATAATAGTCGATTTTCGTTTTCAATAGTTTTTCATAGCTATCGACCGTTAAACTTTGCTGCATATGAACTTCAACATTGCTGTCGCCAACAGTTAGATTTCCTGTCGGTAATTTGCTTAACCAAAATAAATTTTCACCGGAAAATAGTGGAATCGTGTCATACGTCGTACTTTGCCATGGGTTACTTTTCAGAATCGCTTCGTTGGACTTCAAAAGAGCATTTCGATCTAAAGAATCATCCGAATATAAACTCGCGATCGTCGAAGCAATGAGTTCGTTTCCTAAATCGGTTCGTAGATCGAGTAGATTAACACTTGAAACATTATTAAGTTGTAAAAGACTTGACACAGCTCGAGTGTCTGGCTGGGCACTCGAAGTGAACAGTCGAACTGCTTGAGAATTGATTATGAAATCATTTTTGATCAATGTAGCTAACTGAGCTGCTAATGATTGTACAAGCTGTTGATCTGCTACTTCTCCATCCGATATTGTCAATAATCGTAAGCTTCGGCAATCTTTTGGTAATTTATTGAGAATAAAATCAGTCAATGCTGTGATGCCCGTTGCCATGTACGTTCCACCTTGACATTTAATAGCAAAGGTGCTGAAATTCTTCAAGCGCATGTCGAATACATTGGCTTGATTATCAAATGTGATTAATGTAATGACATCATCGCTATGATAGCCAAGAGCTTTGAAGATCGAAGGTAAGATCTGATTAACAAATCTTGGAACCGAATTGCCCATTGACCCAGATCGATCGAGAATAACAATAGTAGAAACTTTCGATTTCGATAGAAGACTCTTTTTAACATCAGCATTACCAGTAGTATTCAATGTAAGTTTACCGATAAAACCATTTTCATTTGGATATACAAACAGATCAAGCTTAGACGCCATGCTCCCAACTATTGTGAACGTACTTATTCAAACTTGCATTGATTTTATATTATTCGTCAGCCTGATGCAACTGTACTGACAATTAGCGAGGATAACGTCAGCCAAATTGCACAACATCACATCAATACTTATACGAAAAACAATGGCGTCATCTATATTTTTCGTTTCGTTGTTTGAGTTCTGATACATAGAAGTTTTTATTGGATTTAAAAAAGAAATTCACGGTCTAGTTACGTTCTGATTCGTGGGTATGCCTACTCGATTGAGTCGTACCCTTCGATGTACACTCTCGCGTACCTTTTTCAATAGGTCGGGATACATATTCAAGCACAGGATTGGTAAAAGCACGGGGACGAAATAAATAATATATAACATGGTATCTGTTCTATCAAGAAGGAATGTGGGCAGTATTGTATACCGAACTATTTGCGATAAAGTGAATGGCAACCAAAGAGCGAGATAGAGTGAAGAAATAATCCATAACTGAAATGTCATTTTACGATGACGATGCCATTGAATAGCTTGATGATGAGCGATTTTCTTAGAAATCACACGCAAAAAAAGAGTTACGTTCGCCAATGCAATAACAGTTATAGGAAAAGTCACATTCACAAGAAATTCAATCAAAGCGTAAAGAGGATCTCCCGTTGTTACAAAACATGGTAAACCACAAATATTTGCATCAAATATCCATTCATTAGTGCATATGGGTTGGAGAACGATCAGAACGAAATGGAATATGAATATGTACGCAAAGAATACCGAAATAGGAATGAAATGTAGCATCCAAACTTTCCATCGAATACGCATGATGGTATGAGAATGAAATACAAATAAATGCCGTTCAATTGACGCCCAAGCCATGAGATATAAATCGAGTGTGTTCAACGATAATTCGTAGCAAGTCCACCAAAGACAATAAGCATTATTTTCAAATAAAACTCTACCTCGATAGAAGTAACTCATCGGCATGGGTAAATTCGTTATAAGGTAAAAGAAATTGAGAATAAGAAGAATAAGCCATATGTGATTTTTCGGTTTCGATCGAACATTTCGATCGTACAAGAAATAGACGAAGATTAAAACTGAAACGCATACCGCCGGAATTTGAAAGATAAGAAGCAGAATAAATTTGAGCATATAATTCATGCTTTCTCTCCTAACCTATTGATTTGAAGAGAACTCCTCCAGCACTTTATATATATACCGTTCAAGTATATCTTTAGAACAACATTTGAAAACGTGCCGTTGACATCCGACATAACATGAGCGCATACATCACATTTACGTCTTTAACTAGCGCTGCTATTATTTTTCTAATGAGAATAAGATGCAAATAGGTCGAAAATCACCTAGCAGCTATTCTTGCTTAGCCCTGTGGACAATATAATTATAGCAACCCTAACCAAGCTGATTACCGAATAATATGCATACTAATTAGATTCTCGAACATAAGTACGGAAACGTACTTTCATCTTGTACGGAAGTCTTCAGAATCCAAGTCCTTATTCGTTTTACATGCCAACCTTCTGCCACACCTTTAACTAACTTTAAAATACGTCGAAAGAAGAATTCCAAAACGACGTAGAATCCATTTGCTCAGAGTTAGCTTGGATGCGCATTAAAAACATGATCTTATTTCATGTTCTTAGTATGTCTGACATATATGCGATTCGCAGATGACAAAAAATGCCTTCCAGTGCATTAATGTCCCGATTTGAAAATAACTTTTTAACAAAGTTAACTGGGAACAAAAAGAAGTAACTGCATGAACGTATCAATAATCTTCCTAGAGTTTGGTTGATGGTACATCTTGTCTATCAACTTTGATGTACTTCATCATATTGTCCTTTTCGCAACCATTTCAGAGTGAGGTTATAACTAACAAGAAAGAACACAATTCAATGTATGATATCCGTCCGTGACAGTCGTATTAAATAAGATTCATGCTATAGAATGCCACCCACGTAAAAAATTATTTATAAGTGTTCGTCATTTACTCAAAAAGTTTATCAATATAGCTATACAACAAATATTCAATGCAAACAATTCGTAAGTCACACGTTGACAAAGTTCTACCTATTCTCTGACAATCACTAATTAGTGATGTCTATACACCAGCACTTTTCAGTCGATCACATTCCTTTTTCTGATCAGTGTAGATCTAAAAGTAATACAAATACAATCATACATTACTTCTCGTCAAACAAACAAGAAAATCCACATACTTGGTCGATCGATTCTTTCAGAAAATCTTTCGATTGGATCGAAAAATAACGATCGCATTCGACGATCACGATTAGCATAAATTTCTGTTTGACTTGCTTTTTTCGAACCTACAACAGCAATCCTTACATTTGTTTTTCTTCGATTGGCCTCTCTTTCATGTACGAAAGAATCTCTTGATCCGCGATTTTCGTTTCTTTCGCTTGTCGAAAACTATCATTGATAATGGAAAGAAACATGCTTAAGCAAACGAACACAACTATAAATATGAACAAAGTAAAACAGAATGGACCAAGAAATGCACCAGCTGCGATCAGTTCAGATGCATCAAATTTCATCAACGTCACTTCAAATAACATTTGTGCTGTACTCAACAGAGTTGAACATGCTGATAGTTTGGCAACAAATAACAGATAGAACAAGGTAAGAAACGCCATAAATACAACTGAAAACATGATGAAGAATTGAACAAGTTCTTTGCCAGCTATGCGAAGTGTTTCCGTGAATAATGAAATGCGATGATTGAAACGAAAGAGTTTCACAAATCGAATCAAACCAAAGAAACAACAATAAGCAAGTAAATAGGTCAACACATCATTGACATATACTGCCAGTTGTAAATTCACATAAACGTATCCATCACCTGCATGTGTTTCATATTCACCAACATACGGATAAGTGTGTAATTCATCACTTGATCGATATCGAAATGCTTTGAGAATCGATGAACTGTATGTTCCATCAGTTTCTGTTGTTGTTGTTTCATTCGACCATCCTGGTTGATAAGAATGTTTGTCTTCATTGAAGATGCTATAAGTATGTTCACATATGATTTGCAGATGTTGATCATCACATAGCTCTGGTTTGCTTCGAAGTTGTCTGATGATGGCCCAGCCGATGAGTCGATTAGATTTGTCATTGAGAAAACCAGAGAGATATCGTGGTGCATCACCATTGTACCATTGTTGAGCACGAAGATTTGAGAGAAAACTCTTCTCTAGCCAGTTCCAATATTGATCAATTGTCAAAATCTACAATAGACATATTCACATGTTCAACGAACGATCTAAGTAAACAAATAAACCTGAGTATAATCGAGAGTAGATTGTCGAGTGTTGAAGAAATACGAACGAAGATGTTTGACTTGATAGAAACTGTTTTGTTCACAATTGGCATAAGTGATGATAAAGATCAATGTCGAAAAGATGATATGTAAAGTGAATTCTCGAATGATTAACCACATTTGAATATCTTTGAGACGTTGTTCACGGGCTTCAGCAATTTCATTTTCACCAAGTCGTTTTATAGGTGTCCTTGTTTGAAGACTAAACAAAGTGTCATTCTAAACAAAAACAAAGAAACAAACGCGAGTTGTTTTCCGATATCTCTGATATGACTAAATATGGAAAGATTGTACCTCAGATGAATGAAGATAACCATCAGCAATATCATCGAACTCTATTCGATCATCATCAATGTATTCCTTTGCTTCTTTATCAGTTGATGAAGATCGACAGAAAAAGGCAAAAATCACTGCCAAAACTAAGATCTAAAACGAGATTCATGTGATGAAATGAAGTGAAGAAAGTGAAACGATCTACTTTGATGGGCTGAGAGACAAGAATCGATGAGAAGAAACCAGTGAGAACAGATGTTAACCACTTTTGTGTTTTCACATCACCAAATTCAATGCCTCGTACGATAATGAAGAAAATCGAAACAACAATGATCATAAATGAGAGAGCGTAGGCAATGAATATACACCACCAAGGAAATGTACCCGACGTTGGTTTCTTCTTTTGTTTTGTTATTTGTTCGAGATTTGTAAGTCTAAAACAGAATGAGGAGATGGAAGTTTGATGTGATAGAAAGATGCACAAATGTTTGTCCAGATGTTTTGATTTTGTACAAGGTTTGTTGTAATGGTGAGATCTGTTGTCGAGATCGAATTCGACGAAAGAATTGAACAATGAAAAGACTTGGAACTAATGTGAAAAGTTCAACGATGACGCCGATTGCAATCTAGTGAATCACTCGAAAGAGATGTGAACATATTCTAAAGACGATAATGATAATGTTACCTGTTGTGGTGTGATGTAAAGTGGACCAATGGCTAAACCATTGATCTGTGTTGTATTGGTTGATTTGGCTTCATTTGATAGATCATAATACATGATATTGAGCAACATGGAAATGAAGAAGAGAACAAAACAACAAATACATCGTTGGACACATGTAAATCGATTGGATGGCGGTCGAGAGAAGATCGAAAACCAGAGATGACCATCAGATGCACTGTGATATGCTTTCTTCGATAAGACATAGGAAAACGCTTGTTTTTCCAGTTCACCTTACTCGTCCATCATCTTTTTCAACGGCGAACCATCGTTGAGCAATGAAGTAGAATTTATCCATTGTTTGTAAATCACGAACAATGATATATTTGAGATACCATGATGCTGACTGGCCCTCACCTGAATTATCATGCAAAATTCGAACGTAATTCAACAATCCCAATGATCTAGATCAACACATGGAAGAGGTGATTTCAATGTGCTCAGAATTCAACTGACTTGGGTACTGCCATCGCAAAAGCATCAATCCCACCACGTTGCAGAACTTTTCGATGTGGATCAGCCAATGCACGAATATCTGTTTGATCTTCATCACCTGACAGCACAAAATAAACCTATGACAGACAAAAGAACAAAGAGAGGAAGAGAGAGAGAGTTTCATCGTGATCAAAAATGTTTGAGAAATGTTGTACTTTGGACTTTGTACCAGCATTTGATCGTTGACCAGTAAAAATAAGAATCTGATAGAAATATTGATCTTGTTTATGATTGTCGATCATCGGTGTCACTCCCAACTATTGACAAACAACAAAAGATGTTGATTTGTAAGAATAATTTCGATCATTTACTTTTTCGATATCTTTTCTATCTTTGAACCGACTGTAGAGCAGAAGAATGACATAGAGAACGGATGAGTAGAACCTTCAAGGGAACTATTAATCAATTTACTGCTTCACATTAACTATTCAAAAATGTTCTATGTGTTATTTAGAAACAATGATACTTGGCTTTTATATTCGAGATAATTAAGAAACTTTCTGTGTTGTCAAATCCTAATTTCGATGTATTTCTAAGTGTAGTAGTGCACATCAATAATTGAATTTGGAGAATAGTTATGAGGCACAAAATACATGTTAGTAATAAGACTTAGGTTTCTCGTTTGGTTGTGTTGATCTGAAAAACAGTACAATTGCTTCAAAATGCCATCGAAATTTATTACGTATGTCTTTCCAATTCTCAGCATATTTTCGTCATTTTTAACACAAATGCTAAAACACTGGAATCAATCATCATTAGTAAAGTATGTTTTATATTAACTACAGCAAGCATTCTTGTTTTCCTGGTAAAGTTCTACTGAGGAAAATCCGATTGAAACGATGGAGCTTGATAGGAAATACTCTCATGTTCAAAGATAATAGGTCCACAATATTTAATATACTCAACTGCTCAAAATTTGTTCCACGATTAATTCACGCAGACATTCCGTCCACCTGCTACAGATTTCAATATTTCGAGATACTGTTAATGTACGACTACAGAATATACTGAACAAGATCTTTTTATTTCAGTGAAATGCTTGGGTATATTTTTTTTTCTCAGGGATAGGAAGGAACATGTGTTTGTTAAAGTATAAAAATAGACAACCATCCTGCTAGAAGAAGAAGTCCACCGTATGGGGTAACACGACGGTATCGTGCATCGTTTTGAATAGCATGATAATACATAGGACCACAAAACAAAGTTACACCGCTGATCAACAATGAACCAGTAATCACCGGGCGACCGACTAATGGTAAACCAAGTAAAGCAACTGAATGAAGCAGGTGATAGGTTTGTGCCAATTGAAATAACTAAATAAATACTATAAAGAAAGAATAATTGAACTTTTTCTGAGCATACGCGACGAAGTTCTTCAGATGCACTGTCCTTCATTGTATGAGCCCCGTACACACCTAAACATATCGCCACAGTACCAGACAAGCCAGCGCAGCGAACAAAGTTCTTCGCTGTTGGTGATAGAAGTACGCCTGTGAATGAAGCAGGTGTCACGGGAGGCGGTGGTGGTGGCGATGGTGTTGGTGGGAGTGGTTTGATTCTAAGTAAAATCATTTGGAAATCTCCATGAAAGTAACGAAACAAAAATACTAACCCAATCGATTTTAGAAGACCATCAGTCCATCGACTGATATCTCGAATAATTGCTACGTCCATCGATATATAGAAACGATCTATAAAACAGTTCGAACATAGTACACAAACATACATTTTCGATTGATCGTTTATATTTTCATAAATAGAATCGAATAATGAATGAACAAAAAAAAGCAATACATATCATGTATAGATTCAAAAGAGTGTTCATTATTATTGTCGACGTCGTGCTGCTTTCCATTGTTCAATGGTTTGTTTCAACTCTGGTTGAGGAATCACGTCTTGCATACGTAATGGATTTCGATTGAATGGATCGATTTGATCACTCAGAAGATGCCGAGCAATCGTTGCGCGGTCAACAATTTGACGTGAACTTGGTAACATCACGGGATCAGTCATAAGGGTGCTCGTAATCGGATCGAGATATTCATCCGGTGCGTCGTCATACACAGCATCGTCTTCTTTTTGTTGTGCGGCAACGTCTTTGATGTGTTGGCCAAGCTTGATAAAAGCTTCGATTCGTTCAGGTGGATGACGAATTTTTTCGAGTACTTCAGCTGCTTGAGGAAACAATTGCTCGTTATACGACCTATGGAACGAAACAGATTTGTTTTCGAGTGTGTATTGATCTTTTTTTCCTCTTACATTCCATCCACACAAACAGCTGCACAAAATTCTTCGCGTTCGGCAAAATTCAAGTAAATGTCCGTCACCTTGGCAACTAATTTTTGTGGATCGAACTGATATTCATTGAAATCGCGTACTTTTAGATTGCGTCGTTTCGGTCCGACCTATGCAGATCAAATGTTTGAACAATTTGGAATGAGACGGAAAACAAAAGTACGAACTAAATGCTGAAGAAAATAGTTCAACATCGAAGCCAGCCGTTCACAAATTGCTGGATTGCAAAAGATTGACTGAATATCACGTGTAATCATATCAAGAATAGTTAACTAAAGAAGCGAAATTATCAAAATTGGATACAGATCGTTTTTTTTCTCCGCTTACAGTTTTGATGCCCATAAGGTTTGTATATCGAGCTATTTGGCCTGTATGTCGAAATGTATTCTCTAGCTCTTGTCTCTGTTGATCTGGAAGACTTGCCCATTCACCACGATCCATCGCTTCTTGATTCTCCCTCAAACGAGCCATGTGCTGCAAACAAAAGAACAACAGTTTTCCAAAGCAACTATATTTAACTTTACCGATAATGCCTCGTCTAGTAAGTAGTTAGCATCGTTCATTAATAAACTTATGAAACGAAGAAAGAGCGGAGCTTCTGCATCATCGATATGTTCCTCAGCATACTCTGCAAGTTTCTGAAGAAAAAGGTCAAGGAAATAATCATCAATGGTCGGTTTTGGACGAGAACATACTTTCACTTGTTCACGATGTTTATCAAATTTCCAAAGATATTCAAGAATTTCGTACATAGGCCGACGATAATTGAATTTCTGTTCGAATGCAACTGCCTGTCCAGTTAATTCAATCGAAACGAAAACATCGAGAAGAACACGTGGCAAATGTTCGATCAATGGATGATTCGTGAAAATTGTCTCTGCAAAGGAACTAATAACCAAAGAAAAGAAAATCTTCAGTTTCGTCAAATAACAAAACAAACCTGTTCAATGTTCGACCGCTACCATGTTGTTTGTTAGGGAGAATAGCTTCGAATGCTTCTGCCAGTGCAGCACGTAGATGTGGATTGCGTAGACGACTTGCATCACCCATAAATACCAAGACCAAAGTAACATATTCATTAACATGTGCAAGTGACTTGAGAAAAACAAGAAATATTACTCGAAGCTCAATGATTAACAAGCAAAGTGTTTACTTCGAACAATTGCACATTAAACCTGCTTAGAAACGTTAAATAGTTCGTGATGTTCTCCATAATAAATTCAGGAATAAAGCTCAGTTGTCGATTGGGTTTTGATAATAGCGGCAATTCTTTAATCGGACGTAATTCCTCCGCACTTTCCGGATGATCGCATGCGGCAAGATGAACAAGCCATGAACATGTCGCAGTAAACAACGCATTTGATAGTTCCAATAAACGAGGTTCATTTAGTACAGTTTTTATGTTGAGAAAAGCCGTCATGCCTGAAACGAACATATCAGTCAAATTGTTTTGGTGTTCAAGTTAAAGAAATCTCATCACCTTTTTCCATTGCACTTTCTAGTCTTTGTGCACCTTCGTGACTCGCTCCATGTAATCGAATTGCATTGTTGTACGCATGTTGAACACGTGATAACTCTTCATTGATCTGAGAAAACCAAATATCAACGAGGTTTCAGCTGAAACGAAGTATTTACCTTGAGTAAAGTCCGATGAAGTCTTTGTACTGAACATGAATAACTTAGATGAGACATGAAGAAGATTTCAGTAATGAAATTAAATGTAATTGGACTAGTTTTTTCCGGAAGATTATCTTCATCACGAACGATCAATGGTGTATCCTTATGAAGATCTAACAAACGGAAACGAAGTCTAGGGGAAAGTGATACTTGATTGCATGCTATACCTCTCAAATGCACATTCTCATTTTCACTAATTGCATAGATAGGATTGATCTTTAATAATTTCGGCGAATAAGGTTCACAAAATGGTCCAGCAAGGTTTAACAGCACAATATTCAAATTTAGTAGAAACCCATCACTAGCATATACATAAGCAGTTAATGGGTTATGTGATGCCCATTCTTTGTTTTTGCCTAAAAGAAAATCAAGTTTCAGCTGTAGATTTGCAGGAAACAAAATACCTCGATTCTGAAATAAACAATCGCCAATCCATTTTAATACATCGTTACGTGCATCGGCACTTTTGACAAATGACCGAAACACTTGTGACAAATATTCTTGATATCTTCCCATTGGCTACAGTGACTCGTAATGAAATCAACGAGAGAGTATACTGGATTCAATCTTACCTCCCACATGGTTCCAGCAGTTAGTTCAACATCACGCTCAGTCATTACTTTCGGTTTTTCAAAGAATAAATAAGGTTTGTCAGGTGTTGACGGTAGACATGATTTGGAAACAAGAGTTCCAACTATCGTATCTTCAAAAGCTCGACCGCTAGTATTTCCTGTTCCGAGCGGATTTCGAAATGGACGATTCGATGATGTTTTCGGATCAGATAATCGAAACAGAAGCTAAACAGAATCGAATGAATGCAAATCATTGTCGACGAATATCTCACTCACTCGAACAAGTATTCCCCATTTTGCCAGCTGAGTCAATATTCCAATGTATGAAAACAATTCCGTTGAGTAATAATAGAGCGGTTTAATCGCTATATACATATGACGAAAGACCGACTCATAGAGATTTTCCATTTCATCGGTAGATGTCGATGATAATACATCATTGTTAATACAATCTGTATACTCGTGTATCGATGGATTTTCTAAATTGTTTCAAATAGAGACAATAAAATGGCTGAGTTCAAGGTTTACCTTGACCATCAAGTAACAAATCTAACCATTGTTTGGATAGATCTTGCCCATCGTAAAGATCCGGTAGAGAAATTGCTGTTTTACTATGATTGACAAATAATTGCTTAATCTCATCAAGTACTGATTGAAAACGATCCTATTTTGTAAACAAAATTCATATGCATGACTATGTTGAAAAGAAGAATGCTTACCCGTTGTCGAAGTAATCTCTGATAACATGCAGATAAGTAAATCAAACATCGCGTTTCTACAATTACACTTTCATCCGTTCGACTTGTTGACTTTTTTGTTGTTGTTGACGATGATGACGATGACGTTAACAATTGACTGACTGGATCAGTCATTCGTAAACGTTCGAACAGAGCTTGGTCTACTAGATTTTTGTCCCAGTGTTCCGGTTGTTCATTTCCTAATTCTGCAAGATAAATGAGTGACGATGAGGGTTGCTCGTTGACTGTACAAAGAAGAACATATTCAAGTACATCTTGATAGATATTCGATACTATTGAGGGATTGTTAGCGATCGAGGCAGGTTTTGTAGACGAAGTTGAATACGGGCTCGACGATGAATCCGAGAGAATTAGAAAGGGATTCGACATGATGAAAAATCAATAAATAATGATGCTAAGCGGACGAGACGTTGCAATGAATTGTAGGAAAAGGAGAAAACAGAGTAAAACAGAACACGTTGTTTCATTTGTCCTTCTCAACTTTCTATCAGGCAACGAACGCTGAGTCATCTAGAATATAGATGTCACTGATTTATTAGTCTATCAGTAATTGATTTTATGCAAAAAAATACGCTTTATCATATTGTTTGCGAATAGAAATTTATTTTCACGAAACAACAAAGGAGAAAATATTTATCATAGATGTGTTGAGCAGACGGGAGAGTAGTGTCACTGAGGTATACCGAATATTCTCCAAGTAGATGAGGAAGAGTTCGTTGTTCGTTGTTGAGATTGATTCGTAGTGGGTTTCGTTAGTGATGTGTGTGGGTTCGAACTAAATAAAAATGAATAGATTGGTTGATTTTTTGAGAGAATACTCTTACTGGTTTTGGTTAAACACTTGAGAATATGATCGGGGAGTGTATTTTGGTGATTGAGCTAGTGTTTTAGAATAGTTGATTCGAGAGAAAGAAAACAGAGATATTTACCATTATGTTTTATATCTTGTACAGCTGCATTTTGATTGAAATGTCGGTCATAGGATGTTGAATAGTACGACACTGGTTCACGTTTATCGAAAAAGCGATTTTCCTCAACGAGTCTTTTCAAGCGTTCATTTCTCTCTTGACCTGATGAGTGTTGTCTTTGTGAGGGTACTAACCAAGATGTAGATGATTGAACTGGCTGTTTGAGAGACGAGCTTTTCTCTTTGGAATTTGCAACGATTGATTCAGTGAAAAATCCTTGATAAACAACAAAGTTGTTAACCTGATGGATAGGCGAGCAGAGATTGTAATGTTTATGAAGAAATGCTAAACATTTGCTCGATGGACGATCCACCGGTAGTTCGTGTGGAGCACATTTTTCAAACTAAATTCAGTTTCAAAGTTTTGTCAACATCGAGAACAAACGTATTGTTGTTCACTCACACTGAGCATGGTGTCGAATAATTTTTTGCCATAGCCTAATCTCTGTTTGCTTTCATGAACATAAAAATCCAGGACACACAATGGCGTTCGTTCGTATACTTGACCATTTGTGTCGTAAATATACAGATGTTTTGGGCCGACTTTTAAAATGCCAACAACTGAACCTTTGTTGCTAGAAGATGAGAAACTATAATAACTTTGACTTTTGCAAGAGAACTATACTTGTTATCGTCGGATTTCTTTACGATATATAAATGATGATCGGACATGCGTAGTTTACGTGCTGTGGTTATCGGACCGTATAATCCCTGTGCCTAGATGATTGAAATAACGAAAAAAATGTGCTGAAAATTAGTTTGAACTGATTTTACTTTAAATGAAGCGTCACCCATCGCATCAATAATCGACGTAAGTTTTTCCGGAGCGCTGCAAAGCAATTCTATTGTGATGAAAGAAGTGAGGCCAACAGTTGACGTACTCACACTATTCGAATCGATTCACCTGGATTGAGAACTCGATAATCTCCATTGATTATTGTCAATTCAAAAGGTAAAACTTGATTTATATCAAATGGAAATTCCATCCTATTTCTTTATGAAACTTTCCTATATTCCCATACTCTTGTAGCCATTACACTTGTCATTCCTCCGAACGACATCCTCTGTTATTGTTTCTTTCCAATGAAATTAAAGACCAGTACAACGAAATCAGCGCGCTATATCGTGTTTCACTCGGCCTTACCGTATTGCACTCGGAGAAAATATGAAGAGTTCAGATACAATTTGTGCTTGAACCATTTTTCTTCAGTTTTGAATTTTGGCATCAACTGCATGTGTGCCCTTAGGAAATCTAGAATTCAACGAAAATATTCGTTAGCAGTTGTTATGTTATTAGGTATATCATTGATTAGGTTGAAAAGTAACTGATTGCATTTGAAGATTCATCATTGTACAGTATATAGGGAATCTTTCGAAATTTTATATAGATCATGTGTCTAAATGTGATATCATCTTAGGGGATCACTGGATATACATGATTGACTACAATTTAAGATATTTTTAAAACTCGTGGAATAGCAGTATTTTGTACAAAGTTCTCATGCTGTTAAATGTCTGTTTCTGATAGCGTACATTAAAAACAAGATAGATATTCATGATCCTTTTGATGCATTCAAAAGGGAGCGGTGCATTACAACACGTGTTTCGAATAATCTTTAAAATTTATAGGGCTTTTACGAAGAGTTTTTGCGTCAATACTATGATGGAGAATGCAGGAGCTTTCCGTTGCATTAAATTAACGAGCAACTTGAAGTGGCCGAGCTGTTGCTATGAAACTAGGAACCGTTATCCATTACATCTACTTACTGATAATTCTATTGAAGGACGACGAGGATACGCTTCACATTATTGAATTTGTGTATAAAGTAGATAAGTTGTAAAAAATCATGAGACTTTTCCAGTACACTTCGAAGTATTAGAATTATACTCATCCAGCAAACTATCTCTGTAATAATTCTTTGAATGATATACAAGACAAAGAGATTATTGTTCGTAATACCTCTTCGAATATTTAACCTACCTTTGATCAATCTTTTCACTGTGAATACCTTTTTATAACAAAGATTTATCGGACATATCAGTAAATTACACATGGTTTTTATTCTATACAAACAAAATGTTTCAATCAATAAGAGAATTTGATCCGTGGTTGTTGTCGTTGTATATTGGTTCTGGTTGCATTGGAGATACCGTTATTACCAACTAGGTATATAGCTTGTATCGTCTAAAAACAAAAAGACGGACGTCGAAATGAAGAAAGGCCGAGTCATTCACTATGTGGTTTCTTATTGAATCTACAAGAGATCGTGTCCCATTATCTATGATCTAATTATTTCAAAGGTTTAAAGTAGTAAGTATCGGTGCAAACATTAACAAAACCTGTGTATTATCCATTGATTGTCAATATCTCATTGCTTTCGATGGTTAAGTAGATCCATAAGCTGACAAATAATTCTAATAGCGTGTTAAGCCTTAGTTCAAAAGGGTATTTCAGGCGCTGTACAAGTGTAACTATTCTATGTGACTTTTTATTAGACTTGTCATCATCTCAAATATGTTCTTTATCTGTTTATTTTCTTACAAAAAAAGATCGACCGTTTCTCTAACAGTTTTTATATAGAAAAAAATTTACCCTATGAGTTGACCTTAACTCATCACATCCAAAAGGAATGTGTTATTTCATTCGAACCTTGAATATTTAAAATAGAACAAGAATGTGATGACTGGTGTAATCTCTCTCTCTTCATGCTCTAAGATTTTATTGACTATTTAAATACAATATTCACTAATGCGTTTCCTTTCTCTACTGTGGAGTATTTACAGTCTATTCTGCCTTATGTGGTGCTTTTTTGAAAACATTTTACTATTTTTAGACACAAATAAATAATTGGATAAGGATCTCTGTCGTTGTATCTGGAAACTTAGTTAAACAAAGTAGCTTACTCTGTTCTGTCCCAATGCGTTGCTCAACTGTTGTGCTCCGTCATTTCCAATCTGATTACCAGAAAGATACAACTCCTTGAGTCCCTAGGTAAAAATACAGAGATGATTAAAAATCAAAGTAAGAGTGCTTTTCTCAAAAATTAACTTTTAGTACGTTATTATATCAGAACTCATCGTAAACAACATATTTTTGAAGTGAAATAAAACGACGAAAGCTCTATCTTCGCAATAGAGATACATCTATTATTCAAACAAAATAAATCCTCTGTATTTACGATGCACGATATTCCGTTTCTTAAGAGAATATTTTCTACAGTTCGTAACGTTCATCAACACACTGGACACTCATCGACCGAATAGATAGCTTACTTGATTCTGAGTCAGCATACCAGCGAGGTGCCGTGCACCCTCATCCTTGATTTGATTTTCATGTAGATATAGATGCGTTAATGTCTATACATACAATTGAAAAACATTATCAAAGATGTTCACTGTCATTGTTAAATTTTCCTAACTGTGTCTCTCGTGTCATTTCGGTTCTCGAAGTAACTACAAAACAATCATAAATGTCGTGTCATACGTTCTTTTCATTCTACTACCAATTTTCCCGGTTAGATTTGTTTCGAAATGATCGCATTTTGATGGTGACTAGTAATATCAAACTTAATCACGATTTTGCACAAGATGATCTTATTGAAATTATTTGCTCATAGAACTAACAAATAGAAAACCTTGTTATTATTAGTGTGTATATTCGCTTCAATCTTGAAGTCTAATTATTTCACTTTCTCGATCAAATTTGAGAATAATTAATGATAAAAATGTAAATTACACTCAACTATTCATGTTCTATTTCATTATACTGCAGCTAAATCGAATTCTACACTACTAACGAATATTTTTAGTTGGAAAAATCACCTACCCTATTGTTATTCAGCGCATTGGCTAATTGTTCTGCTCCTGTGTTTGTAATTTGATTTCCACCCAAATACAGAACGGTAAGAACCTATTCGTAAAAGTAAAAAGTTCAATTACAACTCATAGTCTAACTAAAATGATTTAACTAATTTTCTTATTTTCTAAGAACAAAACACAGACGAATGATTGAAAAGGTGTGTGATGATCGTTATGAATAAAAAGAAATACATCTCGTCTCACAAATTGATGTCAGTGATCACATTCTCAGAAGTCTTTTCTTATTATCGTGAGATTAAATATTTTCGATTAGGATTAAGAATTCTGTGAAATACAAAATGCATCCATATATCAAAACAGAAAAGCAAAAGTTCGCATTTACACTAATGAAATGCTCTAAACTAATCGTTCATGGTCTTCTATTTATTATTCGCTAATAAGACTAATTATAACAAGAGTAAATCACAAATAATCATTGTTTATCGATTAAAAACATTCTTCCAGTGATAATAATTTTAGAATGAAACTGTGATACGAGATGATTTCTCTTCTTGATAATTGAATTAATCAATGATTTATATTTATCACTATGTAGATCTGCATCAAACAAAGTATAGAGCCCTTCATTAAGAGAATCGGAAAAATATCGTATTTCCCTTGCACAAAACTGATGCTCTGATCAATCTTCGACGAGATTTATCGAAAAATCTCAGCGTATGTTTTTAGGATTAATTATCAATATATCGTACAAACTGTCGATATAATCTCAATTTCAGATCATTTGATGATGATCGTATTTCAAACAACATCCGTCGATTAGTTTGCTAGACTATGACAGATAGTTCTTGCGTAAAGCAGAAGAATACTTCGAACTAGGGAGAGCAGTTTACCTGGTTTCTTATCAATGCTTCGGCAATACGCTGTGCTCCAGTATCTTTAATTTGGTTTGCTTCCAAACCAAGGTGAGTTAACGTCTACAACGAAACGGTAGTATGAAGAGGGATGCATAAATACTGAATGAAAACAATTGAATGTCATTTGTTTTCGAGAAAGTCGCTCTGTTTCGTACATAGAAGATAGAAGTACTCTTCTGGTTGGTGTGATAACAGTTTCAAGAGTCATGAATATCAAGTTTAATGAACTTGATGGAGAAGTAAAAGCAAGAGGAGACATAAAGCAAAGTGTAAATTTGGAGGACGAAGACAATATAAATATTTAAACAAGTGAAGAATCACTTGTTTTGTTACAATAAGAAACAGCTTCACAAATTTACAACTAACCTACTGATAAATCACTTAACTATCTGTAGACAAAGTGTTTTAAAGGAAATGGTTTAGTAAAATTTTCGTTATCGATATAAACATGATACTACGATGAAATGAACATCAAAATTCGAATGTATAATTCAAATTAAAAAATATCTTATTCGTTCTCAGCACTTCTTCAATATATTACATGTCGATATAAATAATTTTATGTCAGTTGTTGTACTGAACAGTATAAAGAAATAATCGATGACACAACAAGGAAACTCAAATTGTTCTTTCAAAATTAAACATTTCTTTATTGGTTACTTCTGAAGCGGTGTTGTGACTTTACATTATACACATAGCCTAGTCTCAATCTGGGAAATATTTGCATTTTATTCAAACTTATTAGATGATCTTCTTCTAAATTGAAAAGTGCTCTTCACCCTCAATTGTCTTATTCGATACGGTTCAAGATCTATCTATAATTTAAAAACTGACTATCAAAGATAGTTACCTGATTAGTTCGAAGAACATTAGCTAAATACTCCGCACCTGTGTCGGTAATTCGATTTTGATAAAGTCCCAATTGAGTAAGTGTCTACTCGTCAGAACGATAAAAGAAATTAAGTCAAAATTTAGAAGAAAAGTATTTAATTTATAAATCAACTAGATAGTCTGATTATTTAACAGTACGATTTAAATTATTATAAAAAATTCAATTCAATTATGTTTTATTAATGAAATGAGGTTTTGTAAGGAATTGAATTCTATTTAACTAAGGAAAATATTTATTAGATAAAAATTTGCAATTTTGATAATATCTCACACAATGACGCATGAATACGTGCTCATAAAATACTACCTAAGTTTAAAACTACCTTATTTCAATGTAAAACTATGTCGAATGCGACATTTTCTTCGAACACTCAAAATTGATTCGCTCAGATGTCATGAAAGGATCTCAAGGTTTGTATTTTTACGAATTTGAACATTTTCTCAAGAAATAAATCCAAAGTAAAACTCACTGTGTTGTGTTCTAGTGATCGGACAAGGTGCTGCACTCCATCATCTCCGATCCTATTCGAGCCAAGACCCAAAACAGTGAGAGTCTACACGAAAAAATACCGATTGAGAGTGTTAAAGTCATGTAAGCATCAGAATTTTCATTCGATTCATTATTAACTGACAATAAGTGCCAGGAAGTGTGAACGATATAAACCTTTCATTTCAAATATTCTTATCTGACCAAAAATATACGTGAAAAAACAATCGCAAATAAGTTAGATGGACAAGACTAAATTAAATCATAGAATAGAGATGATTACGGAAAGTGTGTGGAGAACAAAAGAAATATCTTCAATAAAATTCATATCTCTCACCGCGAAACTTGTTTGCTTATACATATACGTCGATCAAAAGAGTTTATTTCAATGGAAAAAAACTTCTTACTCGATTGTTCTCTAACATATTTGCGAAGTGTTGTGCTCCAACATCTGTGATTGCATTAGCACCGAGATAAACTTCTTTAAGAGTCTACGGATACAAAACGAAGAAATGAATAAGAATTGAAATCTAATTTATTATCTACTCGATTATTAGTAACTTATCAAACGTTAACAACTTTACTATTTATAATCGACATGGAGATGATAACTAAAATTTGAAGTCAAAATCAGCAACTGATATTCTAATTCTTCTGACAGTTAAATATATTCATCCGATGGCTAATCTAATGCAAAAAATTGATCTGGAACAACATAAATCATTCCAATGAACTCAGAAGTAGATCTACTATCAAAATAATATTAATCGTAAATATTATTTCTGAAAAAGAAAGCGAAATAGAAGACTTTGTAAAAATCGGTTGTGTATGCAGAGGACACGATGAAGACTTAATTGATACATTCGTGTGTTCGTTTTTAAACTGAGAAAAAGTGTCTCAGATCGTTTCTCATATATTTAACCAATGTGAGAAATTGATTTGAGAAAAATGACGCGAGGAGTTTTTGAATGAGTCAAATAGAAATTTCAAGGTAATAATGAAAGTGATTTTTGACGAATAACTATTTGAATTTGGTGCATTCATACTGTTCCATAACATAAAATTGAGGAAAATTGTTCAAAATCGATATCCATTCACTACGAATTCAATCTACAACCCTCAGTCGTTGGCACTCAAATGTGGTTGTAAAGTATTCAAAAATTGATAGAAAAAACGTGTGTTATAGAATGTAGTTCTCCGCACTCAAACAATTGCTAATAAACTCAACTCACTTGGTTAGTTGTTAAAGCATTTGCGATGTGCTGAGCTCCACCATCTCCGATCTGATTATTATGTAACCAAAGCTGCTGCAGTGTCTGTAATACAAACACCAGACATGTTTAGAAATAGTAATGATCGTACAGTAAATATTTTCTCAAGAAGAAATTAACTTCACTTTATGGATTCTCCTCAAATATCGTTTCGAATTTCAATGTATCGTTTTTATCAAAGTTTCCGAGTTAATATTAAATGATATCTATTCTATGCTTTCGTCATTGTTTCTTCTATTTTATCATTAACGGAATGAGATCATCTCTTCAAATGTTTTATTCATACAAACCTAAAGTTTAGCAATCTGATCGTATACTGTCTCATTCTGAATATCTTCGAGCTGTTTTTATGACTTACAAAATATCAGCACTAAGTAATCTAATTTATGAAACTAACTTACTTGATTTGTTCGTAACATTTCAGCTAATTTTTGTGCTCCATTATCTCCGATTTGATTTACACCCAAATCGATGATAGTTAAACTCTATATTGAATGAAATTCAAAAGTCATGTGGCATCTTTAGTACGCGCTTGAGTAAATCGATTAAACAAGATATTGAAAGCTCTATCACTATCTCAATGAAATCTGAACTGACTTAGTCAACTGAATCTGAACTAATAACACAACTACTATACTCAAAATATAAGCATTAAAATAAGTAAAAAGCAATACGACAGAATGTACGAAGTGTTTATGTTTGATTGATGTCACATCTGTGTTCATCGTTACTATTAGTGAAAATGAATACTCACTCTATTGACTGTTAAAGCATTTGCTAGATGCTGAGCGCCATTTTCACCAATCTGGTTACTTCGAAGATCCAAAATTTCAAGTGTCTATATTTATCGATTGGGATGAGATTATTTTAGAGAGTATATGAATAGTCTGAACTATGGATCACTATGTTCACTATTCAAGTCTTATTTCTTCGATAAGTATATCTCTTATTCTAGCAATTCTCGCATTTACCTTCTCAAAACTACTCTATGCTGTAATCGAACTCAAATCTCCATTTCTAACAGTTTCATAAAACTATTGAAAACGCAATCGACATCTTTATTTGAAGGATATACAAAACAAATAAACTCACTTGATTTCTCGTTAACGCGTCGGCTAAATGTCTTGCTCCGATGTCTCCAATCTGATTATTATATAAATTCAACTCCTTCAACACCTATAGAAAAAAGAAGAAGATGATGATAACATCGAGTAACTGTCTGTAAAATATTCAGTTTGATCGATTAACACTATGCTTAACATGAAATTTAAAGAACGCAACTCTTTCACGGTTAGTCATAATTCGAATAATTATTTTAAAAACTCACTCACGCTGTGGATATAATAAAGTAATCTATTTCTCGATGATCCTATTCTTATTTGTTAAATCAACTCACTGTGTTAACTTTCAATGCTTCTGCCAGATGTTCAGCTCCGATAGGTCCGATTTGGTTGGTGTGGATATTCAAATAAGTTAGTGTCTACAGGCATTTAAATTTTACATATCTTAAATTAAACAACTGAAACTAACTAATGTACTTCGAAGAAGTAAAGAATTTGCTGCTCAATAGAAACAATCTGTATTTCAGTGGAGTACTCAAAAAATCCAGAGATAGTATAAATATAGATGGACACACTTGTAAGTAGAAAAGTCTTGAACTTTACACTGAGATATCTATCGAATAGTTTCACATTCATATGTCAAGTGAAATAGGCTGGTTTTGGCGGAAGAAAACTCACTCGATTAGTTTCCAATGCTTTACCAATATGTTGTGCCCCGACATCTCCAATTTGATTCTGATGTAGATATAGTTCCTTTAGTGTCTAGAGAGAAAGATAACGAGAAACTTAAATAGCTCACTATGCTCTTTATTATACTGTATTACTACTCTCAAAAACGAATAAACGAAATCAATCGATAATGTCGATAGGTGTGTCAACGAAGATGTTTTATCTACTTTAAACTCGAACTCATCTCAATCGCAAAACTGCAAAGGTGTTCAACGTGCATCATAGAAAATTTCACATTGGACACTTCTTGCTGCACCTTCTATGATGATTCGAATCGATCGAGAAAAGTTTTGACATAGAAGGAGTAGCTATTTGGGATAATTAAGGTGTTAATCTGTAAAAACATCTGCTTACTCTATTTGATTGTAAAGCATCGGCTAGGTATTGTGCTCCAATATGTCCGATTTGATTATCATTCAAAAATAATTTAGTGATCACCTATATCGAAAAACGTTCTACGAATAATGTAAATTGAGAAATTTTGTTTTAATGACAATATCGAGTGTGACAGTCAACTGATAAGCTATGATTAATGGTAATCAACTTATGATTCGCATTTTCGTTATAAAACCTGCTCAGATAAATGGATTGATCTCTAACTCAACATAATTCTATTTTCAGAAAACATATTTTAACAATAGTTGACATGAATCTTTACAGTAGGTCCTGCTGTCATACTGAAAATTCATAAATTAAAATCAAGAATATCTCACCGTATTCGTTTTCAACGCCTCAGCTACAATTTCCATATCTTGATCAGTTAGTCTGGAACCAGATAAATCTAATATAACGTTATTTCCGTTGTTAGCAATCTTTTGCGACAGTTGTGGATTTTGGTATCTTGGTACAGGTACATTGTTAGCATTTCGAATCTGAGTTTCCATTTCCTATAATTATATAAGAATTACCATTTATTCGAAGACAAGAAACCGAGAGATTATCACATATACGCTACAAATAGGTGCCCTCCGCTCATTTCTATATCTTGAGCAAAGGTTCAGGCTTTGAAATGGATAAATCAGAGAGTCTTAATGTCGAAACTTACTTTATTAGTTTTAAGTCCGTCCGCAACACATTGTGCTACTTCATTCTTGATATTATTCTGATATAAAGTCAATGTCTTTAGTGTCTACAGTTAAAAGTGAATAGATATTTAACTATGTGAATCATGAATTGACAAAAACTTACTTTGTTTGTTCGTAGTGCATCAGCCAGGTGTTCCAATCCATCAGTTCCGATTCTGTTGTTATGCAATTCCAGATTAGTGAGTGTCTACATCATCAAGGACAGATGATTATAGATGTTACGAGATAACTTAATATTAAAATCATGAATAAAGCAACATTCTTACTTGATTCGTTCGGAGAACATCAGCTAAATACTGTGCTCCCAGATCACTAATTTGATTGGCATACAATTTCAACGTTGTAAGGGTCTATATTCCAAGAACAAATTCAGAATAGTGCTTTCGAGAGCGAAATCTTCGATTATACTCTGCTGATTTCTAATCCCTTGGCCACGAGTTCCATTTCTAGATCAGTGAGCTGCGATGAGTTTAGGTCGAGCGTTGCACTGTTCGCGCTATCAGCGATCTTTTGGTCAACTACCTGATGCCTGTGTCTTGGTACCGGTTCCAGTTTAATGTTTTTAATTTGATTGTGTAGATTAGCCAAATCTTCGAGACCTGCGACATGATTTTTGATCCGCGATAATGGTTTCAGTTCTAACAGCCTCGCGTCTGTCCTTCTTATAAAATCTTCAAACGGTCGTCTCGCATCCAAAAGTCTTTGCGGACGTTTATCTTTGGAAACAACAGCAAAATTGAACACCTGTTCAATTAAATTCTGTTGTTCGCCTTGAAGCGAAAGTTTATGTTCTTCGATCCTTCTTTTATCGGTCGTCTCTACTAGACGAATTTCACCCAGCAAAGCCTCCTCCCGTTCTTCGATCCGACGGCGAAGTTCTCGCATGGTTTCACAAACCTGTTTTTCATTCAATTCCCTTTCTTTTTCCACTTCGATAATCATTTTATCCGCTCGATCCGACCGGTAGTTCAAAGACGCCTGAATTCCTTCCAAACTACCTTCACACTAAAACCCATTGACATGAATTACAGTCACAGTTCTTTCGATATAGCACTCACCTGCTCTTCTATTGTCTTCACATACGCAGTAATTTCAACCGGCGAATGACCCCTATGTTGTGTCTGTTGACACTCGCCACAAATCTCTCTCGCACATTGTTCGCACCAAAATTGTATTGAATGATCACCATGACCTTGGCATTGAGCTACTTCGCGAGGTCTGTCTCCAACGTGAAGCTTCCTATGATTGCGGTATTGATCCACTCCATGAATGGTATCCCAACAGTTAGAGCAGAAGCTATGCTTGCAATCACTATCACACCAATATTCAGCTTCATTGGTGGCACATCCATGGCATGGAACTGAAGCTGGCTCGGGATGATCTAGAAGGAAAACATATGGCAAGCCAATGATGGAAATGAAAATTATCAAATGTCTCACTAAACAGTTGAATAAGATCCCGGACCGTTTGGTTTGGAGGTAATGCATTGATATTATTACCTTCGACCTTCATTCCATCCCTTTTCGGACATTCCAACAGACCGTTGTTTTTCGAGGCCATTTGTTGAATGCATTCGAAACAGAATGTATGCTTGCAGGGTAGCATACGTGGTTCATCAAAATGTCTCAAACATACGGGACAGGTGATGACATTCTCAACCAGAGCAGTAAAACTAGTCGTCATACTGATCAATAGAAAATAATCGTAGTAAGCGAATTGGAAATCTGAAAAACAGAAACGAAATTGTGAAAACGGTGGGAAGCAGATGTCGACATGCATTTTTGTGATTTGTATGCGACAAATGAAAAAAAGCAAGTTTTTATTTGTGTTTCTGAAGTCACACAAAGTTTGGCTTTGTCTCTTGAAGAGAATGAAAGGAGAAAGCGTAGATATTTTTACGGACAAAACCACATCGAAGTTGTTTTTTTGTAAAATAAATATTGACTGAGAACCCCAAACTTTCGTCTGCCTGTTTTGTTTCTCCAAGATAAAATAAATTTCAACACGCAATAAGAAAAAGCGGTGAGACTGTCAGCAAGATTGTAAGTATAGACGTAAATTAGACTCGAATCTCCGAAAGTCTTTGTTAGCGATCATATGATCATCGCTACTCTTCTCTCTCTCTAGTTCTGTATGCTTGAAAGAATGTTATCTACAATAACATTCTGTAGAGCGTCTACGTAAATTCGCCGGGCGTCTCTATGGCGCAGTTGGTTTTCTCTCGTTTTTCGTTCGTGCACACATATCTACCCGAGTATTTTCATTGTTTTCTTTCTCTCTTCTTCTTTTTCTTTAGGGATTTTCCCACCTTCCTTCTCTCTCTGTCGCGTGCAGTTGTTTTCACATCAAACATACACAGAACGTTTTCTTCTTCTCATTCGGTTCGTTTGCGTTTCGTTTTCGGTTTTTTGTTGTTTCTGTTTTCATCAATAAACAACGACAAAACCGAAACGTTTTTCCTCCAGCAAATGCGTACAGCTTTACACATTCTTTCTGCTCCTCTTTTTGTTCTGAGCGAGAGAGTATGCATGGATATACATGTATACGTCCTCTACTCTACACGAATAAAGGATTATTCTCGTCGAGTATCTCTCAGTCTTGTTATAAACTAGTAGAATTGATAAGAAAGGCATATTTACTGAAATTTTACCTAGAATAGTCTTTGTTTGTCTCCATACGCTTACCTAAAAAAGATTTCATGAGTGATTCATGATCTCCTTCTGGCATTTTTTCATGGGAATAAACCCGTCCGTCTCACTTTAAAGATTCTCTTATCGTTGATAGGTGATGTTTTTATTTTTAAACTTAAACGTTCTCTGCGCAGTTTTGCAAGAAAAGTAACGCACAAACATCATGTTTTATCTTGTGAAATCTTCCAAGTAGAATGTGTGTTTGAATAAGATAAACACGGACGAGAGTTTTTACGAATTTCGGCTCTGTCTCAATTTCAGAACTGCATTGTTAAATTTATTCAGATTTTCTATAACAATGAGAATAAATGTTCGTACACTAGAGGGAGATTCAATCACGTTAGATGTACAGCCCAATGATACAATCCGAAATGTGAAGAAAAAAATACAAAGTGCAAGACGTATTCGAGCACAATGTCAAAGACTAATGTTTGGAGAAGTACAGTTGAAAAATAGCAAATTATTATCGAATTACGGAATTCAAGATGACGCCACGATTTCCCTTATTCGACGTAAGTGTCTAAAAGAAGATTAGTTGATCTGTAACGATTTTGAGTATCCACAGGAGTTGTTCAAGACGATAAAACTATTGCTGGTGGATATGGTGAGGGTGATGCTACTGACCAACTCTCCTATCCTTATGGTCTTGTTATTGACGACGACCAAACAATGATTATTGCAGATTGGGGAAACCATCGAATTGTTCAATGGAAAATAGACGAAGGAAACGGTAAAGTCATTGCCGGTGGACATGGAGAAGGAAGTGAACTAAATCAATTGAGTTATCCAACCGATGTTGTTATTGATCGTCAAAACAATAATATTATTATCTGCGATCGAGGAAATCGACGAGTGGTCCAATGGTCACGTGCAGAAGGCACTACTCAGGGTCATGTACTGATTGCTCACATTGACTGCTGGGGACTAGCAATCGATCATGAACGAAATCTTTATGTCTCGGATATCGAAAAAAATGATGTTAAACGATATGTTATCGGAAATCCCGATGGAACTGTGGTTGCCGGTGGCAATGGACGAGGAATTGGACTTAATCAACTCAATCAACCATCATATCTGTTCGTTACCCCACAACAGACCCTCTATATATCAGACACATGGAACCATCGCGTGATGAAATGGGAGAAAGATGCCGGGGAAGGCAGTATCTTCGGTCGTGGCTTTTCACGAGGGATAGCTATCGATGCGACTGGTAATATCTATGTTGCAGATTATGGAAATCATCAACTCGTACGTATGCTTGGAGGAGCGAACCCAAGCACGGTTATTGTAATCGGAAATAGAGAGAAGGAAGAAGAAGAAAACCAATTATACTACCCATGGGGTTTAACTTTAGATCAGCAAGGCCGCATTTATGTTACCGATCATTTAAACCATCGTATACAACGTTTTCCCACTACATAAACTCATACTGACTTTTTTTCGTCATTCAGTTTTATCTTTATATGTGAATAAAACAAGAGACATCGAACTGTTTGTAACACGAAGTTTCCAACACGAAGTTTCCAGCATAAACGGTTCGAGATAAAACTTCTCGAAACTATTTACCGTTTTACGACCATTTTATATCTTTTATAACAATAAATTCGACATATAATAAGCATAGCTAGTTCTCTTAAATCTACATATACATGACAATGGTTGACATGAATTCCGACGAAACTATTCAGTCTGATAATATATCCGATCCGCTACAGCATCTTTGTTTTCCCCAATACATCGGTTCTCTTTCAACAAATGACTATAAACAACTACAGAATGTTGAGCAAATATGGTTCGACAAGAGTTTAGTTAATCGCTCGAAAAGTAAGCAACTGTCGGGGATGGCCACTGATATGAATACATTTACGAAGCATGAACAATGTATTAACTTCATAAACGTTAACCGAAATACGAAAATTCATCTGATTGTTTCTGGTTGCGATCAAGAAAACCTTTTATCGAGTGTTCATGATCTCCAACAGATAAAATTTATATTTATTCTTTGTGATGACAACTGTCGTCACCAGCAGTTGACTTCGAAATGGCCGAAAATCATTGGTATCTATACAAAAGTATCTTCCTTGAACAATGCTCTAAGAGATGCAGCCCGCCTGTATGAGCGAAATTCCACATCGATTAGTTTCATAATGCCAAATAGCCAATTGAATCAATTAGATCCAACGTTTATGTATACACAGATTTTTAAAGAAATATTGTTGAACATACAATTCGAACGAAAGCATATAAAAGCCTTTTGGGCATATTCTCGTCGCATGTTTTGCAAAGCTCCTCAGAATTTGAGTGTCGTTCACGAACTACAGCAATCCTATCATAAAAAATCACCGATTTGGTGGTATACGTATGATTCTTTTCTCTACTCAATGCTCAATCATTCACTACGATTGATGGACGGCGACATGATCATTCGTATGGGCTTTTTCATCAATGACCTTCATCACCAGATCGACCAATTGCACAGAAGTCAACTACCTGTTTCTAAATTCATAGTCTACCGTGGACAAGGTTTGTCCAAGATTGATTTAAGTACCATGCAGCAAAGCAAAGGTGGATTGATATCATTCAACAGCTTCTTGTCAACAAGTAAAACTCGTCGATTAGCTGTAGAATTTGCACAAGGAGCCATTACCGATCCTGAATTAGTAGGAATCATTTTCATTATGCGAGTTGATCCGACTCAATCAAAAATACCTTTTGCTTCTGTGGAGGATGTGGGCTGCTTTCCTGCTGAAAACGAAGTTTTATTCTCTATGCACACTATCTTTCTTGTTGATGACATTAACCCAATGGATGGAAATGATCGAATTCACGAAGTTAATTTAACATTGACAAATAGTGATGATAACGATTTAAATGTTTTAACTGATCAGATTCGACAGGAAACGGATCCACAAGCGAACGAATGGTATAGGTTAGGTTTATTGTTACTTAGACTAGGCCAACTGAATAGAATTGAAAAGTTTTTCGAAACAGCACGAACTCGTAGTCATCCAGGTTTGATTTATTATCAACTTGGACGAGTTAAAGATGCTCGAGAAGAATATCAGAAAGCGATTCGCTTGCACAAGAAAGCAATAAAGATTTTTCAAAAGAATTCTTCTATCCACGAACGCCATTTGGCCAATGCATATAATGAACTCAGTAAAACTTACTGTAGTATGAATCTCTATTCCAAGGCACTTTTATTCGCTCAAAGAGCTTTACAGATTCGACAAAAGTCCCGTGTTCTCAATCATGCTGATCTCGCCATGTCTTACAATAGTATTGGTAATATTTATTATACTCAACGTATTTACGATCAAGCACTCCTGTCGTATGTAAAAGCGCTCAAGATTTATCAACAATCACAAGTCTATAATCATCCTGATCTCGCCTTGATGCACATGAGCATTGGGAACAGCTATTATAGCTTGCATTCTTATGAGGAAGCACTCGTCTCTCATACAGAAGCTCTTAAGATCAGACAAAAATCACTTCCTCCGAAGCATCGTGATATAGCTGCTTCGTACAATAATATTGGGTTAGTCTATGAAGCTATGAAAGATTATTACAATGCACGGATATCCTATGAGATGGCTGTTGATATTGGACAACAAGCGCTACCACCCGATCATCAAAATCTTCGAATATGTAGAAAGAATCTTGAACACATCAAACAGGCAGATCATGCATTTATTTAATTAAGAGAGAGAGAGAGACAAAAAAAAACAGAATAAATCTTTTATCAGATCATTATCAATATACAATTTGTACGCAAGAAACATCTCGTTTTTTTAGCATGTATTCAATGGAGATAAGAATTGTTTTGCAGCTGTTTGAAATCGCTCACATGTGTCGTATTCGTCCAGTGGATCATTGGCGACTTTGAGCAGATCGAAGATGAACGTGTCCGAAAAATACTAAAATAGATGAAAATGAAATGGATTGAGACGAAACAGTTAACTACCGGCATCAATTCATGATCATCTCGAGTGTCATTCATACTTGTTGTTGACACTGTTTCATCGACTAGAGTTGAATCCTGAAATCGAAATGTAAAGTGACTTGATGAGATTAATATTTGTCTTACATTTGTTGACTGTTTGCATTGACTTTTCGACGAAATATCTTTGATAGAAACAAATCCAAGTTCTATCGCTTGCGTCAGCAAATATTCCTTCCCAGTTTTCTTCTCTCGAATAAATCCCTGCGAAGTTAATTCGCATTGATCACTGATATGAATCGCGTTTCGAAATTCACTCAAACAATTGATGATATTTGTCAATGATGAAAACACGTTGTCATACTCAACATCACTCTTTTCGTTGACATGAATGATCGATTTCGGCTCAGTTACTTTGGTCAACAATTCACCGGTGATTAATCCTCGATAAAATGCATCATGGATTGTCATGGACAAATATGAAAATGTCTGAAGATTAACATAACCCTTCTCGATTGCTTGCCGACACGGAATCATACATTGACGAGTACTATCATAAACTTCATGGATAGTAAGAATAGACTGAACCGGCGATTGTCTCGAATGATATTCAATTTGAATTTTATCATCAGTAGTGAATTGAACAAGACCTTTGTTGGCAGCGATATTCTACAAGTACAAGAATAGAAGTAAGCTGAAGAATACGCTCAACTTACTAATGGAATCAATCCACCATAACTAAACAGAAAGAAGATTTCTATTCGCAAGGAATCAGAGAGCGATTCTTCCTACCCATTTCGATAATAACCATTGAAAATAATTCCTAAATCTCTCGCTTGTTGTTCACTGATAAAAGCTTGGCTTGCTGGATTTAACACACTTCGGATCTGTGGTGCATCGCATTGTTTTCGATTGCATTTCACGAATTTCTCAGTGTTATCAAAGAGATTATTCATTGTCGATATGGTAAGGAAAATCGTTTTTTGTGACGAGATTCTATTGGTTTACTGACCAGCGACATCTAAAGGTACGGAATTTTCGAGTGTAAACGAACAAGCAGTTCACGTCATTCCCGCCATTTGTTTCAATAATATATTTATTTAATCATGACTCTTAATTACAATGCTATTCCATTTGAAATGAATAATCAATACCAAACGCGTATGAATTTCGATTATGGATATGATAATTACTATCCACGAGTACATGTAATTAAAAGAAAAAGTTTGGAGATCGTTCGTTCGTAGTGCTTTGTTTGCTGTTTAGAATGATGGACTTGTGTTGACAAAACCAAAACCAGATTGGAATCAATTGAATTTAGCCAATTTTGAAAAGAATTTTTATAGTGAATCATCGATTGTGCAAAACCGATCGGTGGTAAGTGTTATTAACACACGAAATACATGGTTTTCATTTTTCGTACAGGCAGATATTCAAAATTTCTTGACAAACAACCGTATCACAATCGATGGTCATGCACCACGACCAATTTTTAACTTCGATGAAGCTAATTTTCCTGGTAAAGTTGATTCTGACGTGTCACTATTCATCCGAACTTCGATGTTTGTCTCTAGAAGCAGTTATGGAAACAATTGCTCAGTGTGGATTTCAAAAACCGACATTGATTCAATCGTGCTCATGGCCAATCTTACTCTCGGGTCTCGATCTTATTGGTATTGCTCTAACAGGCTCAGGAAAAACGTTGGCATTCATTTTACCGGCACTGATTCATGCAAGTCATCAAGAATTTGTTAAACCTGGCGATGGTCCAATCGTACTTGTTATGGCGCCAACACGTGAACTCGTACAGCAAATCTATACAGTTGCTGATCAATTTGGAAGGTTAGCACAATGTCGAACAACAGTGATCTTTGGTGGAGCAGCAAAAGAGCCACAACGAAATTGTCTATTGTCGGGTAAGTGGGAATCAATATTGAATATGTTTGCTCATGAGACAGCTTTCTATGGTAGGCATTGAAGTCGTGATTGGTACACCTGGTCGATTGCTGGATTTTATTGAAGAGGGCACTTTAAAACTTGATCGAATCACATATCTTGTACTCGATGAAGCTGATCGGTATGAGCATTGAGGAGAAATATCAATTCACAATCATAATCATACCGTTTAGAATGCTTGATATGGGTTTTGAACCACAAATTCGTCAAATATGTGAACGTATACGCGTAAGTCTAATTCGTTGTCTGTTCGTTTTCCTTTCATGTAAAATTACTTTCCAGTCAGATCGTCAAACGTCGATGTTCAGTGCCACATGGCCGAAAGAAGTCCGTCAATTGGCCAATCAATTTTTATCAACAAACCGTGTTCATGTAACAATTGGAAATATTGTTTTAGCAGCGAATCCGAGTATCTGTCAGATAATCGAAGTGTGTACAGAAGCTCAAAAGCAAAATCGGTTCGTTCACACTTCTTTTCAAACGATTAGACACGAGTTCATTTCGTTGAATAGATTTATACAATTACTGTACGAAATTATGCAGTCACGAGATGCTAAAATATTGGTTTTTTGTCAAACAAAACGACGTGTCGATGAAATCTATCGAATGACCAAACAAATGGGTTTTCCCGTCGTAAGAATCAACGATTCTTTCCGCTTTACCAATACATGCATTTTTTCTATGCAGCTTTGTATTCATGGCGATAAACAACAATCACAACGTGATTTTACCATGGGTGAATTTCGTCGTCGACGAAAAATTATTTTAATTGCAACTGACGTAGCTGCTCGTGGTCTCGATATTCAAGATATTCAATTTGTCATCAATATCGACGTAAGCAATCGCTTGTTATCTATTCAACTCGTTTAATTAGATGACCACTCGTAGTTTCCAAATCAAACGGAAGATTACATACATCGTATTGGTCGAACAGCACGAAACAAAGAAGCTAGTGGAACATCGTATGTGACATAGATGATATCCGTTTCCTTTTGAAAAGACAAGAAAGTTGTTTCTCTTAGCTATACGTTCTTTACACCTGAGAACGCGAAACAAGCGCCAAGCTTAGTTCGAGTTTTACAAGAAGCTGGACAAATTGTCAATCGAGATTTAATGGAAATAGCTGAAGATCAACAACACAGCATGAATTCCAAACAAGGTTTGCAAGTGATACTGTTCTCTGACCATTTATCCTTCATTTTCTCTTCAGGATCAAAAAATCGTCTTTATAATAATCCATTACGACCACCCGTTTATCGCCAACAACAACAACAACAGCAGCAGCAGCAACAACCAGTCAATCACTTTCCTACTTATCGTGAGTACATCATTTGAATTTGATATTTAAACTTCAGTACTGTTTTCTTCAGCAATTTATCAGCCAATTAGTTATATTCCATCATATCCTCCAGCGGTGAACTATGTTCCATCTCTTATCTACAATTAACTCTAGTTGATTTTCTTTCGAAACAGTGAATGGTGAAAAAACAAGCATTAGTAGATCAAAGAAAGTCACATGTAGAAATAGAACAATCAAAAGCAGATGTAGCTCTCCTTCCTTTTTCTTGTTTATCTATTTAACGATTTTTTTTGTATTTGTTTATGCGAGTTTTTTCTTTTCATTCTCTGAATTACACTTATTCGAGCTTCACTAGCCTACGTATACACGTGTGTGTGTGTGTGAAAATAGAATAGAAATGGAAATTCTATAGTTAGGATACATGAATATGTTTATTAAGTTAGGAGTAAGAGAACACGTACAACTAAAAACGAAGATTAACTATTTGATATGCCAAAGTCATCATTAACTAGAAGAAATAAAGTTCTGTTTTTTTTTGGTTGAAAAAATGAATTTCTTTTTACTTTGATATTGAAGGACATTATTCATCGGCTGACAGGTTGACGATGACGAAGGAGTTGTTGAACGAAACCATTGGCGAAGGCCGATATTTGTTCGAACGTTTCTATGTACACTTGTTCCAACCACCAACGACCGACGATTTGTCACGAATCGAAGGATATTTGGGAAGAGTGTTTGTAAATAAGTACTTAGGATTTGTTGGTATTCATTAAATATGATCCACGTAACGCTTTCAAAGCATCCAGGCCATGTCAAACTACCTTCGTATGTCATATATTCGGGTGAAAATGCCATTAATTTTTTTATATCAAGATTATGCAATTCAATATCTGATGGTCGCTGTGTGTTATTCAATAATTCAGCTTGATGTAAGACGTATCGTAACTGTTCAGAAGCATCGCCACCCAACTGAAAAGCAAATGAAAACGTTCTTTTCATTGTATCGAGTTGATTGTTGACAATACATACCATGAGCATACTTGAGACGATGGCAATTCCTTTGGGAGATGTTTGAGCTTGAATGTAACTCTTATAAAGATCGATATTGTATGCGACAAGTTGAATCTAAACAAAAGATAGGCAATGTATGGAATTACGCGAATGAATTTTTTTATACTTCGCCATGAAAAGATCGATTATCTATCTGATGTTCGCTTCCTCGTGGCATGTCGTCGCCCAATGAAGGTGGTGTTAAACGAATGTAAATTTCAACTGGTCGATATCTGTATTGAAGGGGTCCTCCACCAATCTCAATCTTGCGATTGGAATCCAATGCAATGGTTATGTATAAATTACGTCCATCGTTATGAAGAGTACCATGTGCCTAGAGACAAACAGATGAAAAGACAAATTATTTCTCTCCTTTTGTTTGTGAATGCGGAAAAACAAACATTTTCACTGTTATTCATATAGATAGGTGTCAATTGATGATCAAAACTTAAATAACGACTTTCAATATTAATCGGTGATTGAAAACGGCCTGCGTCACAAAGTGGAAAGTACACTCCCCATAATGCCGGACCACTAACACCATCCGAATAATCCCACCAATTCCATATTTCCGGACGAACTAATGAACTAGCTGGATCATTATCGATATTATCTAAACATTTAACGGTCAATGTACATCAATATTTAATCTTTGTTCTCTCTTCAAATCTTTACCTTCACTGATGACTGTTGGGTAACATTGGGTGAGAATTAATATGCACAAGTATGTGAACATCATGTCTTGCCACTATGTTTAATCAAATCAAACTGATCTCTGATCGTGTTGTTCACACATCTTTATTTCAATTAGCATAGGCAATGAGCAGGACCGTGCCGTTGCCATCTTCCTATCATATTCTATTCTCTTATCATGCCTCATGTTTTTCTTCCTATGCGAGAATTCTAACAATATGAATTTCTCGTCAATTTCTGAATTGTCTCTCACTCTCTCGTAGAAATTGTTGTAAACTGACATTTTATGCCTTTCGGCTATTCTAATTGAATCCATGACCGAGACGATGATGCTTATAGTGTATTGACACGACTGATTGATACAGTTGTGTTTGACGTGCATGCTTTGATCTCCTATCAACTTTTCTTTTTTCTTTCTCTCTTTCTGTCAATGATAATTAGTTCAATAAACTTGTCGAAAGACGAAGCGCTACGATTCTCAACTTGCTCATTCTTTCGTGAGCATCGAATTACCATACGATTTCTTTATTGCCTTCGGATATGTAATCAATAAGACGAAAAACGGTTCATGCTCATGTAAAGCATTAGGAAGAAATGATAATACGTTGCCTGAGTCGTGAAGATTGATCGACAAAATCTTTTATTCGGTCACCGATTGGATTATGATGGAGACTAAGTCTCATCAGCGTCTATTAAAGGACACACCTCAACTGGAAAGAAAAAATTGCATGTCTTTACCGTATTTTGCTGCAGTGTATCGATCAGTTCCTGAGCACCATGGTCACCAATTTGATTGTAGGCAAGGTAGAGCGTACTCAATGTCTATTTGAAAATAGAATATATCTAGCAGACTTTGGACAAGAGAAGTTGCTGGTTACTCTGTTATGCACGAGAGCATTTGCGAAGCTTTGAGCGCCCTGATCACCGAGCTTGTTCGAATAGAGATTTAGTATGGTCAACGTCTATGAAGATACAATATCGCCTAAAACATGCGTACAAGATTAGGGAGAGTACCGTATTATGAACAAGCGCATTAGCCAGATGTTGAGCTCCTTGAGCCCCGATGTCGGCTTCAGACAGATGGATGATTGATAATTTCTACAGAAGTAAAGTGGAGAAAAGACAGGATTAGACATACTATGATGATAACCTTATTTTGCGCGAGAGCATCAGCAAGATATTGTGCACCTTGATCACCGACTTGATTTCCCGAAAGATGAAGGATTTCCAGTGTCTGTACAATAGTATAAATGGATAATGATGATGGAATCAATCGATTGTATTTAATACCTGATTTTTAGTAAGCACATCAGCAAGTTGTCGAATACCTTGAGCAGTAATTCGGTTATAACTTAGATCGAGTGTTCTTAAAGTCTACACACACAAGAAGTATTTTTGAATGTTGTTACTTCCATTTTATGTACTTTATTTTGATTGAGAGCGTCTATCAGATGTTGTAATCCATCGTCGCTGATTCGATTTTTGTGTAAGGAAAGTTCTACTATTGTCTGCAAATTAGACGAAGAGAAAATGAATAAGGATATAGTAGAAAAACACCTTGGATTGTTACCGAATTTTGTGCAAGGATAATGGAAAGACTTTCTGCTCCTTGATCGTCGATTCGATTCTCGGTCAGACGAAGTTCCGTCAATTTCTATATACATATCAACAGAACGATTTACGAAGAACAAAACATCATTATATTCACATTATTGTTTTGCAATGCTTCATTTATGAGTTGTACATCTCGATCTGCCAACAGTCCCATACTGATTGTCCATTGTTGCGCATCCTGGTGATCAGCAATGAAATTTTCCAATTCAGGATGATGATAAACGATCTCGTCTTTTGCGTGATGTCGAGTTACAGTCACTTGTGCATGATGTCGAATTAATTCTCTTATCTGTGCGATATTTTCAAGACTTATTCCTTCAGTGTTATATTGGTACATGATCGGCTTTCTTAACCTTCCTAAGATTTCACTGACTCGTTTAATATGAATAAGAAAACATTGTTTTGCCCGTGACAAGTTCATCTGATTATCACATGACCGACGAATATGGAACAGTTGCTTTTGAGTGTGTAAAACTTCGGCTTGATTTTGTATTCGAGTACGATATTTATCCACGTCTTTCGTTTCAATTATTTCAGTCTTTTCAATTTTCTCCATGATCTCCCGTTCATATTCTTCAATAATGTTTTTTAAATTGTTCATTGCTCCACTGACTTCTTCCTTTATCGTTTTATGACGAGTATCACTATTTTTTGACAATTCATCACTTTCACTGATTTTTATATTCAAGGATGCTTCAGCATCGATTAAACCTTCATCAATCTGAACAACGGACACAACAATACTGCTGAGAATGAAAAAGAACTGAACTTTACCTTCGTTTGTAATTTTGTTGCCAGTCTGCCAATGGCATCAGTGGGATGATTTCGATGTTTATCGATCATACAATCCTTGCAAACAAACGTATCACAATAATAACACCACTCGTGCAATTTTTCATCAGGATGTTCTTCACAATCGATCAATTCATCAAGTTTTCCTTCTACACGACACTTAATTGTATCGTCTGACATCTCAAGCGAATCTATCTAAATTTGAGAAATGTTTTGGTTTAAAATGCATTCAACGACAATATGCACATTTCGCGGAAAAATGTTCGGTATGAAGCCGCAGAAAAAGATTTTAAACAACAGATAAATTTTCTTATCACCTACAACAACATAAGACCACTAAGATAATGTGCCTGTCGCTCTTATCAGTCCACCCATTCGATCCAAAATAGCCATAATGCACCAGTTTTAATAAAAGAATTTCGTCTTATAAAAAATATCCATTCTTGCCTGATATCGAAAAGATATATTAATAAAAAGCAAAAAAATGACACATAGATTCCAATCTGACACAGAAACAGTTAGGTACTGTTCCGAGATGCTGTAGTTGTTTCACTTCTTGCAGATATTCTTTCATAACTTTCATTCAATGAGGACGGTCGACGTTCACTTCCTTCGACATCAACGTTCACTTTTAGATGAACCACACTCGATCGTTGTTTCACATCGACAATCTCTATCAGCGAATCGATCTGCTTATACCCATC